GTGTCACTGGTCTGCGGCACGGTCAAAAGTTCTAATGAAGATTACATGTACGAATAGTCGTTGTGTGGATAGCACGATGTCTGGCGCTATGGGAATGGAACGATTTCTTGACAATTGCGCGTCCACTGCACCCATTCACATGCACCCTCTCCACCATATCCACCACATCTCTCTCCACGCCGGTCGGAGGCCTCGACACGTGCTCTTGCGCCTGACACCACTGTCACACTATGCAAGGGTGCTTCCTGGGCGCTGGCCTAAGAAACCCTGAGATCAATCGAGGCCCCGCCCGCGATACGCCTATATCGGGCAGTCTCTTGCATTGCTATGCCCGCCACTTCGATAGATGGTGAGTCGACTCGGGGCAGGGTTCAGACTGCTTTGTTTCCACATCCTGCTTTGTTGCACAGGGTCCCAGACTGTGCCAGACGTGATTGCCTCACACGACCTGGGCAGCCAGCCCCGCCAACCGTCACATGGGGTCGCGCTGATCCCTCGCTCACACCGCCGACACCTCAAGACAGCCGTTGCCTGCATCCTCGCCCAACTCGCAGCGACGCTGTCGGCTTGTTGAGCCTCGCCGAAGTACTGGCGCTGCGAGTTATTCACTCATTCTTGCGACCGCTGCCTGTCGTCGGACCAGGTGGGCCATAGCTGTGCTCTCGGCATAGCAGTGAGCACGTTCGCGAGCGCTATCGCACAGAGCGACATTCCGGATCCCCAACTTGCATCTTTCACCAATACACACTCCGATCGAGACTTGATCGCGGCGGGATCGAGACAAGATTACTGTCCAGGAGACAAAATGAACAACATGAATCAGCGACCAGCGCACACGAGCGATCACTTTCAGCGGCCTTCAGGTCACACGTCAGCCATGGCATCACGTTCTCAATCGTTTGACAGGCGCACACGCGCAGAAGGTGAGTCTTCGAGCAGGCTGATGTGCCGACACTCAGATGCACTTCACTTGAGCCTGAGAATGTCACTGCATAGTATAGACAACATAATCCGCGATGGCGTGCTTCTACCTACCAAGCTATCAGTGGGCTGACTTGTACGGAACAGTCGATTCATGGGTCGAGATAGCCTCACAACCATCTTCGTCTTCACTATCATCGATCGGCGACAATATCGTCACAACAGGGCTACGAGTGCAAGGCGAGCAGAGATCGAGACGACGGCGAGCACAACGGCCTGCTGCACCTACCCATCTCAACCTCGTGAGGACGCAAAGCGTAGGCGGCACGAGCAGTCAGGAAGAGTACGAAGAAAGTGAAAGCGAATCGGACAGGATCATGACTTCATCTAACGAAGGACCCATTACATTGCAAGGACAAAGAACAGCAGGCGGCACCTCAACGCAGACCACAGCACCTGACGAGGGACTTCTGCAGTCATCTAATGATGACGACGATGAGAACCGAACAGCTATCAATTACCCGATCAACACCGAGAACTGCTTCACACCACTGCCGAACGCATTCTCTCATCCGCCCGGCGCGCAAAGACGGACCCCAGCACAGCAAGCCCCAGGTTCATACTTTCCGGCAACAAGACCTGGCCCTTTCCGACGCCCATCGACTCGGCACTCGTACCCCACAGGCACTGATGCACGGCGACCAAGTCACATCACTCAGAACCCTCTGTCGCCCTCGTTCAATGCTACAGTTGAGCATGATGAGGCACTCAAAGCGAGCTTGCAGAGCCTGCTATCAGTTGCGGCAGCTGCACGAGGGATCAACAAAGTCGATTCCAAACAACCGTCCACTATGAATATGGCTCCACGAAGCAATAGGATCGACCCCACCACGTTTCGACTAGTGCCTGAATCGGCACTCCAGAACACACCTTCTCCCCAGAGGGAGGAGCCTACATTCAAGCCAACGATCCGCCGTTCCTCGACGCAGTCGACCGAGACAACGTCTGATCTCAAAGAGGGCAAGCGGAAAACACTTCCTGGACGAAGCTCAAGTAGGGAGCGAAGATCCCTGAAGAAAGCCAAGAGGTCAGAGTCTCGTGAAGGCTTGCATGTGACGCCAACCCTTCTTACCTGGGTGGTTTCAGCCGGAGTCGTGGTCTTTTTGAGTGCATTGAGCTTCAGCGCCGGCTACAGTGTCGGGAAAGAGGCTGGGCGCCTTGAAGCTTCCACGTTTGCCGGGGATGAGCAATTGAGGTCTTGCGCCCGAGAGGCTGGCAGGTCTAGTCTGGGCTTGAAGAGATCTTTGGCGCGAAGTGCCATTCAGGTTTGAGCATCTGTTCGCGAGGCTCGCATGAGGATGGTGTTTACGACATTTTGACGAAGTTATGGGATATGGTGCATCGATAGAGAATCTCATGGAGGAAGATACCACTGTTTGTTTGTCATGTTTTGGAGTTTGACGAGAGCAAAGGGAGGTCAAAAGGTGTTGGCCGCGGATGATTTGGAGCGGCCGCATAACTGGCGAGATAGCTGGAATCTGCAGCTTGATAATGAGTGTATCCAACTCGGTCTTAGAAGTCCATTCAATGACCGTCTTAGAGTAGGAAAATCTCGCAATCATCTCGTATTGCAAAACTCGCGGAGTTCTTACTCATTTGCAAAGGGTAGTCAAAGCTAAGCAGGCGAATGACAGTGGTGAAGGAGTATGCCTGTTGAGAGAGATTTTCACTCGATTTCTGAGGGTAGCATCCTGATGGGCTTGCAAGTGAACGTTCAGTTATTTCATGCTCACTCGCGTTAATCGTTGACGTGCTTTGGCGCTCTTGCCATCAACCCTTGAGCTGCGCCAAACGCAAACTCGACAACAACACCTACCGATTCCGCGTGTGATAGCCATCTTCAACCACCACCCAACACCTGCAACATGAGCAGGAGTTTCTCCACCATCCCGCCGGATGGTTTTCACGCTGGGCACCTCCAGCACGCTATTATGGCGTTCAAGAATGTCCCCGGCCGCATGGGGCTCTTCTGGCAGTGCACAACCGACATTGACACAACCGCTCTCAACCAAATCTGCCGCTTTCTGGTGGCAGAGATCCTTTCGCCCCAAGTAAAGCGAAACTCTGCAAAGCCGTCGGCGTCCTTGTCGATGAGCAGATCCGCCCAGACCACGAGCAGTTGGCCGAAAGGCTGATGAACCAGCGTCTTGAGACTCTTCCAAGCGTCTACGATCCAGCGGTATATAACCTGGATGCACTCAGTAAGCAGCAAGTATCGATAAACATGACCGCAAGCACTGACACAACACAGCCTGCATGCCCTGTGCCAACGCCCGCCTGGGCCATGTAAGCATACCCACTGATCTGCGATAGTATTCAGTAACTGACAGGAAGTGATAGTGCGACATAGCAAGCCAACCACCAGGCACCCACTGCACCAATTGCATGTGAGTGCTTGTTACCTTTCCATCATATGTTGCCAGAGCCAAAGTACTGATGATCCCTTAGTCTTTGGCGCAAAGACTCGTGCGATTGTAACAACGGTCTGATGGTACCTCTGATGGAGGCTCTGGTCGCACAGGCCGAAACACGCCCTGGGCAGCCACTTACGCCGCCTAAAGATTACACTGTGCTTGCTGCAGACGAGCGACAGCAGCATACGAGGGACTTCTGCGAACGTCATTTTGGCGTCCACTTCGAATGGCCACAAGCTCAGCCGCCTTCACCTCAGATGCCTCTCGCCATCCAGAACAACGCGCTCGGATTAGCTGGAAAAGACTTGCGAGAGAAAGTCAAGGCGCGCAAGCAGCAGAAACAAGCTAAACGCAAGGAGAATGCTGCTATCTTTGGCAAACATCAACGAAACGGTCAAGACCCTGCTCGAAAGAGTGGCAGTCCGACAGCGAAATATGGCCGGTTAAGGAAGCAGGCGATTGTTGTTTTGCCTCTGGGCCAAGCGGACCCATTGCCCACCGTGCATAAAAGGCCATGGAATGTTGAGCCGGGCACATCAGTCATCGTCCAGAAAGACGGCCCAGCTCTGAGCGTCAAAGAGCACGCCATGGCTTCAGCCGGTGCGGGCAAACGTAAGCTGGAATGAAGCAGGCCGGCATTGCCTCCTCATGCACAGAATCCAGAGCCGACATTGGTGGACGGCGACAACTAGCGGAACGCGTTGGTAAAGACTGTGACTTTTTGCTTCGTCACATTGCCCAGGCGGCGAGAAGGAAGACGAGCAGATCATTTGAATTGTTGATGCGAGGGCCTTACAGATCGGCGGAGCCGACCGTAGCAACGGCATTGGCGGTGAAGTGGCATCAGCTTTTCCCTCAAATCCGCAGGCAAACATTAAAGACTTTAGCGACCAATGTGGTCGCATAGGTCTATGCTCTTTGACGTGGATGGCACAGGAGCTCGGGCTGTATAAGATCATCCACCGGGAGCACTCAATGACAGCAAAGTTATTGATGCTCTATTTCCATACATCCCGCTCTTCTGTACGTCTTTCTCCTTGTTGTGCGGGACTTGTGCTGCATGTAAGTGTGTGTGCAAGTACAAAGCTGAAAGACGTGAGGTGAAGTCGTGATGCTCAGCGCCAAGCTTCGAACCCTGGTCTCGTGCTCTTCCTCCTTCCTTCTCACATGCAACAACCTTTTTTGCTATTTCTCCTGTGATTGAACGAGAGAGCCTGGGAGCCTGACGAGAAGTAGAAGAGATGCCGCTATCGTGATTAATATTTTGGAAATACTTGGATAATCGAAATGCAGACGAAACCTCAAATGGAAGAACCATCTCCAGACAACGTCGAGCAACAGCAACAAGACCAACAAATACTCATATCATCAACCTCGCCCATCCTTCCTCAACTACCTCACAACACACACTTAGCACTCCAAATAGCTCCCTCCTTCGCCAACTCAAGCGGTACATTCCTCTATCTCTCACTCGAGATATCTCCCTTTCTCCCTCTTATCCTTCCAGCTCCTTATAACCCCACACAAAAACACCCACTTATATCTTCTACATAGTAACAATCCGCCTCGTCCCCCTCCCCAACACCCCCTCTCTCAGCGGTAGTAATGGTAAACAGATAGCACGTTTCACCTGCTCGACCTCCCACCGCTTCGAACGAATCGTGAATTTCATTCGAAAGAGGTTGAAATTATTGCCTCATGAGAGTTTGTTCTGTTATGTGAATTCTGTGTTTGCGCCGGGGTTGGATGAGGTTGTTGGGAATTTGTGGGAGGTGAGTAGGCGAGTTTCTAATTTGTTTGTCGAGGCCATCTTTGGCTAATTTGTTTTGGGGGGGCGTGTAGTGCTTCAGGACTGGGAATTACTTGGTTATGAATTATAGTCTTGCGCAAGCGTTTGGATGAAGGACATGCCAGGAATGCTCAGCGCTGACAATATTTTCAATCTTCATCATCACTCCCAAAAATCGCCTTGAACACATCCTCTCCAGGCCGATTTCCTTCCAGAGCCTTATTCTTTTCCACATCGACCTGAGCTCTCACATTCTCACTCGCTGGTCCGGGCTCATGATGTTCAACTTTCCCACCTTCTGTTCCTCCCGACACAAATTTCCCAGCATCCCTCATCATCCGCTCCAAACTGACCTTACTCACCAAGTCCAGCCTCTCAGCCTTCTCCATCGCCTCAGCAGCATCTTCCGCAGCCGAAGTCCCAGCCGCAACATTTGCTGGCGGACGGACATTGAATCGTTTGCAGAGAAGTCGTGTCGGATAGAAATGTTCACGTTTCCTCGTCAACGGTCCATACATGCCCAGCTTTGCCGCTTTGATTGCCGGATCCTCTTCTTTCGCTGTCGCGGACTGCGAAGCAGAGTCCGGCGCATCGGATGCGAGTTTCGGCGTAGCAGAACCTGAAGTGAATCGACTCGCCATGTATCCCGAAGCAGGTTTGAAAATCTCCGCAGCTTCAGCGAATTCTCGTAATTCGTTGGCCCATTCGTCGAGACTGGTGCCTGTGGCTCGCGAAGGAAGGGAGTTGTGCTGGCCGGTGGACAGTTCGAGGAAATACTTGTATCGTTCTCGCTTGCCAGGATCTTCGCTATAGGGCATCCATCCTGTTTTGCCGCGGGCAAGAGCTGCAACGGCAGTTTCTTTGCTAAGGTTAGGAACCAGATCCCAGAGTGTCCGATGTTTTTCAGCTTCACTCTGGGTATAGCCTTCGGGGGCCTTTTCACTCAATGCGGCTGGAAGGTCTTTACGGCCACTGGCTGAGGCGAGCTTGTCGCGCTGTGCCGGGGTGATGAAGTCGAAGATGGATTTAGAGGGCAGCTGCTGTTCCCCTAGCAGTTCGGCACGCCCTTTGGCGTCTAGAGTTGAAGCCTTTGCAGCATCCGCGGTCGACACATATGATGTTGCGGATGAGGCAGAGGACTGGAATGCTGGCTTCCAACCTGGTGGCACCTCGGGAGGTGGATATTTGTTCTCGGTTATGGTCAAAGCGGCGGCCGCAAGCACGAAACCGTCCAAAGGTAGACGTCCATCATGGCATTTTCGGAAATTGTTGACATTGGTCGAACGCTGAACGAGCTTCTTGGAGGGCTGCAATGTCGGCTTGATGACGTTCGGATTGGCATTGCTGGCGACCAGGCCTCCTTTCTTCTTCTTTTGCCCAATGATTCGGTTGTAGCTGATACTCGGTCCGACAGCATAGGGATCTTCGTCATCCTCGCCATCATCGTTGAGAACGCCCACGCCGAAGCCTGACTTTTTGAGGGGCTTCGGTTTCCGTCCGATCTTGGACCGGCTCAAGATTCGAGAGTCTTCTCCACTGTCTTCATCATCATCTTTGGCAGTCGAGTCTTCCCGAAGCTTGGCTTCGCCCTCGAAGCCCAGCCCTTTCTTATCCGTCTTGCGCACCAAAGAGATCATGCGCGTGTTCTCGGGAGCGAACAAGTGCATTTCGCCAGTCTTGTCGCCTTGCGCACGTCTTTTGACTTTCGGGCCAATCCCTTGACCTTGCCGCCAGCCCATTCGCTGAAGCAATTTGACGCCTTTGGTCTCGCCCGTATTGTTGAAGAAGTCTGAGAACATGCCACCGACACCTCCATCTTGACCACCAGTTCCCAGCCCAGCGGAGGATCCTTGGGTTTCCAGCTTTTGCGCCTCTGCCTGCTCAGCCAGATCCTCTTCATCCATGAAATCTTCGGCGCGTTGCTGCTTCGCATCTTTGCTGTCCTTGGCGCGATTGGATCGCGAAGACACGAACGTGCTCGGCGTCCATCCTTCCTTGGAGCCTACAGTGTTGAAGTAGCTGGAAATGCGGTCAGTGAGAGTTCAGCTTGAGATGAAGCCCAGACTCACCCTGCACTGAAACCACCTGTAAAGGCACCATGCAGCCTCTTTCTGCCCCTCTCATCAGTCACCTCTTGCTTCCAGATGGGCACATAGCTGCCATCATCTCTCGTCTGCTCATCGAAGGGCGGTAGCGGGGTGCCGTATAGTGCATATGGAGCGTGGCTCGGGGGAGTATCGCGGTCTTCGAAGGCGGCTCTGGAGCGCTTAGAGGACATGTCTTAGTCTGCATTCACATGGCCAGCACATTGAGACGGTCTGTACGGGCGGAATGACGCGTGCGCGGCGACCTACCTAGCTCCACTGTGGCTTTCTTTCACATGCTGCGCGGAGGGAGAGAGTTGCGGTAATGGTGAGATGGTGCGGGAGTGGTGGACGAGTGCCGAAATCCTTCCTTCAGGGCTGCAGAAGCGAAGCGGGATGGGGTTTGCTGTGCGAGGGATGACGCTGTATGCAAAGCGGTGCTACAATTGGCAATTCTAGAATTCGGCGGCACGGTCCACTGCCGGCTCAGGAAATGAAGAGCAGACCCAGGACGGGCAATGGTTGGTGGAGCGGATGATTGCTCCCCACTGCATCCACCTGGCAGGTCTCACTTGGCCGTGTGCTTCACTCCATACGAACACCATCTTCGACAACAGCATAACAACATACATATCACGTGCTGGACGCTGGACGTGAGCGAAGGAGCGAAGGTGCGCGTGTCGTGCCGGCGTGAGATTCAACGGCCAGTCAGCCGAAATTGGACGAGATTGAGCGTTGTCGTGGTGGTGGGAGATATCTTTGGTACACGCCGCTCGGGAGTGGGCAGCAGCACGCGTGAACCCTCATCACAGCGCAAGCCACGCGAGACGACACTCCCACGACCGGCCAACGCCAACGCCAACGCCTGCTTCCAGCCCACCGCATCGCATCATCGCTGCCCGCACCGCACCGCCCACCGCACCACACACACCACATCCCACTGCGCAGCATCGATACCACCGCATGTCGCACACGTCACTGTCCGCCCACCTGCATCCATCGGCGCCGCAGCACAGGGCGTGAGCGTGAGCCTCCGCCAGGTCAGGCCCACTGCTGCCCTGCCTGCATGAACCTGGCCACGCTACCCTAATAATTCCACCGCGTTTCAGCACCAGCAAGCACCAGCAGGACTGCCGGCGGCAGCGCCAGGCACCACTCCGCCCACCCAGGCCATCCCGCGCCGTCAGCAGCAGCATCTCCGCAGCCCGGATCTGGGAGACTCCCGCACGCTACCACTGCCTCTGCCTCCGACGACGACATGTCGGCAGCCGCGTCGCCAACTGCTGCCCTGCCTCGTCCTGCGACCAATACCTCTCCCCAGTCGAGGTCTGCGGCTTACTCCTCCGACCGTGAAGCTGCCCGCCTGCCCCATCGCACCCACTCCAACTCGCACCGTTCATCCGCCGGCCCTTCTTCGCCCCGCCGGTCAATGTCCACATCGCAAGCCTCGAACACGCCCGCATCGCACAGTCGTCAGCCCTCTGGCAACCTCGAAAAGGTGTCGCGCCACGATTACGAGCAGAGCAATGTAGCTCAACCCCATGCACCTCCCTCCTCCTCGTCGCGACGGAGCGACTCGCACGAGCCCGCCATGAACGGCACCGGTGCTCATCCGCAGCGGACTGATTCTCTACGAGCTCCTTCATCGCACGCGCGGACGTCTTCTCGCTACCATGACCAACCCACGCCTGCCCCCAGCGGAGGTAGTGACGTCCGGTCAGGACAGCAACCGACCAACCTCAGACGGAGGACTACACTGGATGCAGCCTCCGGGACTTGGGAACTGGGCAAAACCATTGGTGCGGGCAGCATGGGCAAGGTGAAGCTCGCCAGGAACAAGGAGACGGGTGAGCAAGTGGCCGTCAAGATTGTGCCGCGAAACAGCCAAGGTGAGGAGCACCGCAGCCAGGCGGAGAGGGAGCGGGCAGAGCACAGCAAAGAAGTCCGAACCGCGCGAGAGGCGGCCATCGTCACCCTGGTCGACCATCCATACATCTGTGGCATGCGGGACGTCGTACACACAAACTACCACTGGTACATGCTCTTCGAATACGTCAACGGTGGCCAAATGCTCGATTATATCATATCGCATGGTAGACTTAAGGAGAAGCAAGCGCGCAAATTTGGCAGACAAATCGCAAGCGCCCTCGACTATTGTCACCGGAACAGCATCGTACATCGGGACTTGAAGATTGAGAACATCCTCATCAGTAAGACGGGAGATATCAAGATCATCGATTTTGGTCTCTCCAATCTGTTCTCTCCTAAGAGTACTCTCAAAACCTTTTGTGGAAGTTTATATTTTGCGGCTCCGGAGCTATTGCAAGCGAAACAATATACTGGTCCCGAAGTGGATGTGTGGAGTTTTGGAATTGTTTTATACGTGCTCGTCTGTGGGAAGGTACCATTTGACGATCAGAGTATGCCGCAATTGCATGCCAAGATTAAAAAGGGCTTCGTCGAGTATCCACCTTGGCTGAGTAACGGTGAGCGATGAGACGTATCGAACAAAAGCTTGCACCTACTGACGATTCGCAGAATGCCGAGGATTGATTGCGCGAATGCTGACTACGAACCCTCTGGAACGTGCATCACTGCAGGAGATCATGACACATCCCTGGATGACCAAAGGATTTAATGGACCTCCGGAAAACTACCTGCCCGAGCGGAAACCCTTGATGCTACCCCTTGATCCGGTTGTCATTGACAAAATGACGGGTTTTGACTTTGGCACGGCAGAGCACATCACCACGCAGCTAACCAAGGTTGTGGAATCGGCAGACTACCAGAACGCGATCAAGATGCAACGTCAACGTGCTGCCGCTCCACCACCAGAGACCGACCAAAGGCGAGGCGTCTTCAATTTCTACAAAAGGCGAAGCTCAACCACTAGTAGGGACACACTGAATACACCATCGGCTGAGGCGATTCAGGTGGGCTCAGATCCTTTGAACGCATTCCACCCCTTGATATCTGTATATCATTTGGCACAGGAGAAGATCGAACGAGAGGCAAAGGAGAAGAATCCTGGTGCCCTTTCTATGCCGCATGTAGCAGGAGAAAAGCCTCTCGGCATGGTGGATCTTCCCGCGCCTGCGCCTGCACATACTAACGCTTCTGCATACGAGATGGCCGGCGAGAAGCCTACCGGTGGGCGCTCGCGGCCTCGTGCACGTACGCATGGAGAGGACGAGGTGACCCAGGATATGCGGAACATTCATCCTACTGCCACATCGACATCGCAACACCCGACGATCGTCGAACCGGAGAAGCCTCCTCATAATCGCAAGGAGAGCGTCGCTGGTGGTCTGCTCAGGAGGTTTAGCAAACGAGAAAGGTCCGAGAGGCCGAACCACCCCCCTTCATCGCTGGACAGGTACAATAGCGAGACACCGAGAAAGAGCTTCAGCATGCGACGCACGCGGGATCGTAGTCAGAATCGCGAAGCTAGTCAAACACGAGAAGGAGTGCGACCGGAAACCGCCGCAAGCAAACAGAGTGACTTATTGGTACCGCCAGGTGCCGCCGCCGCCACTGGTGATGCCACGAATGAGAAAACGCCGCCGCCTTCGACCACGCCTTCCAAACGGAGTCACGGGCTCGGACGATCCGTCAGTGTCAACTCGAGCGACATTCGAAGACGCCTGACGAAGCGCGGCGCGTCCGAGGGATCATCCAAACGTCCACCATTAATATCCACGGGAAGCTCGGAGAATCGTAAAGTGTCATTCGATCAGAGCAGCAGCATACGGGAGGCCCAATCTGACGCTGAAGGACCAGCAAAGCCAACCAGTGCTTTTGCCACTCGGGCACGATCTCTGGGACATTCTCGTAAAGAGAGCATGCAGGTCCGCAGGGCGAGACGCGAGCAGGCTCGGAATGGCCAGGCAGACCTGCCCGAGGAGACCGATGCGGAGTTGATGGACGAAGTTGACACCAAGAATGGCAGTGGAAGTCCTAACATGAAACCTGTCTACTTGAAGGGATTGTTCAGTGTCAGCACGACCAGCAGCAAGCCCCTGAACTTCATACGTGCGGACCTGATACGAGTATTGCAAGAGCTGGGGGTCGAGTATAGAGAAGTCAAAGGTGGCTTCTCTTGCAAACATGCCCCCAGCATTGTACCGAAGACCGGACCTGAGGAAGCAGCACCAGCACCACTCACGCCTCCTGTGGACACCCACCACAAACGCAAAATCAGCTTTGGAGGCTTCCGATCCCAACAACAACAATCTGCAGAGGCCGGGGGCGAGCCGTCGAAGACTCCTCGTAAGAAGCCTAGCTACACGACCGGCGCCTCGGAAGAAGACAGCGAAGAGGATCCACCAACCAGCCACCCTCGAGCATCAGCGCAACAGCGTGCCGCAGGAGAAACGAGCACGCATGTGCAGAATGATTTTGGAGAAGGGCTAGCTCTGAAGTTCGAGATCTTTGTCGTCAAAGTTCCATTGCTAAGCTTACACGGAATCCAATTCAAGAAAGTTGACGGTGGCACATGGCAGTACAAGAATATGGCGCAGAAGATATTGAACGAATTGAGGCTGTAAAGGAATGGAACGCGAACAGCATCCGATGGGATCTCGAGGTCGTAGAATGGAAGATCATGGGAAGCGAAATCGATATATGGGACTTCTTCCTTTCTGGTAATAAGGATCGATCGAATGCATTGAGCAGCAGCTTGCATGAGCGGGTCTTGTTTTCAAAGTTGCTGCTTGCCGAGGAGTTTAGTCGATTCGGGAAGAGAGTACAAACTTTTTCTTGATATTCCTTGTTTTTAGTCAAGCGAAAGAGAGGGAGAGATAGCGGAGGAGAAGCATGCATGCATAATTGACTGATAGACCGCGATTGTATTGTGGTGGTCTGGTTTTACCTTATCGTTCCGTTTTCGTCCCTTTTTCGACACATGCAATGCCTCTCACTATCTTCTTGCTCTCTTCTGCAATGCTTCACTTTACGCCTTTCCGACCCCCATAACCTTCTCCTTCAACCCCACATTCTCTGACCCTTCCTCGCCATCCACAGGCGCCAAATTCCCCTTCGCAGGCCCCATCAAATTTTTGCCTTCTTTACTAAACCTACTACCATGCACGGGACAATCCCAACTCTTCTCTGTTGGATTCCAGCATACTACACCTTGCATGTGAGGACATAGAGCGGAGAATTTATGGATTGTGTCGCTTCCGTCGTCTTCTTTGTAGACTGCGATGGGGGTTTTGGTTTTGGGGTTTAAGACTCCGCCTTGACCGGGGGGTAGGGCTGCGAGGTCTTCGATGTCGGAGGTTAGGTGGCGTTTGTATTGGGCGTTGATTTGGAGGTCGTGGGAGAGGATTTTTGTGGCGGATTTTAGGAGGCTGGAGATGCGGGTGGGTTTGTAGAGGGGGTTCCAGGGGTGGGCTATGTGAATAGCGTTAGTTATGAATGGGAGAGGAGTATGGGATGAAAAGGTGGCGTTTACTTTTTCCTTCGATTTCGGAAGCGATGATTTCGCCGGCGATTACACCGTGGGTGAGACCGTTGCCGGAGTCGCCTGTTATGATGTAGGTGTGTTGGGTTCCTGGGTCGAGGCCGATGAAGGCCATGTAGTCTGCTGGTTCGAAGACTTGGCCTGACCAGGCGTAGTCGACTGAGCCGGCTTTGGTGAAGCGTTCGCGGACCCAGGTTTCGAGTTCTTGGAAGCGGCCTGGGAAAGTGTTGTGTTAGTTTGAATGTGTGAGAGAAACTGGCTAACGATGGCAAGACTGACCTTCTGGATCTTCTTGTCCGACTTTGTGGTCGCAGCCTCCGATCACGATGTAATCGTTCTCAGCATCAGCCTCTGTGAGACGAATGTATTTGTAGGCCTCAGCCAAGTCGTAAAGAAGGACGTCTTCGACATATCCCTGTTGGCAATGGTAAGTAGAAGCCTCATCAATCATGACTCTAGACAAACCTTTGGCACTTTGATAGCAAGAGCATACGTCCTCATATACTCCATCTCAGCAATAACACTGAGCTTCTGCAGTGGCACACACGTAGCCATGACCACATCCTTGGCTGTCACGGTATGTCCCTCGTATGTCTTGACTTCGACCGAGGTCTTGCTGCCAATGGGACCGATACCAAAGCCTTTCTCCTGAGTATCCGAGACCCGGGTGTGCGTGTAGCATCTGAAGTTGTGCTGCTTGTCAAGGAACTTGAGCAAAGCATTGACGTATTTGGTAGGATGGAAAGTAGCTTGGTCGCTGAAAATGGCCGCGTCGCGTTGATCGGGTTCGCCATCCCAGCCTTTGACTTTGTAGCCTTGCTCAAACTTGACATTGATGCCAAATTCCTGAGCCTTTTCTACCTCTTCCTTCAACTCCTCGATCTCTTTGTCGTGATCTTTTGCTTGTTTGTTGCGGTCATACTGGCTGACTTGGATTCCTCGCAGCTTGCGGTACTCGCAGTCGATGTGATGCTTCTGAACCAATTCGCCAACACGATTGATCGCCCATTGGTGACTCTCTGCGGCGATCTTGGCGCCGTTCTTGCCGTGCTTGCTCGCGATGTTTGCATAACCATCGTCGAGAGCACTGGCCAGATGTCCGGATGTCCTGCCTGTTTCTCCGCTCAATATACCACGGGCTTCGAGCATGACTACATTGTAGCCGCGGGTGACAAGCTCATAGGCTGTCTGTACACCAGAGATTCCAGAGCCTACGACCACGACATCTGTCTCGAGGTCTTGATCGAGCTTGGAGAACTGGGGTCGATTTGAGTAGGGTTCAGTGCGGACCCAGACTGGCTCAGTAGCTCCGGAAGTGGCATCGAAGTAGTTGGCTTTAGGCTGTGGAGGATGTTCAAATCCTGCTGCTTGAGTTGTCATGTTGCGTGGTGTCGGTGGGACGATCTCTGCTTGAGCCGACTTTTGTCGTTGGATCAGAGCTGGCAGCCGAATGGTCGGCTTTGGCATATGTGTCGACACTGAGCGGTACCTGACAACTCGAGACACGGCCTGAGATCTTGCCGTGGAGGTGAAGCGAGAGAGCAACATCCTTCTTCGAAGAAGGAAGGTGGTGAGCACTTGAGGGGAAGATGAGTGCTGGTGTGTGACTACCAGCAGTACTAATTACCGCGTCATGATTGGTGCCTTGCGCATGTGAAGGACAAACAGAACGTGCATTGGTGACGACAATTCGCGCTCACATCTGCGACTTTCTTCGGAACCGGAAGAGTACAGGAAGTGCTGGGCGGTCTTTTCGCGTCCTTCGCGACGAATGTGGCAGAAGAGGTGCATAGTGCTTCGCTGCCATCACAGCGGCATCACGATACGGTCGTGGTGACATTTGCTGCCGCCCTCATTGGAAGTTGAGGTCATGTGCCATCCTGGGCGTTGTGCGACGCGAGCGCGTTGAAGACGTGAAGTTGACGTTCGTTGGTGCAGATTGCCAAGACCACAGACGAGGCGCCATATTGTAGAACTACTGAACACACAGCTGGACCTCACCTCCTACTTCATCGTGGCAGATCGGACTTCTTTCCTGCTCCCATGATACTTCACTCAATCTGCTCACAGTTGCAGCTTCCACTGAGAAGCTGGCAATCTGTGTCTCGACGGCACATATTCACCATGATCGATGGCGATCGCAGCACCTTTTATCCAGTGGTAGGCCGCCACGACCGTATCAAGATTTCGCAAAGTCACCTTGTCATCCTCAGTGTCTTTGCTCCGGTCGTCCTCCTTATTGTCAAAATGACATCTGATCTCGGTTTTCGGGACCAGGGTCTGCCCAGGCAATCAGTGCTGTGCTTCGCATATCTCGGTCGTCCATTGTCTAGCTGAATTGATGAACTTACCGTTAGCGATCTAGCAAGGAAGCTCAACCGATTGGCCTGGCGATTGCGATCATTAAAGACCCAAGACTTCAATGCCGTAACGACTGGATCGATGAAGGTTTGATTGACCTTGCCGAAGTTCTGCGAAGGTTAGCACAGGAGGATTGATGGATGTGCATTGGTTGACTTACGTCTGCCAGTGCTTCCGTGAGCGTCTTAGTGTCCTCTTTGTTGAATTCGCTGTAAAATGGCCAGTTCGCCGTATCGCGTGCTGCGGAATCTATGGCCAAGGTAGCGTTTTCGAATGATTCGCTTGCGAGCTACAGCTAGGTCAGCATTCCTTTCTCCGTGACTGCATATGCACTCACTCACCTCACGCTGCTCATCGAACCTTTCCCATGTATCATTGTCGGCATGGTCGTCCGGCACCTTCAGATCTTTGAGTATCTTGGACGCCTCAGTCAAGTACTTTGCGTATTCTGACAGGTGGCCCAGATATTTGTCAGGAGACAGAATCTCGCCAGACGCCAGAAAATCATGACCACGGTGGCTCAACAGCTCTCTGACTGCGTGATGATGATCAAAGTCGACCGTGGAGGCATCGTTCACCACAACCGACAGTGAAAGTGACAAGGGCACTGCAAGGGAGGTGATGGGCAAGAGGGCAATGCCGAACAGCTTTGTGAAATGCATTTCAAGAGAATCTCTAAGCTGATAGTGGAAGGCTGTTGAGTGTAAGGTTGTTGCGACCTGGAGACTCTATACCATCATTTATATCCTCGTGAAGAACCACTGGTGTGCTGCAGTGGCATCGCCTGGATCGAAGCCGGTGTTACACTGCGCAGAGGGGCATGTTATGCAGCTCTGCTTCTTGAGGCCGAGCATGTCCGGAGATAGAGTACGCCGTCTGCAGTTCTGCAGACTTGTCAATGCATGGGGAAATGTAGTTGCCGTTGATGGTGGAAGTCCACACGCCCAGCAATGCCTCAATTCGTGCGCAATCCGAATGCTCATCAGCAGCCCCAGACGATCATGTTTGCAAGAGCTTTGTGTTACAGATCTTGCTATACCTGGACCAGGCACTCCACGATCTGAAGATTCGCTGCGATGCAGATGGCTAACAGCTCTGATCATGGTCGATTTAGTGATATTGCCACCGACGTTGCGAACCCAGCTCGCTGTGCAGATAAGTGAGTAATATCTCAAATACTCCATGCGCGTAGCTGAGCAACGTTGTTCGGGAGCAGGCTGTGCATGGTCCTCTACCAGTCGGATTATGAAGCGGCCTTATATGATGGCCTTCGTGCGGACAAAGCTGCAGAGATCTTGCGCATGTGGCTGAGAGCTATACCATTGGGTATGCACCATACTCGGCTTAGCCCCACATCGAACCAAACGAGTGCAAGAACCACATACGGACGGAGCACAGGAGCGTGATCTGACGATTGCAGATGATGCTATGCTGGATCTTGATTATTGGAGTCTTGTCGAGGTGCGTTGCTCGCCAGTCACCAGGATCCCGGCAGCTCGAATCGAGCTCTTCTTTTTGAGACGCTTCTGCTTTCCCTCACACATTGTGCTCTGGCGATAGAGCGTTTGAATCCGACTGCTTCATCGTATAAATGAATGCCCGTTTAATGATTAGCCTTGAAGCATTGCGGCCATGATACTGCAACACGAGGGTTGTTCAGCAATGGTTGTTGTTGAGCAGTTTTTGCAGAATCCAGCATAACATCAATCCTCTTCACTCTTGACCTCATCATTCGCTCGCCGATACAAATGAATCTGGTACCGCATATTCTCCAGCTCCATACGATACTCCAGTCCTTGAGGCAACCTGAACCATCTAGATTCATCCGAAACGACCTTCTCCCACTTCGCTGGTGTCTCTTCTTCACCACGCTTCTGTTGTGTGCCAAGAAGCGTATGATCAAGCAGCCATTGCATAGGATACTTCTTCTCAGCTTCATTGATCGAAACAGTCGAGTAGCTTCCAGGACTGTCCACAACTAAAAGATGTGCTCCAGGTTGTGTCGCTTCTGTGATTTTCGCGAGCATTTTCTGTGTCTTGGGGACGGAAGTCGAGTAGAGTTCGTTGAGTGTGAAAAGGAGTGTTATGAGATCTGTGTTCTCGTAGATTGCCTTGCTTTGCGAATCGTCCAGGTCCAGTGCGTCAGCTTCTTGGAAAGTGGCCGCGAACGCATCCTCCGGAAGTAACGCGACATTCGCTGCCTTGGCAGCTGCGGAAGCGTATTGTGACAGGACCGGCGGACTTACAACAGCTCCTCGCAAATTCGAAACCGTAGGACCCCATGCAGCGATATCCAGAAACAATGCTGAAATCCTGGCATCCGGTTCGTCTCCTCTTCGTTCAGACAACCAAGCAGCAAGCGCAACCAATTCAGCACCAGCACCACCTCCCAAACAAACCACCTTGAGCACTCCTCCCTCGTCCTCTTCTCGTCCCTGACAAATGTTCTCTTGCAAATCACTGAAAATCTGCAAATACCCCAAAGCTCGACTAGGACTCCACCTCTTAGCATAAACGTTCAAATACTCATCCTTCCCAAAAGCCTTTGCAAAATCCCGTCGATACAAATGGCCTTTGACTTCTTGCAACAAAACCGTATCATCATCATTCTCTCCCGAAGACTTCAAAGCATCCCGAAAAATATTCAAACATTTCTGCTGCAGCGCCAAAGGAACAGTTGAAACTGCTTGCTCGGTCTCACTCTCATTCTCAGTCTGCTTGCGTTGCGATGTCTTCTGGGGTTTATTCTTGTTTTGAGGCAAGCGCTTATGCGAAGCTGCTTTCCAGCTTTCGGTTCCTCGAGCCATTTGATGATCTGGGCATTTTCTGTCACTCGCGCTCGTTTCCGCTTTTTCGTCTCGGATCCGGAGGGAAGTTGTGGAGGAAATGAGCTTGGTGTGCGGAAAAGCCGACGTTCCGCCATGGAGCGAGCGCCGACTTCGCCGTTGCCGTGAAGGCGGGGCACCAACTTGAAGTGGGATGGGATGGTCGTGGTCGTTTAGAAAGACAGTCATATATCAAGTCACTTTGGAAAGATATAAATACCGAGCAGTATTGGATTGAAGAGTCTCCTCGCATCAGATTTCTTCTACAATTGCGGACGAATAGCAAAAATGCGGCTTCCATACGGTGAGAGAACTCGCCACACTTGGTTCAACCATTGCATTCGCTAATCCCTGTCCAAGTCGACGATGACCCAAAGATGGACACGCCTGAAGACCAGGCCGTAGTCGAACGTGTAAAAGCACGACGAGGTGGAAAACTCATACCACTGGACAAAGCTCTACTACACGCTCCTCCAGTCGCAGATGGCTGGAACTCCTTCCTCAAGTCTATCCGAGAACAAACAACATTACCAGCATCAGTACGAGAGATCGCCATCTGCCATGTGGCTGTGTTGAACCATGCATGGTTCGAATGGGATCAGCATGTACCGATCCTGAGGAAAGCGGGTGTGCTGAGTGAGGAGCATATTGAAAAGCTCAAGGACCGGGAGTGGGATGGCAGCGGACTGGATGATAAGCATCTTACTGTTCTGCAGTATGCCAATGCGATGACGATTGGGGTTATCGTCAAGGATCCGCTGTTTGAGAAGTTGAAGAGTTTGTTCAGTGAGCGCGAAGTTGTTGAGATCACGGCAACTGTCGCGGCATACAACACCGTTTCGCGGTTCTTAGTGGCTCTTGACGTTGGTGAGATGGCGGCCAAGTATAGTCTGGACTTCAGTTAGACCACTTCATGAGAGTTCATTCCAACTATTGCCAGTGCTGAGCCTCCAGATGCTACGAATGCTATGCCGAAACATCCGTATTGTAACGCAAGGGCGAGATGTGAAGCTTCAGCTCGTGCTAACAAGCAAGGTGCAATAAGACTGCTATTTGGGGTATAATTCGCTCAATCTTGTTCTTTCCTTCGACGCTTACGAAGCCGGTGCTTTCTCGTTGAGTGCGGCTTCGATGTCAGCCTTGATCTTGTCTGGAGAGCTCGTGCTGGCTGGACGGAAACTGTTAGCATGGCTTGAATCTTTCGCCGAGAGGTGTGTAAACATACCCCATCGCTGCTTGACCTTGCCGTCTCTTCCGATGAGGAACTTCTCAAAGTTCCACTTCACGCGCTTCAGTCCCATGATGCCCGGCTTCTCGGACTTCATCCACTCCCACACTGGCTCAGCCTTTTCTCCGTTTACATCCGTCTTGCCCAGAACTGGGAATGTGACGCCGTAGTTGAGCTGACAGAAGCTCTGAATCTCATCGTTGCTGCCTGGGTCCTGTCCGCCGAATTGATTGCATGGGAAGCCGATGATCTCGAAGTCCTCGTGCTTTGGCTTGACCTCTAGTGGAGACAAGCATGTCAGTATGCAGGCGCGAGTCAGGCCAAGACGCAGATGCAGCTGTCATACCTTTGTAGAGCTTCTCGAGGCCCTCAAACTGTGGAGTGAAGCCGCATTTGGACGCGGTGTTCACGACCAGGACGACCTTGCCCTTGAGGTTTGAGAGCGGGTATTCCTGACCCTTCTTATCTTTGGGCGTGAAGTCGAAGAAAGTGGTAGCGGACGACATGGCGGCGTAGGTTGTTCGTCGGTAGGTGAAGGCTACGGTGGTGGGAAGTTGGATGCGCTTGGAGGCGGAATGGAGGACAGAGATTGCAGCACGAGGCATCACAGTCTAGCGTGGTGCGGCGAGAGAGGTAATTGTCATGGGAGGAGCTCCCTCTCTCACTTGCCCCGGCACGAGCGATGCCGTCATTCGCTGCTGCCAGAAACGACCACGTCTCCGACGGAGTCAGCACCAAAGAGTCGCACGCCGCGCATCCGCGACCAGGTCCTCCGCCCACCTGCTATCGCCGCTTTATAAGCCTCTCATACCCGCCAACCGATGTACGGCGTCGCCGCGATCGCGCTGGTCGACAGTTACGAAGCAGTCCAGATCGGCAGCCTGCCGACGCCGCAGCTCCTACTCGGCCAACTCGGCTGGTCTTATCACATGAAAATCCACTTGCTGTAGGAACCCGGCCGCCTTACGTGAGTTAGCGGGTCGCCAGCGCTCCTCAGGCAGCGCACGAATGTCTTCTTTCACAGCCAAGGCTGCCAAGGATAGCATGGTCACAACATGAGGACGTTGGGTTGGGTCTGCAATTGAGAGATGAACATGTGCGTGAAGCACACCATCACCTTCGGGCGGACGTGAAGCTTTTCGGCCGAAGAGGATCGATGGCGCACCGATCTTCCACTCAGGATGCCCGCTAAGAGACAGCGTAGCTTTCAGAGGACCATCTGCATTGAGCAAAAGGTAGGGTACGGCGAAGCGGAACACAATTTCTATTCTATCTACATTTCATACGCGACAGACTGTTGTCAAGCGAGCGCGGCGTCCAGCTTAGCAAGCAGTCAGAAGCAGAGCAATATCAAAAGAACGAGAGTATGGGAATCAATGTGGCAATTGTTGGGAGTGGTATGCAGGAGTGATAGTCCTTGTACACTCAGCTTAACAAACAGCAGCTGATATTGTTCACCATTTACAGGCCCGGCGGGCTGCATGCTGGCACGCCTTCTTCTGAACAACGACAGCCATGTCACCGTAACGATTTTCGAAAGTGAGAGCAGCATTGACTTCAGATCTCAAGGAGGCACTCTGGACCTGCACGAGAAAACTGGTCAAGCTGCACTCAAGAAAGCTGGACTGTTCGACGCATTCTTGAAGTACGCTAGATATGATGGCGAAGCATTCAAGATCGCGGATAAGAATCTCCTCTGCTATATCACGCAGCAAGGATCAAAGGGCAGCTCAACTACTGGGAGACCTGAGATTGACCGGCCAAGGCTAAGAGAGTTGATATTCAGGAGCCTGCCTGAAGGCACAATCCGGTGGAGCAAGAAGCTTGTCAAGATCAGCGATGGTCACGTGCTTTCTTTCGCAAACGACAGCACGGCCAGTGGCTTCGATCTCATTGTTGGAGCAGATGGCGCATGGTCGAAAGTTAGACCCCTACTCAGCGATGCCAGACCCTACTACAGCGGCATAGCTGGTCATTCGCTTCTCATCTCGAACGCCGAACAACAAGTGCCCGATCTACACAAACTGGTCAATCGCGGTAACCTCTTTGCCTTCTCGGACGGCAAAAGTATCATGGCGCAGCAAATTGGAGACGGCAGCATCAATGTTGCAACCTGGGCAGTAAGGCCGAGCGATTGACAACCAGCTTACAATGTCCACGATCTCGAAGAAGTGAAGAAGGCAATTCGCTTGGAATATGCGGACTGGCATCCTGAGCTGCTTGCCCTGACACAAGCCGCAAATGGCGCGGCACAGCCCAGAGACTTGTATATGCTGCCAATTGGCCACAAATGGAAACATCGACCGGGCGTGACGCTGATCGGAGATGCAGCCCATGTGATGGTGAAGACGCTCCATCCACTTCTCCTACGTTGCCAAACTGACCACTTTGCAGACACCGTTTGCAGGGGAAGGCGTTGATCTCGCATTCCAAGACGCCATGAAGCTCGCCGCAGCAATCAAGGCGTCTCATTCGAGTCAGGAGCTTGATCGTAAAGTCGAGGCATTCGAGAGAGATATGTTCCAACGAGCGACGGAGACACAGCAATTGACTTACGACATGATGACCGCGATGTTCTTCACGCCTGGTGCGCCACGAGAAGGCATTGAGCGATACATCCTTCGTGCGGTCAGAGGAGAGCTAGGGCCTTGGATCACTACTTTGCTGACCCCAGTGGTATACGTGTGATTCTTTATTTTTAAGCTCTTATGGTGAGCGGGCTTAAGGCTGGGTACTCCCTGTTATTATTTAGGCGAATGTGAGATTCACATCGTCAGTTGCCGCACCACGCAACTATGCTGCTCGCTAGCCTCTGCCTTTACCATCTCGTCGCCGCAAAGATGCGACTACATTATGTCAAAAGTCTCGAAAATGATGATTGAGGGATCCAATCCCGTCATCGCCATCACCCGGCGCCGCAAAACTATCCTTCGTCTCGTTCGTACGCGCCGTCATTGGTCTGCTCTCTCGGCCTTCACGTTTGAGATAGTCCGCGTAAAGCTTACTACTCGTGAAGTCTTGCGCTCCTCCACCTCTAGTACTCGACGACCCAGCTCTACTCAAACTCCCCGTCAAAATTGCCGACTCGTCCTCGCAAACAACCACCATCCAGACACCAACACGATCATCCGAGCCAAACAGCGGAGTACAATGCAACCAACGTGTCCTCCTACCTTCCATTTCCGCACTAGAATTCGAAGTAAGCCAATTGACTTTCGCCGTAACGCCCGTGCCACGAGTCAAAGCATCCAGAAGTCCTTCTCGAACTGAAATTGGTCCGCCGATTCGATCGAGGAATTTTGTTTGGATTAGGCCTGGGATTCGTAGAGAGGGGGATGTGAATGTTATGCGTAGAGAAGGATAAGGGCGAACGAGTAGATAGCTTTGATACACGCCGGGGAGTCGTCCAGAAGGACCGAGGTTTGCTGCGGGCCAGAGGTGTCTTTCCGTAGCAGAAGTTGAATCTTCCATTCCGAGAATTATACGGCTGGATTTTGATCCGGTTCGATTAAGCAGAACTTTTGAAGAAGATGTCATGGATCCTATTCCGCCCGTTTCAGATGGGACTCTACTTCTGGTCTTTTGTTGTGCTCTGTTCTTCACGATTTCGGCTTCTTCTTCTGTAAGAAGTTGGCCCCAATCGCTTAATATCGCCATCGGATCCCGTCTTGCACTTTTCCGTGATGCAGAGAAACTCCCATTCAGGGCTTCTGTCCCGTATTGAGCGAGAAGTTGAGCAAATGACTCTACTCCTCTGCCATTTTCAATAAGAGATGAAACGTCGATTTGACAGCCTAGGAAGTACCGTACAGCGCCTTTGTTGTCGTATAGAGGGGCGATCATCAGGAGATTCATGAATGGTGTGCCGTCTCGTTTGTAGTTCAGGATCGTCTCGGTACATTCTTCTCCTTTCGTCAAAGCTTGTATGAGTCTTGCGACTGTTGTGTCTGAAGATTTGGGACCTTGGAGGAATCTGCAGTTGCGGCCGATGGCGAATTCTTTGGTATATTGCGTGATATTGTAGAATTCCTCGGAGGCGTACACGATAGGGTTGTCTTGGACACTGGGATCGGAAATACAGTAAACTTCAGCCAAAGATGGGATTAGTTCGTGCATGATTGGGGCGCTGTTTCCGGTGATTTCTTTGACTAGTGTGTCGGTGACGAGACACACTAGTCGATGCGTAAGGTAAGCTGGTAAGGCCTCTTCGACCAATGTCTGTTCTTTCTGCTTTGTCTGCGTTTCGAATCGTTCGTCTAGTCGAGCTGTCCGGAGTGGTGAATAGGTCGCTGGTGATTGCAGGCGATTGGCCACGGCGTTGGCATATTCAATTGCTGCAATAGCCTTCTTGGCTTCAATGTAGTCTTTCAAAACATCGATATATGCAGGTCTGTAAGTCTTCAGAAATTGCTTGAATCGCACAGTGAGGGCGTAGTCCTTGAGAATCAGGTCCAGATGGTCAGCAGAGAAGAATCGTTCTGACAAGGCTTCGAGCTCATTATTGAGTTGGCGAGGTCGGATGGGAGGCGGAGGCTTCAAGTTGTAAGAGTCCCGCTCTTCGGTTGAGTCTCTCGTGTCGGCCACTTCTGTGCTATTAGTGTAGAGCTCATCGTGTGACTCCTCGGGTATATCGAACACACTCGGTGATCTCGGTCCAGCTGCTCAGGACATCAGTGCATGTTCTCAAAAATACCAGCAAGTGCTGACTAACGAAGAGTTGCATTTTCCGATGGCATACCAATTGGTGAGCTTATCAGCTGTTCGTCTTCGCGTTGTTCTCTTGAGTTCAGATCCGGAGATACATTCACCACTCTGAGACTGCCAGACATATTCTCCGAGCCAGAAATGCGGCGTAACTTTGGTGTGGTAGTCCTCGCAACATGCTCGCCATCTGATGGAGCCTGGGTCTTCTCTAAAGTATCCGCGTCACACATACTGGCACCACGATCGGAAGCCACAGCACGCGGGTCAGGGATCCCTTGATGGTTCCAGACATAAGGCTGGTCGCACTAGTGATAGTGTCAGCTCGCCAATGTCGTGCCGCAGCAGCTGTGATGGTGACATGTGCTGCCGATATATTTGTTACACAACCTGGGGTGCAGAATGCGATCCCTTTCTAATATAAATCAGCCCAAGGTGAACATTGGGTAGCCGGATCCAGCTCCCCACGGGCATTGGCTCTTTTTAGCTCCAGATCCAGACGATCGTAAACTGGGAAAGTTGGCGATGAGGAGAGCCGAAAGTGACGTTCGATCGGACGTGCCGATGCCGACGCGGACATGGATTGTCAAAACAGCTCCTGCGCGACTGCTATGCAAGTGTCTATGTTTATATAAATGCAGCAATCGAACAGTGGCTCAATTGATACCAGTCTGCGTCAACGTTTGTCGAGCGGTGGTCAGCTTCAATCCGACTCTCGCATCAAGCTCAAAGCTTCCCCATCTTTCCACCTTCGCAAGCTCGTCACTGCACAGCTTGAGCTTTGCAACATCGCCGTCTTGACCTCCCGCCTCGTTCCAGTGGCAAACGGAGAGCTCATAGTGTGCTACAGGCAAAGGCCAATTGTCCGCTTGATCGCATGCAGTGATCTGGTGCGGCTCGTAACAGAATACATGCTCACCGAGCATCGTTTTGGCCTCCTCGGTCTTTCCAAGATTCCTCAATACAGTTGCTTGCAACACTGCACAGATGGCTTTCTCGTCCACAGCTTCGCCAGGCCAAGTCGGTTGGTCACGCGACCAGGCCAGCCGAGCCATGGACTCTTGCAAATGCGCCGGACTCATGCGCTTGTAGCCGTTCCAGAAGTAGATCATCTCCTCGAGTGGAGACACGCCAATTGCATCGATAAGATCGCAGTCGCGAGTCTTGGCCCGATGCTGCCACTTCACAAGTTTGCGATTGATGTACACGTCCAATGGTAACTGTCGTGCCATGAATTTTTTCTTGCCCGTATTACTCGCGACCTGGCCGAGGAGATGCTTGGCCTTATCTCGGTACGTCTCTGCAAGCTTCGGATCTGTGTGCTGACATTGTCTGTACAGCTCCACGAAACAGGAACCAGCAATGTAGTAGTAAAGTCCATGACTCCAGTTATTGAGATGTACGCACTTCTGAAATGCCGCAGCGCATTCCTCGTACCGGTGCAGGAACATTAAAGCCATGCTGGTCTCAAAGACGCGAAGAGCTTCCATCTGCTTCAACGATGAAGTTTTAGCATCGCGAGTGAGGATATCCACTGCTTCTTCCAGGTTCCGTTCCACGCCATGCATTCGCGATTCCTCTAAGACCCACATGATGGACCGTGGATAGAGAGTGCGCATCTCCTTCAAAAGACCATGAAGCCTCTCTTTGGGATATGACTCTTTCCTGTGAATGTCGCACAGCGCAATGGCGGCGTTGTGGAAAGGCAGGAGGACCAGGCCAGCCATGGCACCATTGATGTTGTTCTTGAATGCCGTAGCTCTCCAGAGCAGGCGCATGCCCGCCTCGCGATCTCCACGAAAAGAGAAGATCGAAAGGATCTTCCCAAAGGCCGGAGGTATCATGGAAAGCAGGAGCTGTAGCAGTCCAAAGCACATCGCGGCTCCCGAGTGTATAAAGTGATCTATTGGATCGTCCATGATGGCTCTGAAGTCGAAACCGTCGACCTCGGTGTCAGGCTGCCGTTTCGAGCTGGACGATTCATATGCTGGTGGCCCATCACCGGCTGCACCATTGGCTGTCCCAGATCCGTTACCAGCCGTGTCTTTCTCCAGTGTTTGCGGTTTGTCCTGCAGGTTCAGCTGGTCCACATCAGGATATTCAAGCTTCCCCTGATATTCCATAGGTGTTGGCTGTTCCGAAGCACTCTCCACAGCATCTTTGAACTCGTCCTCATCCTCTGTCTTTTCCACAGGTGTTAACACTCCAGATGATGTGCCTGATGTCTCTGCTTCCGAAGCTTTATCCACGCTCGCACTGGACAAAGATGATGTCGACCCAGAGTGATACTTCTCCACGTATCGATTCTCCGCCTCAATGATCTCTGAGAGTGTGGTGAATGCCTTTCGCAATCTGTAGAACCCTCTTAAAGACTCTGTCAAGCTCTCGTTCAGTACCGCAACCACTGCCGCCATGAGTTGCGTCTCGGCATGGCAGAGCGCATACTCAGAACCTCGCGGATAGATTTTGCTCTCGTGGGCTGTCGAAGGATCTCGTAGTGCACGTCTTTGGTGTTCGCTGGCTGCCTCTTCCGCGTCTGCAAGTCGCAATGCTGCCTAGAGGAGGGCGGACACCGTCAGCGCGTTGTCCTCGATTCGTGCCTGGACAGCAAAGCCCACACCTGCTCCATAATCTCCTTTTCGAACCCTAGAGTCGCTCGCAAGAACAACGTTGTCGCCGTTCCCAGCTTATGGAAAGGACTGGTGCCTTTGCTCAGCTCAACTTCTGCTTTCTCGACCTCTAGGCACCCGTAAGTACAGCTCATTCGAAGTTCGTCGTAGGCTTGTTACCATCGTTCATGATGAGAGCCGCATGGCTCATTGCCTCTGCCACTATTGCTCATTAGTCGCCTTGTGTGCCAGTCCTCCGCGGCGGGTCCTCACATGCATGCGGCTCGTCCAGCGCCGTGAGGCTCTTGCTGGAGTGCACACTGGGCTTGGCCGCTCGAAGCCATTTCATCGCCATGCTGCGCAGTCTTCCGCTGCTGGCGGTCTACCTTTCCGACATCTGCAAGTAGGAGCAAGAAATCTCACAAAACTTCTAGAGGGTCAGTCCCAGGCGCCACTCGGATGACATGGTGACGGAATAGCTGCCATGACACGTCGCGTGGGCGAGCTGTCAAAGTAACTGGAGAGCTGAGACGCGAATGTGGATCCCGTTTCTGCACAGCCTCTCCGTCCGTCTGCTCGACTGCAAAGCTCGCATCCGTGCCGAAGCAGGCCGCTAAACATTCGCTGACGCAGATGGAACGAGATGGAGTGTGCAACATTGGTCGGCGGAGGCCATGCATGGACGGAGACAATCCTGGCAGGCGGACACGAAGCCAGCCACAACGACGTCACGGAATTTCCCACGAGCAGAAGCTGACACAGAAATCACCGACGAACAACGGGAACAAGTCTATCATTACAATCTACTTCTCCATCTCCTTCTGCGCCTCCCGTCTAATCCGACCAGAAATCAGATACACCGCCGCCCGCATCTCCAATATCGGATCCGCAGAAGGCTCAATACCCTCAACCCTCGGAATAGGATCAAAAATGATCTTCTGCTGCTCCTTGAGACTCTCATCCGTCTTCACATAAGTCTCAAGAACAAAACTGCCCAATTCCACAAGTTCTCTGCTTTCCGGCCACCTCATAGTCGCATCGTCAGTAACATCGCCCTCTTCCGCAACCTGAACCACAAGCTTCAGCGTCACAGATCCCTTCCCAAGCCTCTCTTCCAATTCCTCGAAGAGATAAGAATCAGATTTCTCCTTTAACTCCTCCTCCGAAAGCGTAATGTACTCCTCAGGCACCACACGATACCTCCCAAACTTCTCCTGTCCTTCCTTATTCACAAACTTGAAAGCATTAACCATAAAAAACTTATCCGTCAAGAAACTCTCCGGATAAGGTATAGGGACTTTGAAAAATGCGTCAGCAGCTGGACTGCCTTTCAGAAACTCTTCAAAAACTCCGTTCTTCGATGCATGCATCAGTGATAGGAATCCTTCGCCAGATGCTACTGGAAAATTCGGAGTTGAGTGTCCGATGATATCTGTATGCTGATGACCATCTTCACTGAGCAGGAAGCGAATTGCTAGACCTCGAGGACTGGCTTTGGGATCTTTGTCTGAGATTGTTGGAAGGCCGGTTCCGACGGAGAATCGCATTAAAAACGGTGTTGAGGCATGGTTGAAGTGTGGTGCTTTTGAGAGTGATGCGGCTTCAGCGGCTGGTTTGAATGTGCCTTTCACGAGGTGTCCTTTGGCATGAGCTGCGGGGGGTCAGTCCTATTCCAGTCACATCTTGGGATTAAAACTGTATATTCTTGCCTGGACGAAATGCTTTCGGGGTACCAGCACTTTCACGAAGTACGCTCACGAGCTTGTTCGCAACGTCAAGGGTGTGGGCGTCGCTTGTCAAAGGCATGTTGAGAGGAAGAGATCGATGTTACGCTACGTGAGGACAGGCATCGCTTTGCATTATATTGCTTTCTGTGCCGCATCTGTCAGCTGAATGCCTAGCGAGGGCGTCACATCTCAGCTGCAGGATCGCGGTATCGATGTTCCAACAGCACGTGCGCTTGATCCGCTAAGGTAAGTTGCAATCGGGCCATGTTCATTCGCCGTAGGCTGTGCTCTGTTGCTCGAGTAGATATTATTTTAGTACCTCGATAGACGAAAATGTGCTCGCATATGCTCATTGTTTGCAGCTACCTTGTCATGGCTTCCCCACGCTGCTTACCCAAGGATTACCGAGCAGCTGCATCGGTTATGTCTAATTCTCAGCCAGGAATTTCCATGGTCCAATCAGACTGCTGTATTTGCATCTGCACTTAATGTAGCACCGGTGAACCTCTGCTTGCCGCACTTACTCTGACGCAGTTTCGTAGGCTGTGAGTGTCAAGCAGATCATCCTTATCGCCACAAGTGCAGGCTAGCTCATATGCAGGTCTTTCCGATAGCCTCAAATTTCTCTCTGATGTCGTCGGGATGCACTCTCCTGCCTGTCTTGTCATGAAATGCGCTCGCGATGCCCAACCAGCTCGCCTCGCCATGCTTGCCTATCAGTTGGCATAGCAGTTGCAGCTCATCGAAGGAGAAGAAGTCGTCCTCTTGGAGGGCTCGCCATTCGCGGATGCTGAACTTGACCGACGACCGAGTGCTTCGAACACTTCCTGCCACAGAGCCAGCCCTAGAAGAGGCCTTCTTGACGACGCTGGCTGGCTTCTTGGCGGTCTCCTGTTTTGTATGCTCTTTCTTAGCGTTGTCTTTCTTCTCAGCTGCATTCGTAGTCTTCTCCTGCTTCGGCGGTTCATCTTTCTTGGGCTCCTCCTTTGCAGCATCGCCACCGATCTCATCCCAGCGCTTCTTGCACGCTTCTTGCGGCTTCTTGAGCGCTTTTGCGACAATCTTCCATGTAGATCCAGCTTGCATCTGGTCTCGTAGCTCACTGTCTTCGGCCTCCGTGAAAACGAACTTGTCGAGTTTTTGCTGACCTCCACCATTGTTGTTGTTCTTGCCAGCATCTTCATTCTCTTTCGCTCCTTTGTTACCCTTGCCTTTGCCCTTTCCCTCACCTTTCTTCTGCTCCTGCGGCTTATTCTCGTTGTCCTTCTTGTCGTTCGACTCTCCTCCGCCAGCTTTACCTGCGTCCTTAATCTCATTCCAGCGCGCCTTCAAGCAGTCCACTCCCTTTCCCATTTCCTCCGCGATGTCCTTCCATGATCTGGAGCCGCCCTTGCTAGTCGGCTCTTTCAGCTCTCTCAACTTTGCATCCTCTTCAGGAGTGAAGTCGTTGCCAGGCTTACCCTCGGCCTTCTGCGCATTGTCTTTGCCGCCCTTCTTCTGATCGTTCGAAGGCTTGCCTTCTTTCGAACCTTTCTCTTCTTTCTTTGATTTGCCATCATCCTTGACGCTCTTCTTCTCTTCGCCGCTCTCTTGTTCCTTCATCTTGTTGACACTCTTCTTGATGTCCTCAAATGTGATGACTTCGGTTCCAGCGACAATTCCACCTCCGTTGATAATACTCGAGCCCTTGTGGCGCACCATGACGAGCTTCCCACGCCTGTCGCGCCTGATTTCCGCATCTGCGATGGCTGAAGCAGAGGGTAGTTGTAGACTTTCCATGGACCTGTTGAGTGGCTGACCAGTGTCAGAATCAACCAAGTACATCTTCGGCGCCGCTATTGAGCGATAGGGGAACAACGTGAAAGACATGTTGTGGAAGGAGACTCGAAGAATGGGATTAAATGAAGTGAAATGAGAAGAGACGGAAGGAAAAGGGTGGTAAGTGGAGGTAGTGATGCGAAGGTGTCTGAGAGCGAGACACTTTCGAGCAGCACAATGAATGAGGCGACTAGTGAAAGGAGTATGCGGAAAGAATTCATATGAAAGGAACTTCGGGACTGACCTGGCTCCTTCTGCTGGAGTTGGACTTGATGGCGCTTTTTGGCAGGAGCAGGTCGAGTGCCGAGATATTGGGTAGCTGCACAGGTAGGTTGTCTGCATGTGTCGCTTCCGCCGCGAGAGAGGTCGAGAGACGGCCCATGGTGGGTAGCTGTATGTGTGGCCCTTATGAGTTTCTTTTGTCAGTGAGTGAGGATTGCGATCGGCGATGGAAATCAATATCGAAGCTATGATGTTGGCGTGAAGTGTAGCCGGCGTCATGGCAACGGTCGCGCCGTTCGGCGAACGTGAAGCTGCATCTGTAGACATCTCTTGCACGGAGTTTTGAAACAGCGCATAGTCAGTTTGGAGGGCAGAAAAGCAAGAACCTACAAAATGTGCGCCGCACACAAAATCGACCAGAGGAGCAAGACAAGTCTGCGGAGGAAAAAAGTCTAAGACTGAGGTGCCTGGCGACTGGTTCAACATCAGCTAAAAAGCGTACTCGATATCAGAGATGCAATCAAGACCATGATAGGCATTGGGGCAGGTGCAAAATCTGCATTTATGGGTCGTTTCTTCATCTGGTGGCGTGCATCGTGCTTCGCGTAAGACGTCCTTTACTGCCTGCTGTGCATCGATTCTTATCAGACTGGGAAGCGGCAGACCACGAGCTTTGCCTGTGCCGAGTCCAGTCGTTTCGCAATGAGGCGTCCACGCATGTATTGTGCCGCCTGGTGTCTATCGTAGGGCGAAAAGAAGTCATGAGTTCGTCGGAACGACTTTTCGCGAGGAGCGCTTCGATGCGGATTTTTGCACCCTTGTTTCGCATTATCGCACTGGTAAGTTGAGCAATTGTGCCCAGGATGAGTCTGTACTGCTGTTCGATGCCTTGACTTCAATCCTGTCTTTTCGGCGTCGAAGGCCGAAGGTTGGCACCTGCCACATGAGCCCATCTTGAAATCATGCACTACTTATCAGCTCGCCTGCGTGTCCAGCCTATGTGTATCAATGCTTTCTGCATAGGCTTCACTGTAGCACAACGCGGACCGCAAGCCAAGCCAGAGCGGGAGAGAGGCTGTGGACACGTGAAAGGAGAAGTGAAGTGAAATGTGAACCCTTGCCAAGACACCAGATTCACGAGATCTCCACCACGATTGGACTGGGAAGCAGCAGGAGACCAGGGGTCTTGCACGAACACGTTTGTTCTATCCCCACGACCACGCTGCACAATTGCACCTTCGATTCTGTTACGATCCAGCTTCACCAGCCACCACGATGGCGTTCCTTGTCAGCATTCTGGTTTCGGTGCTGTCGCTGTTCGCCTTCAGCAATGCGCACAACATTCAGCTGCGGGCCCACTCCCGAGAGTGCTTCCACGAGAATCTCCACAAGGACGATCGCATGACCGTCACGTTCCAGGTCGGCGATAGAGAATTTGGAGGAAGTGGAAATCTGGATATCGACTTTTGGGTGCGTTGAACAAGAGGAGCGACATTTGGACTAGGATTAATGCATGGGTGGGACTTATACTGACCCGGAGGCTCTGCGATAGATACAAGCACCGAGCAATTCGTTCCTCGTCCACCAGCGAACCGTCAGCGCCGGAGATCACTCCTTCGAGGCGAAAGAGGATGGACGATACACATACTGCTTCAGCAACGAGAACTGGTCAGCGAACACAAAAGAAGTCAGCTTCAACGTGCACGGAATTGTCTACGTGCCCGAGAGCGAGGCACCACAAGATCCTCTAGAGAAAGAAGGTGTGTTGGATACCGATGATACTGCCTGTCATGTACATTGCTAACAATACCGAGTCCGCGCCATGTCCGAGCTGATGGCTCAGGTCAAGGACGAACAAGGATACATCGTGGTTCGCGAGCGAACACATCGCAACACAGCCGAGAGCACCAACGCTCGTGTCAAGTGGTGGAGTCTGCTCCAGCTCGGCGTTCTCGTCGGCGAAGGCGTCTTCCAAGTCTGGTGGCTCAAGCGTTTCTTCGAGGTGAAAGATCCCTCTCGTCCTTCCTTCGGACGGGGAGCGTTGGGCTAATCTACTGGCTATCAGGTCAAGCAGCTCGTGTAAAAAGTACACGACCCATGTGAAGTCTGAATTATGTCGATATGCAGCGATAGACGCGATGAAGCCGAAAAGCAATCACAGCTTGCTCAAACTGCCACGCTCCACCTTCCCAAGAGTCTCGTCAATCCTCGAAATGCAGCATGCTGACCGACTCTCAATTCGGCCTGCACCAGCGCATCAACAACAGTAGTACTATATCATCTAGTCGCCCTCCATTGCTGTCCAGGAGCGAGTAGAATGCTGCTGCTAGGCCTCTTTGCTCCTCTGCTCGCTTGCTTTGCGTCCTGGGTGTATGATACAGAGCCCGCTTCTTCGCAGGATTGCTGATGCCGAATTCCCAGGTGTTCTTGTCCTGGGCGAATCGCAATACAATCACTCTCGCAGTGGGTGAATCTGGATCTTCAGGAGTCAGTGAGCATCCGAGAAAAGACTTCGGGTGGTATACTTTTCCTCGCGAACTGGAACTGTTTGACCGCATTGAAGTTCGCGGTCTCGCCCATTGCTCTGACCCAGTTTCGTGCTGCCTGGAAATTTCGCTCGTATGTCAGCCCGAATCTGATGGTACTGCGGGCGTAGAACATCAACAGCGTTTCTTCGCGTAGCTGGCGGTTGGCACGCGTGATCCCTGGCTGGTGGTGACTTCCGTGTCGAACAACGGCAATGGCGTGGCAGGCAAAGACAAGCTCGTAGATCTGGCCGCGGAGCTCCGCCGGTAACTTGAGAAAGCGACACACGTCCTTGGATAACGTCTTCGGGGTACTCGTGGCGCGCTTCGTGGGTTCATCGCTGACTGGATCTGGAGAACAGAGTGGATTAGTTTTTGCTAATCTGATTGCTAAGTTTTCGTATAACATCGTGGCATGATGTTGTTCTTCTCCAGTGACGGAAGCGAGCTGTTCAGTCAAGGTGAGTTGGGCTGGCAGTGGAACTGAAAGGAAAAGTGCGCTAGTGTTTCAGCTTGCACAAGCTTCACTTCACTTCCAGCTGCGGCTTGGCATCAACAAAATGTCTGCAACAGACACAGCTCGAAGCTGCAAGAACATCACAAAGCATTTCAAAATTGCCGCGCGAGAGATGATGCGAAGCACGGCGGCACTCGAAGCACTCGTCGCGCTCATGGAGAAGTCCCGCTTCCGGAGTCGAGCAGAGCACATATCGATATGTGTGGACGCCCGTTGAAAATGCTGCATCTGAAGTACAGCTGCGCGCGCGTGCGGTCGATTGCAAACTCAGCAACTGCGGGCCTCTCGTTTTGACCAGCACACCTTTCGAAACACTCTTTGCTCACGACATACCACACGACCTGACCTTCTCTCGTCTACCGCTCGGCTTCGTTGACTTCTTCGCTTTTGCCCACCGGCAGCAGCTATCCATCCACTTCGAATATCACTGCAAGCACACGCACGCACTCAAACTCAAGCACAGCGATCCAGTCACTGCTCAGCCACTTGTCACTCACCAGCAGCCGCGACCCAGCGACTTCTACCCTTACCGCAAGCCCACGCACAAGCTCAGCCTCAAGCACAGCGATCTACTCACTACCCACTCACTGTCATGGCTTTCCACTACGGTGCCGGCGCGATGAGCAGAGCCGCCATCAACATCGCAAATCCCAGTCAGCGCTGGATCGAGCCCAACCCAGAAGAAGTCTCCAAAGGTAAGCAAGTGATTAAAAAGGCGGCGGCAGGCATCAAGAAAGGCGGGCGCGAACTGGCACGCGCACCCTCACGTCTGAGCAATTTGCGGCGTCTATCATACGCTTCATCACGTGGAGGAGGAGGCGAGTCTCGGCCTGTGAGCCGTTTGAGCGCTTGGATGGACAAGTATATTATTGGGGAGGAGAAGGAAGGAGAGGACAGTACCGAGGGACCAGGAGTATCGGATACAAATATCGAAGAAGAAGAGGCAAGTGAGGGTGGAAATGAGGCAGGAGTAGGACAAGCAAGTGAGGAAAAGGAAGAAGAAGTGAAGAAGACGCCAAGCAGAACGGCCTCAATGATCAAAAGAGCCTTCAGCTTCCGCAAGAGTCGCGCGTTCCGCGCATCCACAGCACCATCCACTCTGCAACCACCACAAGAAGAACCGCAGAGCGACGAAAAGAGAGGCGGCACCACCACCGCCACACCACCAAGCGGCGAGGGTAGTCCCCTCGTTCGCGTTGCAGCGAACGAGTAAGTTTTTCTTCTCTGGTTTTCGCGTCGAATACCAAGCCACTGACTGTCAATATCAGAGAAATCCCCGACCGCACGACGTCGAGAGAAGCCCCGGTCTTGCCGCTCCCTTCCTTCCCATCACTCATCACAATGCCTTCGGGCGGGGAGATGGAGGGGAGCGGCGCTGGACCGGTTGGCGGAGAAAAGGTGGTGGTGGAGGAGGAGGAGGAAGAGGAGGAGGTGGTGGCCGTGGCGAGCCTGGCTTTCGTGGGTAGGGCTCGCCTGGTCGACCTCTCCGCTGAGGAGTAAATAGCTGCGGCAATGAAGGTGGCTTTGGGGTGATGTTTATGTTTCCCGTGTTTTCAGAGAATGTGTCGTGTTGTGTGATTTTACTGCTGACTTGACGTAATATGGCTAATTTTGTAGGTGAGTTTACTCGTATCTGTTGCTCCTCACGATCTCTCTCCGCTCGTCGAGTAACTTCGAAAGCGTCTGGAGTGGAGATGCTCCAGATTTACGAATTATAATAGACCAGAGATCCCATCTTGTAAAACTAGCACTCCTGGTAGGCCAGGTGAATGTCCCCATATTTCTGCCCCCTTCTTCAATTCCTCTGCCAGCCAACAGACATCAAAGCCATCCAGTATGCAGACGCTCCACATCTGTTCAGTACCTAAAAAATCAAGATTACAGAACACCGAAAAATCTGCATACTGGATCAGCAGGAGAGTCGGAATTGCAAGTATTAGTGGGCTTGCCGGTGCTGGATATTATAGCTTCAGTGGATGTGAGCAACAGCAACAGAAACATGGGCCAGGACTCTGCTGGTTGGATGAGTCGAATGGCATTCGGTATGGAGACGCTTCGGATCAGTAGCACGCAGACACGTCAGAGACACGGCCAGTACTTCTGCTGAAAGGGAATGTATGTATCCGTGATTTCCTACATCCTCATGACACATCTCCGCTGGTCAAAATTTTTCCAAGGCACACAGTATGGAGACACTCCGGATTTATGCCGCCGCGCAAGATCAGAGATCCAGGCTCCGATAATCAGTATTGCTTCCACTCATGATATTTCTCCGCTGGTCGAAAACTCTAGAAGGCATTCGATGTGAAGATGATCCGGATTCGTTTGGTCCAGAATACTCGAGACACCACAGTACTTCTCCGAAATTAGGTGAAGTGTATTCATATTTCTGCACGCTTAACATTTGGTTTCTGCTGATTGAAAGATCTGGAAGGCGCTCAGCCTGCGGACACCTCGGATTTTGTTGGCTTTGATAGCCAGAGAACCAGCTCCGGCATGCTGTGCTTCTGCTGATTGAACGACCCGAAAGGCGCTTCGTGTGCAGACGCTGCGAATTTTGTTGGCCCCGAACGCCAGAAAGTCCGCTCCGGCATGCTGTGCTTCTGCTGAGAAAAAGTTTTGAGAGGCGCTCGACCTGCAGACGCCGCTGATTCTGCTGGCCTTGCAGGGCAGAGAATCTGCCTCGAAACGCTGTGCTTCTGCCAGATCCGCGGCTTGTATGCCAACAGGGCTGGAAATGCTCGGTACGTGCAAGCGATTTTCGTGTTGAAAGCATCAGCATTCATGATCATTATTGTAGGGAAGGTGAGATGATGAGAAGTAGTCATAGTCATAAGCAGAAACAACTTTTGGTACTATAGCACTGAGAGCTAGTGACAATCTGTAACACAATAAAGAAAAAGCCCCGAGTCAATCAACCACCCAAGCAGGCAGGAGACATCAGAAGGCAAGACCATAACGCAAGACCGTATGCGACCGTCATCATCCGAAGAAGAGAGGCCCGAGATCGAAAGAAAGAGCAAAAAATCCAGAGCCGCCACATGGCGCTCATACCAATGAACAGAATGAAAAGTCCTCCCCCACCAGCGCCTGCCTTGGCAGCGCCATCCTTCTCCATAGTGAGTAGTTGCAAGTGCAAGAAGTGGTAATCATGGTGCTTCCTCGGAGTCGGCACCGAGATCAACCGCCTTCTGCTTCCAGAAGCGAACTTGTTCTTGAAGTTGAGCAATGGTCGTTTCAAGTTCGTCTCGCTCCTGGACCTTCTTGGCTCGTGACTTACGAGCCGCCGCTGTGTTCCTCGCACGCTTCAGCGCGACAGTGTCATTTTCGTCGACGAGAATTGGTGGAAGAGGCCTGTCACGCTTGCGAGCAGAGACACCAGCAACGTCGGACATCTTTGGCGCAGGGCTGAAAGGTGTCGGTGATGCTTGGGTTGAGCTTCGCTTGCGAGCGTTGCCTTCGCCACCAGGGTGGACAATGATAGTGTTGGAAGAAGTTCGTTCCATGGATGGAGCAACAGGCGCGGGCTTGTTGTCTTCCTCAGGGAACAAAGAGAACCAAGACTTGTCGTTGGCCATCTGGTCGACAAAAAGTGGTGATGTTTGGTAGTCATCCGGTGTATCAAGGAAAGTCGATCCAGGGGTAGTCAGGTTGGTAAAAGATGCTGATGGTGGTACAGAGTCTGCGAACAAGTCTTTCGGAGAGATGGTTCCGGGAGCAGCGTCGGAGTTGACAGCGGTGAAACTGTTCGTGCTGGAACCCATCAACTCGAAGTCGTCGCCGAAGCTGTCGAAGCCGAAGAGTTCGGCGTCTCCACCAGCGTGGAGATCGCCGAACGTGCCGCTGTACGCGACGTTGATTTCTGAGTCCATGATTAGATCAGATTCAGTCGAGAGATCGAGCGGTGCTGAATTACCTCCGCCTCCCATCATGAAGGAAGTGATGTCTGTTTGTAGTTGTTGTAGTTGCTGAGTGTCCTGAATGTTGGATTGATTGCCGAGATGGCCAGTCGAGTTTGCGTGGAAGAGCGGTACAGGTGGACGAGTCGTGCGAGTGTCTCCTTGGGCGATTAAGTAGTTTCCGTTGGCTTGAGGGCCGGCTGGGAGGGCGCTGTTAAACGAAGGAAGCTGCGTCGGACCGCGAGATGCAGCGCGTCGAGAGGGCTGCGGGATCGGATGATCGAACAGCTGGAAGTCTTGCGAGAACTGGGGAGTTGGTGGCGTTTGCCGTGCAGACAGTGGTGTGGGAGGCCATGTTTGCTGTTGTGAAGCCGTGGTGGGCTTTGGGTAGGTGTTCACAGAGCTGGTGTCGAGGAGACAGCGGGCGCTATTGTGAAGGTCCGAGGACGCTTCGAGAGTGGAGTTGAAGTGGTAAGTGGACTGGCCGAGTATGGTGACGGACGGGGGTCTAAGCAGAGGCAGCCATTTTGGAAATGGATGCGTCTGTTGTGGTGTGTGGTATGGCTGGAAGGTGAGGAAGAAAGGCAGAAATGGGTGGGGAAATCGGCGTACTTCAAGGTGCCAGCGCGCGCTGCCAAGCGGCTGCCTCTCGCTGTGAGTCACAGGCAGCTGCGCTCGGCCGCAAATTCACCTCGCGGCCCGGGCACGCTGCAGCAACTCTAACCACAAGACGAATCTCCACTTCACCTGCACACGCCTGCTGCATGCTGAAAATGGGCTCATTGAATACTCACATGCGTGCGCATTCCGGCGAAGCTTTTCGCATCTCTCCAGCGCGTCGCATGGCGCAACAAAGCAGCCTTCTTCGTCGCGCTGGACAAAGTTTCAACGCGCCCGGACAGGGCTGGCTGGTACTTGGTGACCTGCGCATCCACAATCCTGAGGCCGCAAGTCGGCGCAGCTCGCGGCTGTGCGAATGCGGTGTTCGGATTCAGCTTAACTAGAGCGCCGTGTATTCCGGTCAATACTTGTGCAGCTGTCCCGCGTAGGGCGTCGGTCTACTGCTTCTGACCATCGCCCTTCCTGAACGGTGAAGATCGATGAAGGGCGTTCAGAGCAGGCAGACGGCGCGTGGTGCTGATTCGTAGGTTCCATGTCACCGCCGTCGCCAACAGTCGAGAGCGCAAATGCTCATTCATTGCGATAGAGACACTCAACGTGGGGTAGTAGTCCCGCCGTGTCGCACTTTCACCCGTGGTATGCACGTCTTGGTTACCCCTCTTCGACTTTTGGACAATGAGCTCTGCTGCTTACCACGCTGCCCGTCTGCCTTGCGGCGTCACAAGGCAACCATCAGGATGTGAGATGAACGCGACATGAATGCTGGTTGGCGAGAAATGGCGACTGCACCCGCATCCAACCAGCAGAAGTGCCTGTTGCTGTACCTGATGAACTGAGATGACATCGCGTCTCGCGTCTCCGATGATCGGCGCTTCGAAAATCCGCTAGTGTTGCTCTTCCGCGACAAGCCTCGCTATAGCATCGACCTCAAGCAACCGAGACAATATTCCAATGGCGGGGCAAGGACAGCAGAGTAAGAGACGGATCTTTGTGCATCTGTCAACATTTTCGGGTCTGATGTGAGCGCAGTCGATTTGGCACAGCTGTCTGCGCAACAGCTATCTCAAGTCAAGAAACAACTCGACGATGAGGTTCAGCACTTGACCAATTCCTACCAGAACCTGCGCACTGCCCAGCAAAAGTTCCGCGACTGTATAGTCAGCATCAAGAATGGCGTGGCAAGCAGTGCTGAAGGTATGCCTCCGAGGTCCACTCTTTCTTCTCGTTCCTCCCTCCCAGCTATTCGTTCCCTCGCAGCGGACCTCGACCATGCGCAATGCCTGACTTCTGATCTAGCGAAGCCGCTACTTGTGCCTTTGACCTCCTCTCTCTACGTGCCTGGAACGCTGGCCGACACTGAAAAAGTGCTGGTTGATGTAGGAACTGGCTTCTATGTGGAAAAGGATGTCGCAAGCGCGCAAAAGTTCTACGAAGGCAAGATTGAAGAGCTTGGGAAGAACATCAAGGAATTGGAGAACATTGTGAACAGCAAGGCGAACAATCTGCGTGTAGTGGAGGAGGTCCTGCGACAAAACGTGCTTGCAGGTGGGCAGCAACCTAGACAAGCAGCTGCTGGGGCCTGAAGTGAGCACCCAGCAAGATCGCGAAGCATGTGAGATGATGAAACTCATCCCTCGTATCGTGCAGTAAGACGATGAGTTGTGCCTCAGCCATCACTCCAAGCGTCGGGGTAAGAGTGTCAATGCGGGCACCGAACGAGAAAGAGCTGGCAGCACTTGTCATGGGCCATTGTGCCAAGCAACAGAGCAGCTACGGAGGACTCTATACTGTGCTGAGGCTGGGCGGCATTGCAATACTGCGGGTAGCTTGCGAAAATGCAAGCCAGAGCGAGGATGTAGCGAGAGATGCGCACGTAGCATTGCATAACCCATGCGCCTTCTCGCGTCAAAGGCATACTGAAAGCGACATCTGTCCTGCTTCTCGGTCTCTGTCTCCGTCTCATATATGTTCCCGGCGAGCAAAGTGAATGATAATGCCAAGAGTCTACGTCCAGCCGACCCCACCCCATTACCTTCTCCTCCTCGCTCGTTGTTCCGCTCCATGCACCGACCGAGCGGAACATTTGCGCTCTCAATGTGGATCGCGACATGTCTTTGAATTCAGCACTGGACGTGCAGGCCATCGCGTCATTGGCACAACAGCAGCAGCAAGACGAGCAGAACGCGAGTAGCAGCACCAACGGCACGAAGCGCAAGGCCGAGGATCAAGGCGGGCAGCCGCGAGCTCGCAGGAATCGCTATGTCTCCATCGCATGGTACGTCTGGTCCAATGCATGTGCAGTTTCGCGACCGCATCGATCTGGCGGAACGCTGCAGACTTCGACGCGACAAGTTGGCTGACTGTTCGCAGCAATGAATGTAAGCGGCGCAAGATCAAGTGCAATGGGCAGACCCCATGCCAGCGATGCGGCAACTTGAACCTCGAGTGTGTGTATGCCCCCAACTGCTGCAATGGCTTCAAAGAGTCGCAGGAGTACAAGGAAATGTCCGGGCATATATCTTTGCTGCAGGAGCAAATGAACTCGTTATATGAGCAGCTCAATCAGCTCCGGGCACATGTGAGCGGGCAGCTCGCACCTACAACCCACCCAGCCGGCACAGCGATCGACCCTTCGCTACAGCAATATTCCACCCAACGAGCGTCTCTCGCTGCGACGCAGGCATCACCCGGAGGACCTGTTTCGCCTAGCCACTTCCATCGACCAAGAGCTTCGAGTCAATCTCAGAACAGATATAAAGGTCCCACGAGTGTAGCTTTCAACCTGGGAGTTGCAAAGACCAGCCTTGAATCAATGGGAATAGCAGGTCAAGGCGAAGAAGATGTCAGTGGAAGCGGCGAAGCAGGCACTGGGACGGCAGAAGGGACACCTCAGCGAAGCCCCGTACCGAGAGCTGGTCAAATATGCCAAACCATACACGCGGATAAAGACCCGATATGGAGTATACCCCAAGAGGAGGCGATCAGGTTATGTCGAGTATACGAGGATGAGATGGGACTCATGTATCCTGTGCTTGACATCAACAAAATCGTGGAATACGCGTCCAAGCTGTACAGGTTCATGGAGGCTGCGCGTCGTGCAGGGCTCATGCAACAAGGCCTGCCTGGCGCTGATGCTATTGACGATGAGGAGACAAACATCCTGAAGCTAGTTCTGGCTACTGCGTTGACGACAGAGGCTGGTGGGCGCAGCGAGCTCGGGCAGCGTTTGTTCGAATACGTGCAACCTGCTATTGACACGATGCTGCTTGGAGCAGTCGGCGTCAAGGCGCTTCGCATGCTCACCATGACAGTAAGTGACAGCTGCGCAGATGCATCTTGCAGATTGCTAACACCTCACAGGCAATGTACGAGTTTCACCGTGACAACGAAGGCACATCCTGGCGGCTCATTGGCTTGACAGCTCGCCTCTGCATCGAGCTTGGACTACACAGACGCGAGACATACGATGCCATCAAGGACGAGTCCGAGCGAATCGATACGATACTCCTCTTCTGGTCGATATACGTCCTCGACAGACGTTGGAGTTTCGGCACGGGCATGCCATTCGCCTTGCAAGACTCTGATATCGATCCGCAAATGCCGAAGCCAGAAGACCGGTCGCCGTACTTGAGCGCTATGATTCAGTACTCCGGAATTGCGAGCAAAGTCTGGAGATCTGTTGCAGCTACGGCATCATCCACGAAAGGCAATGTTGCAATCAACGAGGATGAGATGAATTACCTTGACTATCAGGTCATCCAGTGGCATCGCAACGTTCCTGCACAGCTTCGATTTGAACATCCGTCGTCTTCGTCGGGTACAGTGGCCACACCGGTCGGTCCATCGGTCTCTCGAGCTGGTCATCGTCTTCGCATTATACTCTACCTGCGAGCCAACCAAATGCGCATTCTGATCTATCGGCCGGTGTTGCACTCTGCGACGTCAATCATGCAACATCGGGAGCAGGCACAGACGGCAGTCGATGTGGCCAAGGACACGATCCGCGTACTCACCCACATCAACCAGACTTCGGACCTCTATCAGACACAACAGTGTCTCTTCAATGCCTTCCTCACCTCTGCTCTGGCTGTGCTTTTCCTCGCAGTCTCGCACACGCCTGCTCTGTTCGCGGAAAGCGTACGAGAAGAATTCTATATGGCTCTTGACCTCATTCGCGGGTTTAGCAAAGGCAGCTGGGTTTCCAAACGCCTTTGGAAGACTATTCGAGTTCTCAAAGAGGTTGGTCCGAAACTTGGATTACACATCAAGGAAGCACCGAATACTACACAAGGCCAGAAGAACGCGGTCATCGAAGAAGACCCCGACCCAAACAGGTCTGCAGCCGTGGCGATGGCAGGGTTGGCAGGCGTCAACGTGGACGAGATGAGTCTCTACAATGGGGCTCCCCAACAGCATCAATGGAATGCGCCTCATGCTAGCAGTTCTAGTCCTGAGAATATGGTGCACGATCTGACGAGTCTGTTCGAGGCGGCTGGTGGGTATCAGGGAATGGGCTTGAATGGGGATCATGGAGGTTTCTCGGAGCATGCGCTGACTGATGGTTTCGTGGATGAGGGGTTGAGCAACATTTTGAAGGAGTTATTTTGATGTGTAGGCACACGCGGACTTCAATTCGCATAGAAAGCTGTTCTGCATGCATCCATGCGTTAATGCAATGCGCTGTGCAATGTCCGGGCAAGTTTGGGACTCAGCCAGCGTGCATGTCGAATGTGTCCCTCAGGCCCAAGATGAATTACATGACATTGACAGATCACAAAAGAGCGGAACGGTGCGTGCGATTAGGAGAAATAAGATGGCGAGCATCGTGTTCAAGTGGATGGCACCGTTGGTGCAGTGTGCAGTGCGGTCGGAGGTGGCTAGCCGACACGGCCCGAAAGCGTGCCAAGAAAGTCTGCCTATTGTTGTCAGCTTTGGCTGCTATTGTAGTTGACTTCTGACTTTACAGCCATCCGAATTATTGTCCAACGCGCGACTGCCTGCGACGATGGATTGCGCTATGCAGCTACAGCCGTTCGTATTGTCGCCAGAAATCGGACGATGCTACTTCGGCGCGTTGCAGCGGTCCCCTAGCTCTCCGATCGGGTGGTCACCGCAGTGCGTGACACAGCATGGGTCCCTCACTCCCTATTGTCGAAATGGTAGATCATTTCGACAATAGCAGCGTGAGAAGCTAACACGCAATCCACAATACACTATTGACACTTTCCCTCTTGATAAGTATCCTCTTTCCTACACGTCTTCTTTCCTTTCAGCACAACTGTTCATCCTCAAGAGGAAGCCACCTTTCGCAAAGCACTCTCTGGGTCAAAATCACCAACTGGTCCACCAACTTCTCGTTCAGGACACCTGCTTCACATTCGACTTGTCGAAAGAGATCAGCTTGCTTCTGTGCTTGTGAGACTGAGCAAACACCTTCGTTGCTACTCGCCAACTGCATTTCCCGATCAAGACACCGCAGCGCCTGTCAGGGCTCAAGTACTGCCCATCACTCCGGAGAGGTCCGCACTCACATTCGCGGGACACGAAGATGGACTCAATCACACATCTCACTCACAAGCTGCTTGCCGAGCGTGCTCGTCAACAGCAAGAACAAAAGCCGACTGAGACCGCGCCTCCGCCATACTCAGCGGCAGACGATGACAGCGATGAAGAGGACGACGAAGACGAGCGTGCAGTACCGACGAAGCTCACCATCAACGCTGCTCACAACATCCAAGGTTGCAACAATCTGGTTCCTACCTCAACATCACCTCTAGCAGATGCCACCAGATTCGGCACAATTCTACTCCAAGCCATCAGCCAAATCAACGGAGCACAAGGGGTTGCTGATCACGCATCAAAGCCTCGTCGGGCACTCAAGGTGGATCTCACCATCAACTGTGGTATCACCATCGTGGGTGATCGCAACGTTATCGGCAATGTAGGCTTGAGAGCCAAAAGCCCAGCAGAGACCACCGCACCATGTGCTGCTGGCGCAAAGCGGAAGGCAGAGGATGGACCTTCTGAGGAGCCAACCGCTAAGAAGCTTGCAGTTGTTGAGGAGTGAAAAGATCTTTGTCACGACACTGGCAAGCGTCGAAGACTTGCACATGTTCAGGATGCTCACTGGCTCTCGCCATGCTTTGTTGCTGCTGTTACTCTCTCGAAGAGCTGGGAGTCCCTGTTATTATTGTTTTATGCCCGGAGCGATGCCTGGAGCGACTGGGATTTAGCGGAGTTGATAGCGACCTGCATCATGCGGGGACGCATAGCATAGTTGTGACTTGCAATGACACTTTGCTCAGCATTTTGCACTACTCGATGTTCGTTGTTGGTTTTAGTACTGCAGCACGTGATTCTCATACGGACCAAGACCCGCAGTAAAGGCGAGGCTCTCGCGAATGACAGCAGCCCCTCCTGGTCTGTGTTTCTCTTCACTATCGCCTGGCTGAAGATACATGTCACATCCATTTTCCACTTCCCGCACGAGTCATTGTCCAAACTTGCATCACGACAGCAGCTACGCGGGGCAGCACACCACGCAAGCCGCACCTCACACGCAGTCGGTGTGGGACCCAGCTCGCGCCTCGACAGGGCACCAACCAACCTCGCCAGCATCCATACTTTGCCCGTTGCATATGTTGCTATAGAGGGACCACCGCCAGCCGCAGCAATACCATTCGAGATCAAGCGCATACGAGACATGCGCACGCGGCAAGTAAGAACGGGTTCGTGATCCACCACTAGGCCGCCAGCAACGCAGACACCAGCGCTTTCCACCAACAACGCACGCCTGCCGCGACTACACACATACGGCCAGGCAATTCTCGTTGCTTCTGGCAGGAGCCACCGCCTCGCAGCACCAGCGCGCACCGCACCCGCACGAGGCCAACGTGGCTCATTTCGACTTCTCCGCCGAAATCCCTCTCAGCAGCGATCGCTCCAGCTCGCCGCCCATCCGACACTCATACTATCGCTCCCAACAATCTCCCGCCGGCCACAGAGCGGCCTTCTCGCCGCCACACGCCGAGTCGCGAGCCACGCGCCGCTTCCGTCTGAGCTCGGCTTTTGAGAAAGCCTGCAGTGTGCATCAAGTCGCTTTGGACGACCTCTCCGAGACCATGTCGTCCTCTAGTCAAGCGCCAGAGTCTTGGATCTCGGCTTTCTGCTCCTTGGTCGGCCACGAGTACTTTGCCGAGGTGTCGGAGGACTTCATCGAAGATGACTTCAATTTGACCGGACTTCAGAGTCAGGTACCTATGTACAAGGAAGCATTGGAGATGATATTGGATGTGGAGCCGGAAGACGCAAGCGAGGAGGAAGAAGAGGAGGAGGAAGATGAAGATGAAGACCAGGACGAAATGCACGATGGCGATATTATCGGGCGAGGGGGCTACAGGAGAGCTGCAGATGCTGCGGCCGCGGCAGCAGAGCGGAGACATTTGCGCATGGCCAGCGATTTGAGCGTGATCGAAAGCTCGGCGGAAATGCTGTACGGGCTGATACACCAACGCTTCATCACGAGCCGGCAGGGAATACAGCAGATGGCAGAGAAGTATGAGCTGGGTCACTTTGGGCATTGTCCGCGTGTGTACTGTCACGGCGCAAAAGTCCTACCGGTAGGCTGCTCAGATATTCCAGGACAAGAGACTGTCAAACTCTTCTGCCCGAGTTGTCTGGACGTCTACACGCCTCCTAACAGTCGATTCCAAACGGTGGACGGAGCATTCTTCGGGACGACATTCGGCTGCTTATTTTTCATGACATTCCCCGAGCTCGATGTTGGAGGGACAAGGCCTGCACCTCAGGTTGAAATGTCCACGTCCTCGCCTACAGTCGGCCAATCTTCCAAGAACCGCCAGTCATCGCTCTCATCAACAATAACAGCGGAGCAATTTCAGTCAGGTATTCCACCGCCTCCGCCTCCTGAACCAGCGCCTGCACTCAAACAACCGGATGTCATCAATGGCGTGGCACCAAAGAACCTTGCACCTGGACTTGGATTGGGCTTCATCTATGAGCCTCGAATTTATGGGTTCCGAGTTTCTGAAATTGCCAAGACTGGTCCTCGAATGAAATGGTTACGTAGTCGACCGGCTGATGTCAATGAGCTTGATGAGTGTCGGATATGGGCTCAAAATCAGGAGGCCCTACTAGCCAGTCAAGGACAGGTCACGGACGAGGGTATTCCGGGGCCGCCCATAGGAGACAGTGAAATGGCGGATGGCGTTGAGGAGCGGGATGATGGGGAAGTGGAAGATCAAGAAATGAATGGTGAGGGACTGGTCGATGATGTGAAGCATCAGCGACGGAAGACTAAGCGGAAAGGAGATGTCGGTGGGGCTAGTGGTGGGTTAGTTAATGGAGATAACCAACCGACGAGAAGTACAGTGAGGGTGGGAAATGGAGGATAGTATTCTAAGGACAGGACCAAGGTCGCTCGAGGGGGGCGTTGCGCAGTCTGAGAATAGAATGAAGTATATGAAGATTATGTCGGGAAGGAGATGAGACCGCGAGGCGTGCAATGCAATGCAATGCGTTCACGATATGGATACGTCTACTACTAGAGGGATGGGGGAGGGGAACTGGGTTGAACAAAGGCCGAAGCGCTCCTTTTGCTGCAGTCAGCAAGATTTGATATCACTTTCAAGCGTTCACATGCATAGAATGGCGCATTCATTCAACCATTTTTCAAGCACGGGTTTCCTGCTACTCGATTCGACCTTGAAAACGACTTGTTGTGAAATGCTACACCAACATCTCTGTCTTCTCTATTTCATGCATCGTATATCTCATCTCATCACATCACATAAAAATCTCCCTAACACATAAATCTCATCTAAGCCTTAGTAGGAACCAACCCCTCCTTCTGCAAATACTCCGTAATCTGCACCACCGCAGCTTCCACACTCGTATTCACCGAATCGATATAAATTTCTGGTTTCTCGGGCTTTTCATATGGTGCGGAAATTCCTGTGAATTCTTTGATTTCTCCCGAGCGAGCTTTTTTGTAGAGACCCTTGGGGTCGCGCTTTTCGGCGTCTTCGACGGAGATGTCGACGTGGACTTCGATGAAGGGGAGAGGGGAGTCGACGTTTTTGGTGGAGGCGTGGAGGTCTCGGGCTAATTGGCGGTCGGCGGCGTAGGGGGAGATGAAGGAGGTTAGGGCGAGGGCTGTGCTGTCGGCGAAGAGTTTGGCGACCTGTGTTGGTGGGGTGTTAGGGTTGACTGCTGGACAGTATGGTTGTGGGAGAGGGGTGGACGGGTGGAGATGTACCTCTGCGATACGTCTAATGTTCTCCTCGCGATCTTTAGGAGAGAATCCCAGGTCTTTGTTCAAGCCGAAACGGACGTTGTCGCCGTCTAATCGGTAGGTCTGGAGACCTTGCTTGAGGAGATGCTGCTCGAGGGCTTCGGCGATTGTCGACTTGCCTGAAGCCGACAGACCCGTAAACCAGATGGTGGCTCCCTTTTGCCCGCGGAGCTCGCTGCGTTCCTTGCGCGTGAGGCCGGGGTGCCAGGTGATGTTGCTAGATCTACGGTTAGGCTGGATTTAAGGGAATTTTTCTCTGGTCTGGTGGACCCCGCTTTGCTGGTTTCTTCTACTCACGTTGCCATTGTGTTGGGTGTTGAAGGGTGAATTCAAGGGTGTGAGAGGTTTTTCAATTGTGTTGAAAGGAGTGACGAGAAAGGGTCAAGAGAACGGGGACGTGGACTGTCACAAAGGCGAAGTGGGATGGATTCTCATTTCCCCCATGTCGACATCGGAGCTTGAGATGCTGCGAGACAGCCCTGCCGGGCCGATCATGCATGCCGCCCACGATCTCCCGCGCATGAAAGGTGGCATGAGTCTTGGCGTTGAGCCTCAGGCACGAAAATCTCGTCGCGTCTTTCGACGCGTTCTCTCCACACTCGGCGTCAACAACACGCCCGCCATCCATATCGCCGCCCACCATCTGCATTTTGAAGCGTTCAAGCGATGCACAACGACCGTCACGACTATACATAGACCAGCCGCGCCATGGCTCATGCCACGACTGGCTTTTTTGAGAAAGACCACGGGAAGGTAGGCATATAACGACATCTCGTGCTCAGCCTCGAGCGCTGGAGACTGACAACGCATTGAACAGCGACATGGCTACTGGAACCGAGGGCAACACGATCGAGCGCCGCTGCTCGACGCACCGGCCAACATCCCACCGAAAGCGGCAATTCCAGCAACAATAGAGGCGAAGACGAAATTGAAGGCCTTTTCCTTCGCTGCGTCGGAACCGAAGGAACACAAAATAGAGGCTGCAAAGAGCGAGCAGGGAAGCGGCAACGCGTCGAGAAAGGGCAGCAGTATGCACAGTACGCCGCAGCTGGAACAGTCGAATTCATTTCCATGTACGCCAGGCGCTCGATTGCCACTGGAGGACTTGATAGGCGACTGTGACGAGGTGAAGAAGGATGAGGAAGTGCTGCGATCTCCTGAAGAGCAGATTGGCTGGATACCCAACAGCTCTTCAGAGCTGCTCACCCCAAATCGCAGGAAACGGAAACGAGCGAAGAGCTCTTCTCCGTCTTGCCCGGGTTCCTCCTCGCAGGCACATGGTGTTTCAACACAGGCAGCACACCAGAACTCCGTCGGACGAACACCTGCCGCTGATCCTGCAGCAGACCTGTGGCAGCGATATGCGAGTGGGAGAACGAGTGGTGAGCACTTGCAGGCTCCCGAGAACACATTCATATTCCAGGCATCACCGCGGCCGCTGGAGACACCAGTGAAAGGCGGAGGACTTCGGCGATGGGCCAGTACCGGCAATGATTGGCCTAGCAGCAAGAATAAGCGGCAACGAACTGGTGTGGGCAAGACGAGTATCAATGTGTGGCAGGATCAGACGGCCGTCGAATCTGGTGGCAAAAGCAGAGTGGCCACTATGGTGCAGAAATTGCAAGAATCTCTCGCCACGCAGAAGTTGGAGCAAGCGCGGAGGGAGGCACCTCACCCTGCGACTGTCGATCTGCCTTCGAGTTCAAGCCCATTGCCTGACACGGGTGACTTTGCGCCCAAAGTGCAGGCTACCAGCCCGCTCCCAGCACGGCGTCCAGCTCTACCAATGCCTCGTCCGCCTATGCAGACCTTGCGCCCTACACTCTCTGGAGGAATTCGGTTTGATGCCTCGAGGCAAGCAGGCGATCCGCTCAATCCCGGTGCAGCGCCCACATATTCGCTTCAGAGCAAAGCTCCTTTGCCTGCTTACAAGCGTCCATCGATCATCCGGCCGCCGAGTCAACCGAAAGTGCCTCAGATCGTTGAACCTGCGGCTCCACGAGTCGTGGACGATGTTGAATTCGGCGATGACGATTTCGATCTCACCGTCGATGACATTGATGAGCTGTGCTCGCAGAAACCACCAACTCGAAAAGTGTCTCCGAGAAAGAATACCCACAAAGCGCCAGAACCTGCACTGATCAATGCACCTGGACGACCGGCTCAACAAGGACCCACCACTATTACGATCGATGATGATGACGAATTTGGCGATGGCGGCATTGACGAAGACTCCTTTGTCCAGGCGGAATTCAGTGCTACACAGGCAATGCAGGTCAGTCACCGATTCAGAGGATGATGTGTTCGAGTGTATGTAGCTTATGTCAAAGTAGATATCACCACGAAGACGAAGTCCACGAAAAGGCCACCAGCGAAGCCCTCGAAAATCACGCTGCTCGGCAAGCTGCACGAGCCAGACGGATAATCATACTCCAACCCTGCAACGCTACTTTGTGAAGCAAGTCGTGAATGGGCAATACACTGACGACAGAGGTCGAAATTGCGAGGAACTTATTCTCCTCACGAACAATGAACGCAGGCGCATTCCCACAGCCATCACGCTTCGCGGATCATGGAGTACAACGTCCGTGGCCCCGAAGGCGATCGTTCACGTAGCACATATCAGGCGTCGGACTCCCTTGAACAAGCCCGCGAGCCCACCGGGGCAGATCGTCATATCCGATGATGAGCACAGTCCGCTTTTGATTGTGCACCCAGACCACATGCTTTCGGCAACGACTGTTGCCGACTCATTCGACTGCATTCGCAAAGCCGTATTGCAAGATCGCATCAAGGCAACAAGTGAAGGAAGCAAGGCTATGGTATACGGCAAAATCTTGCACGAGATCTTCCAGCAAGCTCTCTCCGCGAACGAGTGGTCCGAAAGCTTCTTGGCCGAACTGGTCGACCGGACAATTCAAGCACATGTCGAGGGGCTGTGGGAGCTTGGCATGCGGGATACCAATCTTGCGGCCGAGGAGGTCAAGGCGAAAATGGGCGAGATCACTGCCTGGGCAGGAATTTTCGTGCAGCCTGAGCCGAGCGCTGCGGCGCAAGTCGACGACAAGCAGGGCGAAAAGGTGCTCATGAGTATCAGCAAGCTGATCGCCATTGAAGAGCATGTTTGGTCACCGCAGTATGGTCTGAAAGGCAATGTGGATGCCACAGTACAGACGACCATTGTCAGCAGACCTGGCGCTCCGGACCTCCAGAACCTGATTGTGCCATTCGAGGTCAAGACGGGACGAACAACGCAGAGTGCCGCTCACCGAGCCCAAACGGCGCTTTACACCCTTCTCATGTCTGATCGATACGATGTGGGCGTCGAAGCTGGAATTCTCTATTACTTGGAAAGCTCCTCCATGTCCCGGATCGCACCGCCGCTGAACGAGATCAAGCAAATGATACAGCAGCGGAATCGATTGGCAGCCTACATATTCCGAGCCAGGAACCCACATCATGATGAGGACGGAAGTGCTCCAGCCCCCTCGCAGATGGCCCCGGAATCTGGTCTGCCATCGATGCTTCGGAACCCTTACAAGTGCGGCAGATGCTATGCACAGCAGAGCTGCTTCAGCTATCACGCTCTGGTTGAGAACGGAAATGCGGACACCGCCGGCATGGTGGACGACAACAAGAAGAACCATAGCCTGACATGGCAAGAAGCTATGGGTCACCTCATGCTGCATAGTGAAGATGTTGCCAGAAGTACTACTCTGAAAAAGTGGTTCTCCAAATGGGACAAGCTGTTGACTCTGGAAGAGAGCGATCAAGCACGATTTAGAAAGGAGCTCTGGACAATGTCATCTACGGAGCGCGAAGCTGCTGGGCGATGTTTCGGCCGCCTTCAAATCGTCAAGGACATCACAGCATCTAGCACTGCTACCCAGGTCGATGGTGTTGAAGGCAGCGGAGGCAAGATCAATCGCTTTGCCTACGTCTTCTCTCGGGCGCAGTCCACTCCTGGAACTCCCTTTACAGAAGGCAGCCAATTGACGCTTGGAGAGCCGATCGTTGTATCATCTGAGCAGGGCCAATGGGCTCTTGCAAATGGGTACGTGGTCGCTATCAGCAGATCCGAGATCACAGTAGCAGTCGATCGCAAGCTAGGCGAAGCTCGTCGACGATTGGAAGAGTTCGACGAGATGAAGAATCAGGCATTCCAAGGCACCATGACTGTGGGTGGCGAGTTGACCGCTGCACAGAGCCTCGAGCCCATTCTCTACCGTATCGACAAGGATGAATTCAGCAACGGACTGGCGCTCGTGCGAAATAATCTCGTTGCACTCATGGATAACACTCCAATCGTCAACAAACTCCGGGATCAGCTCGTCTTCGATGCTGAACCGACTTTCACGCCCACGCCAGCTCTGCATGGACAGTTCGAGCCGACTCAGTTGGGACAAATGAACGAGGACCAGCGATCCGCAGTCTCTCGAGTGCTTGCTGCAAACGACTATGCTCTGATACTTGGTATGCCTGGCACGGGAAAGACCACGACGATCGCCCATATCATACGAGCTCTGCTAGCAGAGCAAAAGTCCATTTTGCTGACCTCTTTCACACATACTGCTGTCGACAACATTTTGCTCAAGATCAAGGATATCGCACCCCCAGATTCAATACTGCGATTGGGAGTGCCGGCCAAGATCAACCCACAAGTACAGGAGTTCTGTCAGCTGGCTGCCACGCCTCGAAAGATGATCGATGAAGTTGAGGCTGCGTACATGGGTACTCAAATCGTGGCGACCACCTGCATGGGCACGAACCATGCTCTCTTCCACCGACGATCGTTCGATGTGTGTATTGTCGACGAAGCTTCTCAGATCACTTTGCCGACTATCCTTGGCCCTCTCCTCCACGCGAGGAAATTCGTGCTGGTTGGTGATCATTACCAGCTCCCACCTCTTGTTCAAAACAAACTTGCTCTTGAGGGCGGCCTCGATATCTCTCTCTTTCGTCAACTCAGCGAGGCTCAGCCGAATGCTGTCGCAGCCCTCGGCAGGCAATACCGAATGTGTGAGGAGATAATGTCGCTTTCGAATGAGCTCATCTATCATGGCAAACTTCGATGCGGCAACGAAGATGTTGCGAGAAGGACCTTGCATTTGCGGAGTCCCGATGGACTACAAGTCTACCACGGACCACAATCTGCGTGCATCACCACAGGCAATGCTTGTTGGTTGACGCGAGCCACTGCTCCCGAAAACAAAGTCGTCTTTGCCAACACGGATCCAATGGGTAAGACTGCGCGGGAGACGCTCTCCGGTGGTGGTAAGATCACCAATCTGCTCGAGGCGACTCTCTCTGCACAGCTTGTTCTGTCATTCCTGGCACTTGGCGTCCCGCCTTCTGACATTGGCGTCATCACTCTCTACCGCTCACAGCTGGCTCTTATGCGGCAACTTTACCGTCGTGCTGGTATTCCTTCCACAGTCGAAATCGACTCTGCGGACCGCTACCAAGGACGAGACAAGGAGATTGTCATACTGAGTATGGTTCGATCGAATGAGTATGGAATCGTGGGCGATTTGTTGAAAGATTGGAGAAGAGTCAATGTGGCGCTTACGCGCGCGAGGAGTAAACTTGTCATTTTGGGAGGAAGAAAGACGTTGGAGAGGAATGAATTGTTGGCAAGCATGTTGGGAATTATGGACGAGAGGAGTTGGAGAATGGACTTGCCGGATGGTGCAGATGGGCTGCATGCGTTTGATTTTTCGACGCAGGTCGCTGCTTCGTTAGTACAAGTGGAAGCGAAAGACGAAGGTGATCTTGGCGCGGTGAAGTCTCCGAGGAAGAGAGGGAGTCCGGTGAAGAGTCCAGTGAGAAGTCAGAAGAGCAGTCCTATCAAAGGGGAAAAAAGTCCCACGAAGAAGAGGTCTGCGTTGCAGGCTAGCTTGACGGCGGGCAATCGGCTTCCGAAGTTCGTGAAGGGGAGTAAAGTCGCCGGGAAAGCCAGCAAGGCTATCAGGGACGAGGTCGTTATGGAGATCTGGGAGGACTTGACTGGGGAGGAGTTTTGATTGGCGAGTACGCTTTTTAGGTATGTTCATGCTGGATGAATAAATGAAGCTCGCGGCCGAAGGGCTGAGGGTGAACGCAGGGGAAAGAAAGTGGTAGGATATGTATGTCTGTCATGAGTGGATGAATGGAAAGAGTGGCGCCAGAACATCTCTTGCCTGAGTTGGACTTTCAAGATAATATCAATTGATCTGAGGAGCTAAAGTCATGCTTGAAAGACACTTTAGAAGTCGAGATTTGGCATGCATGTCGATGCTTCTGATCTCGATAGGCTCCAAGATCTTGCTGCCATTTGGTCTACATTGTGCAATAGTTTTCTGCTCGTTTGGCATAAGACTGACTAAGGATGTGCAGTAAGCAATGCCGTCGCCAGGCAGCAGAGCTGATAGAAGGAAAGGCTGAGGATGTGGTTATCGTCTGAGAGATTCCGAGCTTCGAGCGCTGCCAATAGGAACATGGCAGTCAGGTTGGTACCTATACCATGGTCGGAATGCTTCGTCTCGACTTGGTGCTTCGTGTCGTTTTGGTGTTGCGCGACGTCTTGCTGCTCGGTCCACTTTGCCCGACTGCTTCAGGCGAGTCTTTCCTGCAGACACCAGTTGAGAAGTCTCTGTCGTACTTCTTTTGAGCCATTAAAGTAAGACCAAACCAAGCGAAGCTCTCAGCGCTCTTGATCGTCTGTGCATCGTGTAGCCTCGTGATCGGATTCGCATTCTCCCATTTTCCCAGCGTCAATGCTTCTTTCCCTCCCCGTATGGGTATACCATCTCGAGTGAAATGGCTTTTGGACGTCAGGTCTTTACCGCGAATTGGCAGAACACGATGGTAATCTAATGTTTTTTCGTCGACCAGGTGCCAGAGTTCGTGGTAGAAGGTCATTGCTGTGGTATCCAAAGTGTTGATTTCTGCGCCTTCGGGTGGTGCGGTTTCGGGAAGTCTCAGCATTGTGTTGCCTTGCCAGCTGCTTGGGCAGAGGATCACCCATTGTGCGCTGGTCCACGGGGCGCTTTTGTCGTCACGGGGGATTGGGGTAGGTTTTTCCAGGGGGGAGAAGACCCAGCCTGCGTCGTTTTCGTGGCAAGCTGATGGTTTCTTGGTTCGTGGATCGAGATCCCACGGGGTGTTGATCTTTGGTTTAGCTGGGAAATCGAATTTGGGGAGGACGAAGTAGCCTTGCTCGGCGTTGAAAGTGTACCAGAAGTACCAGTTGGTTTCTGGTTCGTTTTGTTAGTGGTTGTGATGGATTTTGATTATCTGCTTGTCTTACCGAAGTTTCGACGACATTTTGTTTGCTCCCATTCCTCCAGTTTCCATTTTTCACCAGCTGGACGATTGGGGTCTTTGGGGATTGCTTTGCCATCTACATCTTTGACTTCATCATCTGCGCGTTGCAGGCTGAGGAAGGTGGAATCGCACAGTATTCTGGGCTTGTCGGGACCGTCTCGCTGCTCATATGTGAGAAAACGTTGAGCTTCTTGGTATTGTGCTATGAAAGAATCGAATTAGACAGCTGGACTCGACTTCGAACAGGAGAGGTGGGAGATCTCACTCCTTACTGCGGACAGCTTCCGATTATAGGTGTTCTCCGGCTCGCCTCTACCTTGCTGCTGCATTCTTGTAATCTCGTTAATGCTGTACTCGTACCCATTCGAGTCTGGCTTCTCCTTTGGAGCGATGCCGAAGAATGAGTACAGGAGCGTGCGTGTGCGAGCCTCCTTGGGATCGTTATACTTCTTCGGGCTCAGGGCATCAATGGCGTTTGCTGTCATTTCGTGCATCTGGAGCCACATTGTACCAAATTTGTTGACGTGTGGAACACAAGAGCTCTTGTATTGAGAGGCTTTGCGGTAGTCGATTTGGAAGACATTTTTGATTTGTGGGATAGTGGCGACAGTGAGAGTTGGAAGGATGAGAACGGCCAGGAGGCAATGCCAATACTGCGACCTCATATGGCGAGACGATGGCTGATTAGAGTAGTCACGGTTTGTCTTGAACTCGCTCCTAGTCTCGAGGCTTGCCCGCGCTTTATGACGGGCCCTGAAGCGGTCAAGTGTACAGCAAGTCTTGCGCTGTGTACTCCAAGTCACGCATACTGTCGGCGTGTCCGCGTGCTATGGTACTATGCTCGGTCAGCAGTCGAAATACTCAGCTGCCGCAGTCTTCTGCTCGGTTTTTAGCAATTCGATGTTTCGTCTGATGCCAAGCGCGCGGTGACTTATACCGTTCGTCATCAGTTCTGTTTACACATCGTCCGAAGCATTGATGTCCCATTCTGCACAAGAAGATACAGGTAGTAGAACTCAGGAATGTCGATGATATCCAGAGATCCGTTATAGAGCCCATGTAGCGGCATTATGTACTCATTTGTTACTTGTCTAGCGCTGTGCGGGCAAAAGAAAAGGCCAAAATATTCGTGCATTCATTTCCTAGTGCACTGAGACCCTAACTTTAAACCTGTGTTAAGGTCGTTTTCTTCATGTACGTGCTGTCAGTGTTCAGCTTCCTGGGATAATTCGCTGGTATGTCCTCGCGTTTGAATTCGCTAATATGTTGCTGTGGGGTCTAATGCTCTCTTGCCATCCATCACAGCCATGTCCCCTTCCCGACGACAACTGAAGTACGTGGGTCGTTGACATCTAGCCTTCGTACGCTTGAATTGCTGTTCGAAGAGCTTTGGAAATATCTTCCGTGGAGGCTGAGATGTCGCTGGCTTTGTTCTGGACTAGGTTGATGAAGGTGAATGCTAGAGTCTGTCCAAGGAGAGAAGAGAAACTCGTTAGTGTCGATGGTTCTTTTCAGGCTTCTACCTCAATCGGAATCTACTCACGTCGACAAGACTGTCATGTTTGCGCAGTACTGCAACCATGGGCCGCCCGATGAGGGGAACGCTATCCTCAAGCAGACCAGCTTTGCTTGTTAAGACTCGCAGGAGCACCGCAGAAACTTGAGAAAACTACATCGGTGAGCGTTATAGGTCAGTGAGTGGATCGACCAAGGCTTGGAGATATGGCAACTCAGAGCCACCTCTTACCTCTTTCCACGCATCGGAAATGCTGTCTGCGTCACCACCAGCCGTGATAGGCTTTGCCCCGAACAGCTGGCCGGATAAGAGAGTGGCTTGGTTGACGATGTCGACGAAGCCCTTGATGACGACCTTCAAATATGTTCAATCAGTCATCTCTGGCCATTCGGAGAGTTGTGCATCGTGGGAGTTACTGACAGGATATGGACCTTCTCCAATGACCAAGAGTGGACCATTGGTGGCGGTAATGGTATTTGCAGGAGCTCCCAGTTCCTGAGTCTTCGCAGTGAGGCTCTTGATAGCTTCAACGATGTTTGCCGCAGAGATGTCTGAAGCCTCAGCGCCGCCATGACTAAGCGAATAGCTGCTGAGCGGTTTCTGTTGCTGCTGAATTCCACAGCCAAGCCATCCGCAGTCTGACACACGCTGTAGTGGAGCAGCGGCAGATGAGACAGACAGGGCTGTCATGATGGCGAGCTTGAAGGAGTTGGAGGAAATCATGATTCCGAGGCGTTGTTTGTGGTTCGAGTAAGTTGAGTGAGCAGAAGAATGGCTGCGCACCGCTGCAATTTTATACTCTACGGAGAGTGCTGCATCCACTACTTTCGAATTCCGCAGGACATGTCATAATTGTGCGTATGAATTTGAGTTGTGATGCTGGAATTACTGCAGAAAGCGTCGATGGCACCAAGGCAGCCTGCTCCGAGCTCCATATCTGCAGTCTGCAAGCCACATACTGCAGCTCTTCCTGTACTCAGAGCAGGATCGTCCAGCACAGCAATCATGCAAGCTACACACGAGCTGTATGTTCACTTGATACATGGCGCTCGGTGGTGTGGGGTCATCGGAACCTGTAGCTTTTGATTCGCAGGGGGCAGACAGCAACTTGAACGACCGTCGGGACAGCCGTGGCTATGACTCGCAGGGAATAGCACATAGTACTCTTCATAGGGTGCCGGGGGCAGGTAGATCGCTCGCCAGTGTTTTCGATGCTGCGGGCCTAAGGGTCGGAGCCCTTCAGCGCGATGTATGTGCGCAGGTGGATGGCTTTCGAGCAGCAGCCGTGGATAACAACGTTGATTCCTCTTCCATCACCATGGCTGGCACGCTGCGAGGAGAGCTCTTCTGTGTGCTGGGACATTTCATCATGTAGTTGCACGTACCTGGAAGAGAGTGATGATGATGTTGTTTCTGTGAGTTGCGTCTGTGATGAGGCAATAGCTTCTGGGCATTCTCGACACTCAAGGCAATAGATCACCATCCCCGTTTGGGTAAGTGCATCAATTAGCTGCTCGAAATCAGCTTCGGGGCCTTGAACAGCATTAGAAAATGCCCCGCATGCTTGGCCGAGGCTCTGTGGGAGAAGATTCGGGGACGAGAGCAGCAAAAGCGGTGGTGTAAGGGCAGCAATCATAAGCGGTCGTTGTTTCTGGCGTGCGTTCCCGGCTTCCTTCATGCGAGTCAGGCGGAGTACAGAATGGTCGACCTGGTTCCGAGAGCAGTTCGAGTTCTTGGATGATGCCATGCATGCATGCGCAGAAATGGCCTGCTGCAGTAGTGGCGTTCTCCAGATCGCGGGAAGGTGATGAGGAAGTGAATTGCCTTGATTTGGAACGGAGGCACTTTCCACGTAGATGCGGATCGTATCATCTTTGATCCGAGAATGGTCAGAGTCATGTCGGTCTGGAAGAGCACTTTGTCAATATTATGCACTGTCGTCAGGGCAACCACGATGCCTCAATTTGAAATACAATGGCCTTCCGCCACTCACAATATCTTTGATCCGAACATCAGTTATTAGATTGAGTTGCTCCATGTTGTTCATTGTTGCTGGGGCAACTGTAAGCAAGGGCAGGGGCAGTGCAGACCACGATTTCGACAATCAACTTTTACAATCATACAATGCTTCATGACCTGAGCTACCAAAGTAGTTGGCTCCGCGCTTGCTTGCTACGTAGTCTCTATCTCTTCGTACATCTATGGGTTCAGGACTCCTCTTTGAATATCCAGTGCCTATCTCGAAAACTGGTTGGACAAGCTCTGTTCAAGGCTTGTGACTCCGTCACGACCATTCTTTTTCAGCAGCTCGACCGCCCTCGAAGTGTCCGCAACTACACGATTCTCCTGATCGCCTGGAAGTGGTTCCGCATAGTCCGTCTTGGATGGGTCTATTCTCCTCAGCGTCTCGATGGCTCTCTGATACGTGAAAGGCTCGCCGAGTGTCAATATGCGCTCTCCCCTTACGCTATCATCGAGCAGCGCCGCAACGTGGACGATCGCAGTGTCCTCGACATCAACATGCCAAGTGGCTTCAGGCAGATTGCGAATCAACTGTGTTGCGTTCTCATCGCCGCCGTGGATGCCTTGGACGAACCCCGCCATCGACGAGTTCGCCCCATCGAGGATCGGTCCCAGCACCAGTCCCGGCAGGACAGTGTTGAAAGTGAAAGAAGGCTTCTTCTCCTGTATGTATTTCTATGCCCACTGTTCGCTTTCAACTTTGCTTGCAGCGTAGACCTTAAGCATGCGGGATTGATCATACGGCGGCGGCGCCCATGCTGCTTTGACAGCTTCGACGTTCCACTCACTCGCGGTGATGTGCCCGACAACGCCAGGCGCAAAGCTGGGCAATGTCACGACAGAAGAGGTATAGACAACCCTTTTGACTGTGTCCGTGGCTGCTGCCGCTTCTAACGCGTGCTTGACCCCAGTGATAGTAGCCGGTATCACTTTGTTCGGGTCTGGCGACATCGAAAGATCGGATGCCACATGGACGACTCCAGCAACACCTGTGCACACATGCTCAGCAATGGACTATACTTGAGCTCGAAGCGACTCGCCTTGCACAGCTTGCAAGAAGGCACCCTCGGCCTGCATGTCTTCAATCACGACTCCTTCTACAATCGCATCTGAATTTCTAGCCCGGAGGGTCTTAGAAATAGCTTCCAGCTTCGCTGCGGATCTGGCTGTGCCTCGAACGCGATAGCCTCGCTTGAGAAGCTGACGCGAAATGTCAAAAAAATAATTGGAACTCGTCCGTGTTCACGAGTCGCGTACCTAATCAGCCACATAGGACCCGACATAGCCGTTTATACCGGTTACCAGTACCAGTGAGCCTGCTGGAATCACGCTGTCGTTGTTGCCTGTCATTGTGGACCGGGAAAGCTCATTGACTTAATAGTCCTGGCAGTGGCTGCTGTAAGATGTTCTTATACCGTGGCAGCCGGGAACTGTAGGATGTTGTTCTTTGAATTGGTCATCCGACTTGTTACGTCCATCGCTCCACTGGACATCCCACATCCTAGCTCGTGTCGCAGTCAGAACGGCTGTCGTGCTGAATCTCGTTGAATGCTCCGTTAGCTCACAGGCGGAACATCGGAACCTCCGGAATGATCAAGTTTCTGGCAACGGACTGCGCCAGCGTACTACTGTCAGACTCGCGGTTAGTAATTCATTTGATCTCTCTTTGTGTGATGAGGCTACGACAGGCGCTACCTTCTCAGACTAGCCTTAAAGAAGTATGGCTCAGATCTGCTAAGATCGTAGCCTGAAACAGTCGTCGCATTTTGTGCTTGTAGCTCATCGGGGTTTATTTAAATCCGCTTTTATGCATATTGTGAGCGGATATGGGTCACTTATTCACGCTCATACATGAGAAATCAAAATTAGTGATCCCCAACACTCCATCAGCTAACGTCGCTTGTCGTCAGCTGCAATGACCAAGGTGAAGTGAATGCCCAGCTTTTCGCTGTTTAGTCACCATGGTAGTCGCCGCCCATCGTAAGGTCCCATCTTGTTGTCATCCCAGCCGGTAACACGAATCGTGTAGAACTTGCCACTTTCGGACTTGTCTGCCTCTAGGATCTTGTCCAAGACGCTGGCGACACCGACTTCGACATGCAAGTCTGCATCTGGTCTGGCCAAGTCTATTTTCAACCACTAGAGGCAGGTCAGCGCGTAGCTGCAAACGCAGGCATCGAATATGCTCACACCAGGCGAGATCGCTATGACAGCGAAGTCATCATGTTCGACAGCGTGCAAAGCCGTCAACATATTCATCGCCGCTTCAGAAATCTTGTACGAATGGCCAGGGATGAATCGGAAGCGTTCGATCGAAGAGATGGATCCCGTCTCGGATGAGCTTTGTCAGATGAGCCCAACACCATTCATAACAAATGAACTTGCTACTCTTACATATTGATAAATTTTTTGTCTTTGCCTCGTTCGAACAAAGGTAAGAAAGTAGCTGTCACTACTTGAGCCGTCACGAGATTCGCATCGAGGACTTCTCGCAATTCGGCTGATGTGAACTCAGTGCATGCCTTCCGGTGAGTATCTTCCCGTGCCGGAATTGTTTACGAGAACATAGATTGACTCCGTATGTTTTAGGTTGCACGATTGACAACGAGACTGCAATGTACTGTGTGTTTATTAGAGTATTTCGAATGCATATAAAGCACGAGACTGATCACTGGCTATACGTTTCGACTATGGGTGTATGGACGCCGAATTTCAGAGGCGATCATTTCCCCAAAGGTGAAGTCTAGCGATGACGCCAAACTTGCGTCAGCATTAACAGTGTACCCAATGCTTAAACGGTCTCTATTACTATAGCGGGGCATAAACTCAGAGCATTTGTTCATCGATTCTGACATCGAAAATGTATTAAGTAGCCGGGTAGGTCTCTTCGGTCAAACATTGTTGTCACATTCGGTCAACAGTCTTTCCTCTGTTCTGTCATCGTCACTCTTGGTTATTCACCTGCATTTTGCCCCTCTCACGATGCCGCAAGAAAGTTCCAAAGAGGTTGAAGGTCTCTACAATGAGCTTGGCACAGGCTACGAAGACGCCTTCGGACAGAACCCTGCACAAATTCGATTCGTACGGTCGGCCGTCGAGCAACTTTCTGCTGCAAGCTTTGTACTTGATATCGGATGCGGTACAGGGAAGCCGACTGGAAGTGAGGTCGTGAAAGCGGGCCACAAGTTCCTAGGAATCGATTCTTCGACTACCATGATCGATGCTGCGAAACAAAACGTCCCAGGCGCATACTTCGAAGTCATCGACATGCTGGACTATGAAGGCCCGTCCAACCAGGTCGATGCAGTCTTCGCAATCTTCGCCACGTTCACACTTAGTCATGCGGAGACGATGAAACTGGTCAAGAACATTGGAGCCTGGCTTAAACCTGGCGGATTCCTTTTCGTTGGCAGTATGAGTGCTGAAGCGCTGGATACGGCCGAATGGGCGTCTCGAGATACCGAAACAGGTGTCGTGAAGCGATGATTCTTAGGTAATCAGGTGGAATCTCGAGTCTATACGGAGAAAGGTTGGCAGCATCTTGCTGAAGTCGGCGGATTTGAAATCGTTGCGAGAACAGTAGAGCCGTTTACGCCACCAACGGAGCAGAAGAGTGATTACGAGCCTCACCTCTATCTGACGCTGCGAAAGTCTGCCTGATTCCAGTGACGACTCCAGGCCTAGTTCCCTGGCTGCGCGTATGGGATATACGGGCACTGTTTGATGGAAGGTTTCACGAGTACGCCTTCGAAGTATTTTTTTTTCAGCCGGGATCCAGTCGGACCTGGAGTGGTCTAGGGATCTGTACGTTCCATCAACAGTTCATGATCGTTAATGGACGAATACACTTGCGTTTCCAATATTCCTCCCACGCAGCCTTGAAAATGCCAGGGTCGAGGCTGGACAGATATGACGAACAAGTGATACGACGTGAGTTGGAGGCATTGTCGAGGTAAAGCTTTAGCTCGCCGTTCATGTACCTGTGCACTAGGTGCTCTCGAGATCCGAGAGTATCAGCGTAGGATGGAGTTCAAGATGTTTCGGCAAAGACGGGTGGACTCGGAGTGCGAGCTGTGCAAGAGCCTTGTGAGCGGGCGGGTGGACGGACCGGCAAGGCTCGTGCCGACCCTGATTCATATCGTTTTATTTCCTCGACGACATGTCTGATGTGCGTATCTTATCTCTCTCCATTGTGCCTATCCTCGCCTCTATGTCGGCTGAAACTCTTCCACCCCAATGGCGCTGCTGATGCTATGCTCCTACACGTGCGGAGAAGTCTTTCCAACTCCACCACAAGTGGCACAGAAGTCCCCGGCCCAGCATGACGACTCGCGAGCCCAGAGACTCCTATCAGTGCAGCGTTCCGGCGTGCGGCCTACTCTGCTCGTAGTCGCAGGCGAGAAGCCGTAGTCATCTTCGCCATGATTCGTCAAGAGTACCGCACTCGATTCGAGTTCCCTAAGCACTGTTATGCTATCGTGCCATTGAGGCCGGCGCAGATCACACTAGAAAGCCATTGCAGAGACTTTACCACCATCTGTATTCATGGAGCAGCTTTTTCGTGGGCATCAAATCAAGGCTCTAAGCTTTGGACATCAGATTCCAGCATCAGAATGCGTCCTAATCGCTTCGAAGGAGCAAAGCTTCGCTCTGTGTGGCGGGAAACCTGTGGACCTGTAGCTCTTTGCATATCTATTCGCCTACAAGAACCGGAGTTGGCTCCTCGTCTGGGATGGGTAGAATCCTCAGCCCCAGCTCCTGCATATACAATGTGAAAAGCAGATTGGTGCTCGTTTGGGCGTTCACTACGAACGGGAGTGCAGCCATACTCAAGAGATAAGTATTCCATTGCACCACCGCCTAAGAGATGCTCGCACTTCGTTGGACTGGCGAAAATTTCATTTCTACCTTTGAAGCTCATTTGTATACAGGAAAAATATCCGACAAATGGATGATGAGAAGGCCTTGGCGGCCGTCAAGCAAAACGCGGTCGGACTCGTTGACATCGAGAAGACTCCGGCGTGTGTGGCAACCCAGGAAGTGGAGGGCGATGCTCTGCCCGAAGATGAACACCCAAGGAACTGGACGCTGCGACGGAAGTGGTTGGCCGTGGGCATTTCCTCATTGCTTACAACGATTCCACCCGTCGCTTCATCGATTGTAGCACCGGCGCTGGAACGAATTCGAAATGATCTCAACATCACGAACAAAGCCGTCGAGTTTCTGGTTCTTTCTAGCTGGCAATTGACTTTCAACTGTGGTCCGTTCATTCTAGGCCCACTTTCTGAGACTTTTGGACGAGTCGCGGTACTCCAGGGGGGCATGCTCTGGTTTCTGGTGTTCAACCTCGTTTGCGGCTTGTCTAGAGATACTGGAACCATGATCGCTTGTCGCTTCCTCGCTGGCTTTGGGGGTGGATCTGGAGTAGCGGTGCGTCAACATTAAGTATGAATCCAAAATCACGCAAAGAAAGATGCTGATACGACGTCTTGACTCAGACGGGCTTTGGTGTTGTGACTGACTTGTTTGAAGCTCACGAGCGCGGCAACGCTGTGGCGCTGTACAACATCGGGCCCACGCTTAGCCCAGCGATTGGGCCAGTATTCTCAGCTTTTGTTGTCGAGTATTCCACCTGGCGATGGTCCTTTCACGCTATCACCATCTGGACTGGTGTCGTTCTACTTGGGTCTGTCTTCTTCCTACAAGAGACTCGAGAGTCAGTCCTAAAATCCTGGAAAAGCCTGGACATTCAGGATCCACAGAACTTTCAAATGCCCTCTCCCATGCACCGCAAGTCTGCAGCAAAACTCGCCCGATTCCAGTCGCAGCTAGTTCAAGCTGCCAAAAAGACGCCGAATGCACTGCTCAGACCCTTTCAAATGCTGGGGAAGGAGCCTGCGGTCCAAGCACTGGCTCTGCTCAACGCCTATTTCTACGGCATCATGATGCTGGCTGTCGCCATATTTCCCACCCTCTATGTCCCGGTCTACGGTCAGACGATTTCCATTGCAGGACTGCACTACATGTCCTTGGCGTTGGGGTATTTGGGCGGAGGATACCTTTGCAAGTTTGGGATGGACAAGACATACAACCATCTTCGCCGTCGTCTTGGTGGACCGGATCAAACAGGGCGACCGGAGTTTCGCATACCTCTGATGATTATCGGGAGCATTTCCGTGCCTGTTGGCCTGTTCCTCTTCGGCTGGTCAGCACAAAACACTTGGCATTGGATTGTGCCGGATATTGGCGCTTTTGTCTTCTCTGCCGGGATCATGATCAGTATTCAATCGGCTACGAACTACATGGTCGATGCTTATACCGAGTTTTCTGCAAGCGCTATCGGAGCCACTTGGTTCTTGCGTGGCATTGCGGGGTTTACGCTTCCTATCGTGTCTCCATATTTGTACCAGCATCTGGACCTCGGCTGGGGTACCTCTTTGCTTGCTTTTATCGCCATGGCTGTTGGGCTGCCCGCTCCTTTGTTGCTTTGGAAATATGGAGAGATGCTACGGAGTCGCAGTAATTTTTCGAACATTTGAAGACAATTCTGCGACCGACGTTTGCTTCAGTGTCTTGACTATTGGTAATCTGACTCCTGGAGTGCAGATGTCTGATGGGAGTGCATAGAATCTCGGGGAAACAAGATGTCAGAATTCATCTAGTCACGCTCATCGTCATAGGTCGGGTGTCCATGTGCTCCATAAAGTACAGTGGCTCCGATATTAGAACTTCCGCGCCAAGAACGCACTCCCTGTCAAGTATTCCAGAGCTCATCTTGGTCTCGGAACACCGGGCAGAAAGATTTCTCCGGAGTGAGTTGTTAGTGAATGTATAGAGTTTGAAACAGCACGGCGAGGTTATACATTCTTGTAGTGTGGCGGTGCCGAGGTGAACCCGAATATTTGAGTTGCTTGGATAGCAGGGGAGCTCCGGATGTCTTTCTTTGGAAGGTGAGGTCCAACTACTTCACCTCATACACTACTCAAAAAGTTATACGAACCCGAGGGCAGATATCTTGACCCCAATTATCCATGGACGATTCAGCGCCGCCGACGCCCATGAGCACGCAGAACCTCGAGGTGCGAGTCACATCCTGGAAAGATCCGGATGGCGCGTTGCTACGCTTACGGCAGCTGGAAGAGACACTATCCGAGTGGCCTGACGAGCCCATACCTCCGGCGTCGTTGGATCCTTTGCCTACAGTCGTCGTTCTCCTGAAAGAGGGCCGTGCTGTGGCGTGTGGTGGGCTGCAACCTCTCAGCACGAGAATTGCCGAGCTCAGGCGATTTTACGTTGTACCGGAGTGGCGTGGAAGGCAACATGGCGTGTCAGATTTCTTGCTCCAGCAGCTGGAGGAAGAAGCTTTGAAGCGAGGATATACGACCTTGACGTTGGAGCTAGGCATTGAGCTACGACGAGCGAGAGCATTTAGCGAAAGACATGGCTTCGTGCAAATCCCGCTATATGGACCGTATATCGGGGCGGAGGGGATCTCCGTATGCTACGAGAAAAAGCTGCTAAATCCACCCTAGCCAAAGTCAGCTTTACTCGCTTTGTAGCAAAAAAAGTGGTATGCCAGATCGTGTCGGCGTTTGGGAAATCTCCAAGAAAGAAGAAGTGGACTCCAATCCTCGTGGGACCGGGACCGCATCTTCGCACACGACAGTACAACCTGGCCGAATGAGGGATCACCAGAAAACTCTGTGAAATCTCATCAGACGATGAATCTATCGCCCTCAAGTCTCCGCTGGAGATCATGTCAGCACTCGGGGTCAACTCCGCATTCTGGACAGACAGTGTACTCGTTGAGGTGTACTCATCCAGGCACACCGAGCAGTGTAAGCTCCTGTAAATTTTCAAGATGCAGGAAACTGCTGCACATAACAGGCACTTGAATGTCGGTAAGTGCTCGAGCTTGGCCTTCCCTAGTGGCGATTGTCCGAACGAACCATATTTCTGGACGCGATCTGACTTCACAATCAGCGGACGGCAAACGGAAGCATTGTCTGAGAGATCAATGTCCTGCATCGTTGCTCGTATCTCTTGTTCATTGCTCGCGAGAACTGCTGATATGTCAATTGGCGGAGTGTTTCATGAATCCAGTTAGCACTAGCCATGAGGGCTCCTTCGTGCAACTTGCTTCCGCTGGAAGAGTACAGATATTGCATGGCCGCTCTTTCGATTGCGAAATGAAGCAATATACATGGATTGGAAGTGGCTTCTTGATCGCCCAAGAACACTTCCATTTGAGTAACGGATTATGCAGCAGCAAGACAGCTTGGCTTAGGCTTCGCTCTGGGCCAGCACATGCAATATGGTAGCAGCCAGCGCCGTAGAGTTGGAACGAAGAATATCTCATGCTGCATGAGAGGGTTGTCCTGCACGACTCAAAGTCTTGCAGCCGTATGTAGTATGAGCATTGACGTAGAGTTGTGGTTGTCCAAGTGACACAATTTTAGCTTAAAGTCGCTTCCCAATCCTTCTTTCTGACCTTCCATGGCTGGAGCTGGCTGGGCCTTGGACCCTTTGCACAGTATCCTGGCATTTGTGGCCTCTCGCTAGCTCGCGCTGGTCATCAGCATCTTCTCGCCTCGCTGTCTGCATCCTTTTCGGGCTCTTGTCTTATGGTGAACGCACGATTGTCGTTCAGCTGCTCGAACCGTATCGGAGGCGTGCGCATGTGTTTCAAATGTGTTTCAATGGTCAGATGAGGATGTTCGGATCCAGAGTTGACGTCGAGCGCTTGACGAAATCGTTTTGTCCGTCGCTCTTTCCAGCAACAAAATCGACCGTCCTAGGGCGGGTTGGCATCGTTCCGGCGGTTGAAAACGTGCTCGAAGTTTGAGTTTGCGCGTTCTGTAGCGCTGTCGGATTATGGAAGGGAAGCAGTCATAATATCTGGAGCAAGGCTCTAAAGGGCGCCGGTCATGTCTGCGAGAATCTCACGGTGCCGATGTCCAAGTCTTGCACTCTTGTAATACTTAGCTCTTAGTCGGCCCAAATCTCGCAGACATCTCGGGCGAATGGGAGATCAGTCGTGAGCATACAGACATTCGGACAGCATAATACCTCTAGCTGATTCATCTGCTCCAGATGGTCAATCTTGTAGAGCTGTAATGAGAGTGCCCCACAAAACGATCTTCTTGTTGAAAGTCTGGATAATGTGACCACCGTCGCGACACAACACCATATGCAGCCATGTACGTCGTCGAAAGATACTGTCACGTTGATGCTCTCATCTCCAAAGTCGCAAGACCCTACAATCTCAACCGTGAATCTACCGTGCTGAGTGCTCATTTCGCCCAACACATCATCATCGTATACGCCATCAGCCACTTTCGCGCGTAGCCAGTAAGCGCCAGCCGTGAAGTGAATGGGGCTTGCCAAGCGACGGCACAGAGCCCGACAGAATGGTATGCTATGCAACGCGAATTTGATTCTTCGGCCGCTACGAAAGAGCAATCGAGAACGTGCGAAATCAGATGACAGACGACTTTGCATGAATAAACCGGAGCCGAAAAAACAGGCGCGGTGCGTGGCTGAGATGGCGTCGGCGCATGCTAGACGCCCTGCATGCATCCACCCGATGTCATACATTCTTGACTCTATCGCGCGGCTCCCGTGCATTGACGAGAATCTCGGCTTGTTCCTTCTGCGGCGTATGCTGCATTGGGTAGTGAAGGTGTCACACCGTGTTGCCAAGATGGGGCTTTTGAGGCTTGCTGGGACGAGACGTGCATCGTTCGCACCCTTTACGAAACGACGAAGTTGCTCTTGGACGAAGTAGCGAACACGTGAAGAAGCACGCTGAATCATTATTGATGAGTATTGCTAATAGACTCGGTCTGATTGGGCGAATGCAGCCTAAGAAAGCCTAAGAGAGCCCTGAGTATCGATCGTCAGAATGTCCTCGCGCTGCAAATACTGCTGAAGAGCATAATCCTGTCGCCAATTGCGTGGGTTTAGCATGTCGGCAAGCCCATCTTTGGCCGCAGTATCCAGGTGCTTGCCAATGTGGTCGATACATTGCTCCCAGCTACCAGGACCTGAGAAGGTCTGGTCGCATACGATGCATCGGCTGTCGTTCGGAGGCTGTCGCAAGGTCCTGCGGCATCTCTCGGCCTCCATATCCTCATATCTCTTTTGCGTGTCGCTCTTTACCTTTCCCCCACGGGTGGAAGACTGCTCACTCTGCGTTGAATGCATGCGCAGGATGTGCTGTGTAAAGAGGTCCTTGCGATTGAAATCCTTATCTTGTTCGCTCGACGGCCCTTTGAAGCACTGTATACAGCGCCAGTATTCGAGTTGGACGTGCTGTGTCTGAATGTGACGCTTCCATTCGTTCTTCGACGTGAACGTGCGGTCGCAGCCATAGACGACAAAGAGGCACGGGAAAACGCTCGCTGGCGCAGCACGACTGCTCGATGATCGTGATCGTGTGCTTGGCTGGTTGGAAGAGCCATGTCGCGAGTATGGCGGACGCCGTATCCTGCCAGTAGTGGTTCTATCTGTGGTTGCCGACAGCGTCCTTCGATGACGAAAATTGGCAGGCCTTCCACCCTCGCCCGGGTGAGAGAGCATTTCACGATTCTGTTCCCGAGAGCCATACGCAGGCTCGATGTCCGGCGGTAACCCTGCTTGACCATCGTCTGGCACGAATCCGTCATAATATGTCAATGGGTGCAGGTGCGGATAGGGGTACGCGACACCCCTCCCCAGCGAGGAAGTGGGGGTGTCATCGGGCTCGTCGGCCTGTGGATGAACTTCATGCATAGCGACGCAAGCATGTAACGATGCCGTATATTGCGACCCAGGGGCATAGCCACCGTGAGGGAGTGGCATGTTCTCAAGGAGTGGGGTGGGCGATTGTGAACACCAGTGACCTCCTGTCTCGGTCTTCAACCTCGGTGAGCTATTGCAATCGCTGCGAGAGCTGTCGACGCTCGGTGGTCCACCGGCGCTGGTCCCGCTGTAAGTCGGCGAGGTAAATCGCGACCGATGGTCTTCAACAAACTGCGGATGGGCAATCTGCTCCGAGTCATCGCAATCAGGTCGGCGGTAGATCTGGGTTGTTCTTGCACCACCATGAAAGTAGTAGTGCTCAGTCGTCGGCAAGGTCGCACTCCAGGAACCTTGCTGATCGAAGTCATCGCCGGAGGTCCGGCCCCGATCTATATCGCTTGACGGTGATCTGTTGTCGCGCTGCATCGTTGTACAGGAGATAGGTGGCGGTGTGGAAAGGGGCACTCGGTGGTGCTATTCTCAGAGAGTGTCGAGTGATTCGGATGGGCCCTTGCGCAACTGCAATACAATTACCGACAAGGTCGCCTAGGTGTTGGACGCTGAATATCAGTGCAGTTGTGATTGCGGCGCAGTGATGTGTGTTGTCATCGGACGGTGAGGCTGCGCAGAGGCCGCAATGATGTAAATGCGGATTGACTTCAGTCGCGGGTAGTTGTGAGTTGAGATTGGACAAGAGATTGATAGTCTTTTCCGCAGACTGGAGTGGCAGTGTTCACGAAAGGGCAAAAGCAAACGACTTTGCCAGTGCGCCGCTCGCTATGCTGTCCATATATGCAATCACATAGGCACTCCTGGTATTGGCGTGTGCCTGTTCGAGAAGCAGAGCCGCCAATGTACCCTTGTACCGAGAAAGGCAGACACACCAATTGCCTTGCGACCGATGCTCACCGAGACTAGACGCCAGAAAATCGCTAATAGGTCCGATGTGCTGGGGTGCAGCGACAATCTTACCCAACTTGGCTTGTGTGATCCCAATTCGAATGCGCACCACTGTTCAGCGCGGGATACACAGGGTCAGTGGTGCGATGCAGCATTCACGACAGTTGGGAGACATCATGCCCAGGTTTATGGGTCTCATGTGGCGCTCCATATCCAATAGCCGAGCAAGAGCACTGCCAGCCAAGGATGGAGGTGGGAGAAGTCGAGCATGTATTGTATTATTAGTGCTTGCGCCTTCACGGATGTGGATAGATGGGGTTTCTCTAGCGGAGGAAACTCAGAGGAGGATCTGTGGCTCTACGCCACGAAGCGTGTTCCAAAGTGGCCCCGCGTGGTTAGTAGCAGGGCCTTACTCGGGTCCGTAAAGATGCTGCAGAGGAGGTCTCGAGACCTCGACAGCACCTCAGTGGCTTTCACTATCGTCGAGCGAGGCAAGCCACAGACCAGACCCCGCCTCGAGCACCGTGGTGTCGCAGCGTCGCGAAGCAGTAGTGATGACTTTTGTGGAGGCGAAGTTGATGCCGCCAAAAGGCTTTGATGCTGCGGCGAAGCGGAGAGAAGAGCGAAGGCGAAGGCCGCCATGAGCGCGGCCTCTGAATCCAGATTGACATAGCGTCCTATACGATTGTACGGCTTCACTCCAGCATGAGCGTCATGGGATCCTCGCATTGTCTGTAGCTTGTTTGAGATAAACGGTCGGCTCCAGATAGGCAATCATACAGCGGAAGGCTTGATCGAGGCTTCTGCGGCGTTGGCGGTGCCGGGCGGAGCGGAGTTGGGTTTCCGCGTGTAAGGAATACGCGACATGCATACACTTCACGCTGTCATCCTGCGGGCGATCGTGTCGAGGTACGCCGTGCAACATGGCGCGGAAGGTTCGCTCGCACGCCGCAGCCACGCAGCAGCACGTTGGCCGCTAAAGCTGTGCTTGGCGCGGAGAATCTAGGAGATCTAGACGCCAGGATGGAGTTGGGCGCCGGGAACAACTCCGCGTGCCGAGACCAGATCTGCGAAGGATGAGATGAGGAGAATAGTGCAGAGAAATGAATGTGATGAACGCCTTCTTCGGGCGCTCCGATATGCTTGTTGCAAACCCGCCAATTCAGGTCACAGTTTCGGCGTGAACTGGAACTTGCCGGGGAGAAACCAGTTTGCTTTTCTGCACGCCTCAGTCTGGGTAACGCTGGTCGCTTGGCATTTTATCGGAGCCGAATTGAAATATTCTTCAACGACTTGATCAGCATGCTCTTCAGCGTCGTAGCCATAGCATTCCAGCACTGTGCTCGGATCGCCATAAAGATTGGCGCTCCTGATTGGGACTTGGCCATCCAGTTCACACGTCATCGTTCGGTTCCTGGCTTCTGCTGCTGCCCCGTCGGGCAAATGCCAGAGCCACCCATTGAGGTAAGATAATTGTTGCTTGTACGATGCTTTCGGCATGCGCCCACGTTCGTACAGCGCGATCGCATCTCGCAGACTTAGTGTGCCACCCACGACATGACTGAGGCATCTCGCCAGGAAGGCGCCATCTTCCATGCTCGTTGCCGCGCCCTGTGCCTGTTAAGACTAGCGGTTAGTCAACGATGAGGGTTTTGTCTTGGATGACGAAATTACCATATGGTTGGTCATGCTATGCGCAGCATCTCCCATGAGAACAACGTTCTTTGCTGAGTTTGACCAAGACTCCAAGGGTCCGGTCACAAGTAAAGGCCAACGAGCGATCGGCGCCTTGATCATACTGATAACTCTCTCAATCCGAGCATCGTATCCTTGGTACTCGTTGCGCACTTCCTCAACAGACACCTCTTGCACTGTGTCGACAGAAGGCTTGCGGAAGTGACTCAAAACCATGTTGAAATCCTTACAGTTCGATATCGGATACGAGATGATGTAGCCCGAAGGCGACATCCAGACTTCCATTGTCTTGATTGAGTCACCATTCGCATCTTCCACAAGTGATCTCGTCAGAGGGTCACACCTCACTTCATCGTAAGGGACGATCGCTCGGTATGCGCAATTTCCAGTTGGAGGACAAGGTCTGACGTGCAAAAACAGCGTCTTTCGGACCACGGACTGGACACCGTCAGCACCCACGACCAGATCAAAGGCGTACGTCTTCCCAGTTGTCGTAGCCACATTCACGCTCCCTTCCGGCCCTTGAATCAAATCTCGAACCCTGCTGCCCACAAGAATTCGCACACCATTGCGCCGCGCAACCTTCACAAGGCCGGTGTGAAGATGGTGCCTGTGGACCAGCCACCAAGGATATCCAAGAGCCTCTTCGACCCGCTTGATCAAGGTGTAGCCCACTTTCTCTCCATTCTTCTTTCTCAGATTGAGCTCTGTGAATGGAACCAGATTGTCGCCAATCGCCTCGTGGACGCCGTATCGAATGAGGAGTCTCGATGCGTTCGGGGTCTGCTATAATCAGCCCAAGCCTATGCCATCACTGTGCCAGTCTCTACCATCTGGATGCCAGCGCCAATCTCTCCCAACTGCTCTGCCGCTTCAAGTATTGTGACCTGACAGCCTGCCTGAGCCATTGCAATGGCCGCCATCAGACCTCCAATTCCCGCGCCAACGATCCCGACACTGAGCTCTTTCCTGGCCATTGCAAGTGCAAACGTTGCGATAGTCTAAGGCTTCGTATATTCGGCTATTCGATCTAGTTCTTGGACCAGTCTCAATGGCTCGGCTGAGTATAGATGTTCAGCAGAAACCAGAGCGGATCTCGAAGATGTTGAGCCAGGACCTCTCGCTCGTGTTCGCATCCATGGTGGCCATTCCGTCGGCATCTCATCCCGTGGAGCTTCCGCCAGAGCAGTTTCAAAAGCGAAACTTGATCAGCGCCATCGAGATGGCCCCCGCAGCGAAAAAGGTTCCAGCCGGGCAAAGGATCGATTTCGACCGCAGGCCAAGCATTTTTCGAAGCAAAGTGAAGAATGCCTCAGGAGCTAGGCCACCGCGATGTGGTTGTCGTCAAAATCCCAAGTTCGCAAAAGGGACGTCGGCGAACTGCCTTGAATGGCATTGTTTGTGATTGTCTTGCTGAGTGAGCAACCAGCTTGGAGCGACGTCGGCCGAAGCTGCCGGTTTCGAGTAACTTCACATCAATCTTCAATGAATTGTCGCTTGGATTTCAATGGTATCCGGGACGGAGCTTCCCGCGATATCTAACCTCATCTAGCGAACCGCTTTGTAATCCGGACGGCACAACGTCAACAACTTACTCTCTCTTCTGAAAGTATTGTGCTTTATCTATGTTCCATCGCTGTACGGGTGTTACTTGTTGTCCACCAATACATCAGTTCTTTCCCTTCAAATCAATCATTGATGACCCATGAACAAGCTTGATGCATAGAGTTCGGAACCTTCCACGCTGATGGGCATCTGTACCTGGTTCTACGCCTAAATCGGAGAAATCGCAGAGCCTCATTCACTACAGATCACGGGGACAAGACCTTCGGCCATGTCTTCTTACAATCATCAAGGCAATGTCCAGAACACTGGCCCAGAGCCGGCACTGTCTGGCCCTTCTTCTGGAACACTAACACCTTCTGAGACGACGCCACTTATTCCTCCGATACCGACTACAGTGGCAAAACATGGAAAAGGCGATCCTCCCAGCAACGCGACCCCTGATGGGGCAGCAAATGTCAAATCATTGCCGGAGAATGGCAGCGACGGCGACGGGCACACCCAAGCAAGCCAATCGTTAAGCCCAATCCGAGGACTCCTCGTCTACAGCGCACTCGGCGTCCTCATCTTCATCGTCGCAACCAATATGAGCTTACTCACGACGACTCAATCATCAATTGCAGCCGAACTGGACGCTTTCGAAGCGACTTCGTGGTTTACTTCAGCTTTTCTCATCACCATGTCTTCCCTGGGACCACTCAATGGGAAATTGAGCAGCGTCTTCTCGCCGAGGTCGTGCATTGTGGTCTCGTCGCTACTGCTTGCAATAGGATGTCTCTTGTGCGCGGTGGCTTCCAGCTTTGAGAGCTTTGTCTTCGGAAGATGTGTGCAGGGAGTGGGTGCCAGTGGGGTGTTCACGATTAGTATTATTATCGTTTTGGAACTCACTGGATCGAAGCGGCGTGGACTTGGAATTGGGCTGCTCAATACTGGATTTACTGTCGGCGTTGCTGTAGGAGCGACTGCCGCAGGTGCACTACTTCCGATTACGGGATGGCGAGCATTGTTCTGGATGCAGATACCAATCTGCGCATTTGTTGGTCTGGTGCTACTTTTTGCCCTGCCTGGAGACTTTCATGCTGGCAAAGTTGCTGATGAAGAATCGACATGGACAAGACTTCGGAGACTGGACTACACGGGCGCGCTTCTACTTACAGGATCGCTTGTGCTGTTACTATATGCGATGGCAGCACCTAAGCAGATACCGATCTGGCCAATTGTCGCTTCGGCCATCGTGCTAATTCTTTTCGTCAACAACGAGGTTTACTTTGCCAAGGATCCATTTATTCCAGTTGCTTTACTCAAATCGAGGGGACTGCTTTTCACTTGCCTAGGAACTGTTGGGTTCATGATGGCCAGGTGGAGCGTGCTGTTCTATGCGCCGACTTACGCTTTGGCAGTCCGGACCTGGTCGCCTTCGACAGCTGGAGCAATGCTCATCCCGACAAATTTTGGCTTTGCGCTCGGCGGACTTTCAGTAGGCTGGCTTCACATCAAGCGCCAAGGATCTTTCTATCTGCCGACGCTGATCACATATCTGGCGTTTCCCGTAACACTGGCAGCTCTTGGTTTCCTATCAATCGACAACGTGCCAGCTTGGGCATTTGTCTTTGTACTCTTCGTCTGTGGCTTTGTGACTGGAGCAGCAATGAACTACAATCTTGCACACATGCTACATCTCACGCCAAAAGCAACTCATTATGTGGCTACTGCATTGCTGGCCACATTTCGTGGCTTCGCTGGATCGTTTGGGTCGGCTCTCGGTGGCGGCCTGTTCGAGCGCACACTGTATACGGATCTACAGAGGAGGTTCCGAGACGCTGGACTCAAGAATCCTTCGCTCGTGCGGCGCCTCCTGGGATCGCCAGCTCTCGTTGAGCAGCTGTCAAGCCCAGAGCGAGAGATTGCGATTGAGTCTTACCAGTATGCGCTGAGGGTTCTTTGGTTCGCTATGGCGGGAATTGCTTTCGTGGCATTTTTCGTGCAAGCAGGAACAGGCTGGAGAGGGTACAAAGAGAAGCCAGTCGCAGAAGATGAGCGAGAAGCTTTGCTGAACGACAGAGATGACAATGATACAGAAAATAATACTGCACGGACATGAAATAGAGATACAGCATCACGCACACTTAGCAGGCATACGATACTGCAACAATATTTACATTATATTATGGCATCGACTGAGCCCCATATGACAATGAGCCACTCGATGGGAACAACGAACATGAAGTAGATGGCTTAAGCATCGCGAACTACAGCCTTCCACCTTCAGGAAGCTCAAATCTTCGATCTCCGGCATACAGCTCATACGATCGGTCTTCGATGGGCAACTCAGCTGCTCGACCTTCGCTGTACATCTCACCACGGTGTGATTTGTCCCAGGCGCCCTGTTGCTTGTCCCTCGAGGATACAGAGGCTTCGTTCTGCACCATCTGTTGCGTCTCGTTCTCCGATTCTTGCGAGGTTGCTTTATTTCCCCTCTGTTTATGCCGCATCCACAAGAAGAATCCAACAATGAGAGCGGCAAGCACAGCGACTGTGGCGCCTACGGCTATGCCTGCTGTCGCGCCGGTGCTCAGGCCATCTCCTTCGGATGGTGACGTGTCTTCTCCATCGCCCATTGGCGTCGCAAGACTTGCTGAATTGCTGGCAGTTTGGATCGCAGACTGTGTCGAGGTCGCACTGGGATTCGGTGGCCACGTTGTGTACAATCTAATCCCAGCAAGATAATTCGCGGGTCCTAGCGTGAGGAGTTCAGATGTCGCCGAGCTATTCCCTGGACAGCAGTAATAAGGATCTCTACTTGTGTCGACGGAGAGCCTGGCACAGCAGTATGTCGTCTCGGAACAGGCAATGACTTTGTGGCTGCCGCCAGGAGCATCGGGATCTTTGAATGATATAGTCAGCGCGATTGAGAATATGGAAGTAGGAGTATGAGCTGACCTTCGCGCGTTCCGTTGCAGAAGCCAGAGCAGGCAGGCGACTTCCAGGTCGGATCTGTGCATCCCGTGCGCCAATACAGGTTGTCCTGATTGTTTCCAATGGACCTTCTTGATTTGCATAGACCATTCGTTGTGCACATGCTCCGCAAGTCACAACACATACTGAATTCTGCGCTGCTATTGCAGATGTAGTCATTGCCGCTGCCGAATTGAGTCCCATTCTGCCGATAGCATGTCGGTGCTGCGATGTACGGTAGTACAATCAGGATCCATGTCAGCTTGTCTTCCGCGAGGAGGATCATGATTGCTGTTGGGCTGCTGGAGAGGACATGGGTCGGCGAGCAAGGAGCAAGGCTGGACAATGTAAGCAAACGATCCTGCCTGTTCTACGTGTCACCAGTCGCACGCGATCGACCTGGAAGATCAATGACATCCAGGTACTGTCAACACTAAGCCATCTACGTAGAGGTATCGATGTCTGCCATCGATGGTGCCTGCAAATAGAATCGATTATAGCCATCACCATGCGTCCCTAATGCAGCCACGTCGACATTGACAAAGTTTGCTGCCGTATGGCAAGGCTGGCGATGCGGGAAGGCTGAGTGCGCCGCAAGGCTGAACAAGAATAGACATAATTCTTTTTACTCGAGCAGATCATTGCCACAGAGTGGCTGCGAAGATACTTCGTGGCGAGATGCAGTATAGACTGACAAGAATCGATTGTGGTTGGACATCAATTATGTATGCTATGGGCATGAAGCTGTTGAACGAACTCATGGCCTCAGAAAAGGACGCTTCTCGGCAGTCAGCCTGTTCGGATACGGTGCCGGTACTGATAGTGAGCGATTATGGAACCCGCTTTACAGTGAGTGGTCGTAGAACTCCCACCCATTACCTGTTTTACTTCGAGACGCAAGTCAAGATGAAGATGCGGGAGCTCACGCTGAACAACAAAATCGTCATTCGGATGCATCTGGGGTCATGTCGATCTAGTAGCATCATGCCTTCACTTCGACATCTTTGTTGCTTCTCATATACAATGAGCTGTAGTTGGGATGATCATACAAAGAAGATCTGGGTACAAGGCCCGATCAATCATCGTCTAGAATGTGAGCACCAGCATATGTGGCGGTGTCTTGTCACATGACGCGAGTTTCTTACCTCCTGCCGCACGCGATCCACTCTTGAAACAAGCGGATGCCCTAGAGTGGCGCTTAAATCAAAGCTACGTTGGCTGTCTGTCAGTCTCCCGCAACGTAAACGATGCATTTCGGGTTCTTATTTGACACGCTCCGTTGTCATTCCTCCAGATGGCAACGATGTGGCAATATCGAAAACGAGGACCATGAGCGGCTTGGAATGTTGGTAACGTGAACTCATCTTCATCATTTGGGTATATACTTCGTAACATCATCTCAAGGCCACATCCGCAGTTTCTTACAGAGTGTAGCGGAAAGTTGGGCCACCGCCCTCCAAGTTGTCCTTCTCGCCACGATCAGCGGCACGATTCTGGAGCTTGAAGTGCAATTGCAGAATCAAGGTGACCACGATTGTGAGCAAGCTGGCAGTGATACAAGCCCAGAGACCTGGAATATATCTTGGCTTGTCGACCTCGCGGAAGACGAGAGAGCCGGCAATACCACCTGAGACAGATGTTAGCGCCACTGAACAAACTTTTACAGTGTGAAGAGGAAAACTCACCGATACCCCCGAATCCAACCAAGCTGGCAGAGCAGAAAGCACGCTTCCACTGTCCACGGATGTTGTTGGCCTGGAAAGACATGGTCATGACGACGTTGGCTTGGACACCAGCGCAGCAGATGAAGACACCGAGGTATCGAACACCGGAAGACTTGGCCCAGCCCATAAGAGTAAGACCGATAATAGCAACAGTAGCGTTGAAGATGAGCTGGGGTCCACGCATGCGGTACTTGTCGCCAATCCAGGACTCGACCCACATGACCACAGCGGCAAAAGCGTAAGGTGGAGCAACCAAGCACTGACTCTGTGCGACGCTGAATCCCATGCCAAGGTTGAGAATGATTGGCAAGAAGTAGGCGAGAGCGTAGGCCATGGTGGTGGTGCAAAGGAAGATGAGGGCGAATCCCCAGACCTTAGGGTCGAGTGCTGGGGTCAAAAAGCGCTTCATGGTGAAAGCCTCAGTCTTTGCGTCACCGCGGTCGTGCTCGACAGTGGCGATCACGTAGCGGACCTCACGCTCGGAGAGGAAGCCCCAGCATTTCCAGGCTTGTTGATCCGGGAATGGGACAACAAAGACGAAGCCGAGGATGGAGATTAGGACGGTGAGGATACCTTCGATAATGAAGATCCTAAATGATTGTTAGCAAGTTGATCACTGGAGCACTGGCATGTGACTCACCATCGCCAGCCAGCATAGTTGGCCAGTCCGTTCATCTGCATCAAGCCGTATGCGAGGATACCGGATGCAGCGCTTGCCAAAGATCCGATCATGTAGAAAATGGCATATCGCTTTCCGACATCATATCGAACGAACCAAGTCGAGAGTAAATACACCGCTCCGGGGAAGTAGCCGGCCTCGAAAATTCCGAGGATGACTCGGAGTGCAGCAAGATGTGTCCAGTCGTTGACAACGCCCATGCCAATCATGACGATACCCCAGAGAGCGCAAATGCTCGAGAGAAAGATCTTTGGTCCGATCTTGCGGGTCAATGGCGTAGCAACGGGTTGCAGGAGGGTGTAGGTCAGGAAGAAGACGAGGGTAACAATGGCCTGGAAATTGTCAGTCGAGAATTTCCAGCAGCCGAGATGCGTAAATACTCACGTAGCGGTTGTTTCCAACCATCTCCATTTCAGTCCTCATGCCTGCAATGGCAGCATTGGACAAGTTTGTGCGATCCATCAAGCTGACACAGTACATCGTGCCGAGGACGACTACGAGTCTGCGATCGATTCTGTGCTTGATCTTGCGGCCTTCTTCAGGCGTGAACCAAGTGATTGGGTCATTCTCGTCTGGAGTGCCTGGCGTGGGTGTCTCGGCCTTCTCGAGAGCGGTCTCGGTGTAGATGACCTTGTCATCCTGAGCAATGGTCGCCATGATGAGCAAATTTGACAGGCCTAACACAGGACCTCAAGGGAAAAGAATACGACTACGAAGGAGTGGGAAGGAAACAGAACGACCGAGGATCGCCGCACGTCCAGTATATACCACCGCGTGCCCTGCTGAACCTGGTTCAGTCTCACGCGGAGCGCGCGCACACGCGCGCTTCGTATCGTGCGAACGAGCAGGATATTACTTGGCCCCGCGGTGGTATGAGACGTGGCGGACGCCGCCCTCTTGGCAAAAAACCTGAAGCTCCTATAACAAGCTGGAGATTTCTCTTGGTACGCGGGGTCCATCTCGACCACCGGGGTTGGCAAGGCTTGTCATCCTGCGGACTCGCCTGGTTTCGCAACTCAAAATCTACTTCAGGCAGTGCCGGTGGTCTGGCCCTGGCTGGGACGCAGTTTTAGTCGAATTGAGCTCCTGGTCTAGGGCTCGTTGGAGAAGATACTTCGGGTTTTAGTTGCGCTTTGTTGCGGGTCTTCGCCACGTCGCGTGCGCATACGATCAAGGAGGCTTGTGTTGATGCTTGTTGGACATATTGTGGAGTGTCTCGACAGGGGTTGGGCTTAAATGTAAGTGAATAGTCGATATACCCATTCGACGTCGAATTTGAGTTGTATTCCTGACGATCGCTCTCCAGACACATGTTCGCTGCAAGAAGCAGATCTCTCGTGAAGCTCGTGTGCGGGCCACGTGGTACATCGAAACGTGTACCTCAATGGCGCGTGGCTGCGCTGGCGCGGCCCTTACGGCGCGGCGCCGAGCCTGGCGAGAGCCTCACATGCGGGGAAGTCTGCGTGCAAGTTCTGCTTGAAGAAAATCCTCCGTTCTGTCTCTGCATAGCGGCAGTCGTTGCAGGCAATATGTACCGGTGACCTTCGTGAAGCTGCAGAACATACACGGTCCGGTACCGACCGTATTGGATTCTAAGGAAAGTCTAGACGTCCGGCATTGATATTCGGCTTCCCGAGCTGATCTTCACGTGGAAAAGTAGCTGGGACCGAGGGAACCCACGATTTTCGTGCATTGAATGTACTAAGTCCTGATGGTATCTCTTCCTATCCCACAGCCGATAAAATATCGTCAAAGTTTGGTGCATTCCGCCACAATGCCCAGACATCAATATTGTCGATTGGCGACGCGACTGCAAAGATGGCGGTTACTGCGAGTGAGTACTTTGCCACTGTCGAGGGTTTGAACACGCCTGTCACAGCTGGCAAGAGAGTTCTTTGTGCCATGAGGTTCGTATTTGGATCAGCTCGAATGACCATCGCCTTACCGTTGAGGCCACCATTACGCATTGAGAATACTCCACTCGCTCCAGCCTCAGATATTACAAGAGTGCATCCACTATCGTCGGTCCACCATCCTTCTTCAGTCCTCCTGACAGCTTCGCCATCCGAGGACAGCATTGCAATGGGGCGCTCAAATATCGATCGATCGTCTCGAGTTTGAGCAGATATGGCGAAGCCGGCATCGAAAAATTCAACCTCTTCATCAGGAGAGTAGATACGATGGACTCTCACGTGCCATCCTGGCCACTTAGCCATTGGAGGGATAAGCGTTGTGCGAATGGACGCCTCGTGCTCCTTCCACGGCTTCCACGAACTCAAAATTGTCGGTATCGTCTCTTCTCCGATCTGAATGTCCTGATATACAACATCGTATGGATTAAAGCGCACTTTCCATTCATCATCACCTCGCCGCGAGCGACGCACAGACAAAGTGGAATCTGGCGCCATTTGTTCCAAATAAAGGCCGCACGGTACGCTGAAGCCGAATGCAGATGAGTATGCAAACTTGCTGTATTTGGCTTCTCGTGCTCTGAAGCGTTTCTTTGTTGATTGACCAGAGGACAGGAGGAAGTGATGCTCCGCTGTGTTACACATGATGTGCATTGGAGGTTTCAGCAATCTTAGTCGCTCTAGATCGCCCTCTGGACAAATCTCCGGATAAGCCAGCTCTTTACACTGCCAGAATTCATCGTGCTCTGGCAGGGCCAAGACGACGAAAGTCTTCAGACACCAGTAGACGCTCTGCGGCGACGTATAGTTCTCGGCGAGAAACATGTTCGGGTAAGCATATCCGGTATTGAGCGTTGCATCTGTGTTGAAAATAGCTTCGTGCTTCGCCCACCAGCGCAAGTGTCTCGTAATAAGGCCTTTCACTACTCCAGGCTCTTTGACTGGCCCGGGAAGTTCGACTCCAGCTATTGATGCGGCAGACCAGAATGCGGCGAATGCAAAGCGATAAGTCAAGCTCCGGCCAAAGGGAATCGCAGCTCCGTTCTTGCTGAAGTATCTCCAAAATGTGCTTGCAAATTCAGCCGCCTGCTGTTTGTACCTCTTTATTCTTCCAGGATGATAATCTGAAGCAAAACGTACGAATAGGAGTTGGGCGAACTGTATGGCAAAGCTGCCAGAGTAGTAGTCCGCTTGCTTGTGCTCGTCACACCATAGGCCATCGGAGTTCCACCCTTCGCCTAGATAAAATGTGTCTAGGACTTCCAGACTCCGATCGATGTGCGGCTTCACTTCGTCGACGGGGACCTTCAGCACACGAACAAGCGCGAGGTTGACCAAAACACGGAACCAAAGCCTATAAGAACAGTCAGCTAAATCTCGTCAATGTGCGAATTCAAGGCACAAAACCAATTCGTTTGAGGCATCTTGTGCTCATTGATTTGTCTCAACCAAGCGACCAAATTCGCTCTTGCCTTTTCGTCGTCTGGGAATCCAAACATTTCTGGAGCTGTCAATATGGCATACGCAATACTTTCCATCTCCACCATTCTCTGGTCAAAATCGGACAAATCACCCCAGTATTCTTCGCTCCCGGGGTCCACGCCAGCTTTCAGTCCTTCTAGCCAGGTGCTCAGTTGACCGTCCTCGTGTAAAGGCTCTAACTCCAGACGGAGTAGATCTGCAACGACCCATAGCGGACGAGCAAAACCTTCCAGTTGTGCAGCGGTTTCTGAGAAGCCGGCACCAGTTCCTGTTGCGAGCTTGATCCGTGCATTGCGAGGAGATCTGTAGGCATGTAGCGGCTTCAGCAGTGTCACAGCCGCGTGGACGAGTCCAGATCGCGAGTCGAAAAGGTTGTCAGAGAAACCCGGGATATGCGGCATGGCGGTGGTGGCGATCGATTGGATTTCGACACGACGAACAATGCAATGAAAGCCATCATATATGTATCCATAAATTGTGGCATGCGCTCAAGATGCTTCGGGACATCTCGCTGCCGAGCGGCAGAGAGCTCAGGAACAACAAACTCGCTCTCTTAGCGATCATTCTTCTCCACTGACTCAACATGTACGACGCTTTCGCCTTTCAGCTCCTCATCACTGTCACGTTCCGCAGCATTGGCATTAATGTCGTACTTCTTCCTCTGCTCTTCTCTTCGCCAGAGATACTGTCCTACCAAGAACAGCGACCAGTAGCAGATAATGAACACAATGTTAACCGTGAACCCCTTCGTCCATTGTGGAGCTAGCGCTTGTTAGCAGATGCGACTTTTCGAAGATCGACACAGCGGCTTACCTTCGAGGATCGGAAATACCGTAATCGGGTAGAAACTGAAGAATGCCCAACCAATCGTCATCATCGCACCAGTCGTGAAGCTGCGGGCTTCATTGTCATCGCGCATCAACATATTCGCCCACGGGAACAGGATTGGAGTGACGCAGGACGTTAATCCGAGAAGGTAATACACCGTGACTGTAAAATTGTTAGCAAAACAGCTCGAACTCGTGCAATACGTGGATAGCACTTACAATGCAATGCTCTCGGAATATACCAGACTCTCAAGCATACATTCGCAAGTAGTAGGACGCCAGTGACGCAGCTGAAGACAATCCACATTGGATAGATCATCACCAAGCTTGTGACCAGAACTCCAGTCACGATCGCCACACCTTGCACTCCCGTCGGAATAAGATTGATCTCCTCGATCGACCACGTTCCGTAGAGATCGGCGTCTTTCTTGAGCCAAGCTTGCATTTGTCCACCAACATAACTTGTGCACTGGAAGAAGACGTAGCATAGTGCGACAACGTAGAAGTGCCAATGTGTGAAGACCCGTTTCAGCATTTTCTTCGAGATTTTGGAGCTCTGCTTCGTGCCCTGGCTTTGCATTCTTGCAACAGCAAGCAAACGTTCATCCTCTGTAAGCCACCACACTCGAGGCTTTGTGGTCGGTAGTCCCGGGTAGAGGAAGAAACCTGCGAACGCGATGGAGATGCTTATACACCCATCAATTATGAACAGCCATCTCCAACCAGACATTCCAAGGTTGCCGTCCAGTCCTTTGTGTGCTGCAGCCTGCAAGTACCCGCTGAACATGGCTCCAGCGTTGCTAGAGACATACCAGACTCCAGCACGTTTGAACACTTCATCCGCACGATACCAAGATGTGAGGAGGTAGAGCGAGCCTGTAGCGGCGGGAGTCTCGAGGACTCCGAGGAGGAATCTTGTGCCGTAGATCTGAGGGACACCATTCAGACGGGATTGTGTGAAGGTGAGGATTGACCAGAGGGTTTCCATTGTGGGTACGTAGTAGCGTGCGAATTGGGGTCTGGAGATGATCATCATGCTGGGAATCTCGAAGATCATGTAGCCGATGTTGTAGAAAGTGCCGAAGAGAGAGTATCTGGTTCCAATTTTAGTTTGTATTGTGATCTCGTTGACGTGTGTTACCATACTCGTTGCCTTTGATCTCCAGTTCTTCTCTCATACCAGACCAGTATGCGCTGTTGAGAGCATTCTGATCGAGCCATTTGATGTAGAAGCACAAACAGCATAGCGTCAACAAGACACTGTCGAGCTTGCGAACCAGCTTCTTCTCCTCAGGCGAATAGTGACTGGGGTACCACTAGGGCAGAGTCAGTGCTGGTCAGTAGGCAGTTTGTAAGTTACAAGAACTCACATCGAAGATATAAGCCCAAGCCACCCAGACCGATCTCGTAGGCTTCTGCGTCGCACTGCTCACGATGACTTCTTTCCCGTTGACTGTCACAATCGCTTTGTCGTCAACCTTTTTCACAGGCTCAATCACATCTTCGGAATTTGTCGTCGCCATCTCTGCGATAGAGGCGTTGAGTTTATTGAAGAATTCAACTCAAGAGTTCGTGATCTCGTTATGAACGACGACATCCTGCAAGGCGGTATTCACACATGCTATATGTATACAGCGCGACAGCTTCGTGGTCTGCCAGTGTGCTTGTCCAATTCAGCCACATCTGGCTCGGTTGGAGCTATCCCACAGTCCGACCCCTCTCTCCCGGAGTCTTGGCCACGGCGCTCGGAGGATCTGCAGCGGGAGGACAATAGCTTCGTGACATAGGCCGCCGAACAGCTCAGGCAGGCCAAGCAAGAGAAGTTGCCCTAATGAGTGCCAGTGATTGAAGAATGGCGAGCTGCCATACTTGAGGGTAAGCGTAAGCGTTGAAAATACTTGCAACCCATCTTTTGCAAGATCCACTTCGTTTCCATTTGGCAGATGCAGTCTCATCGGCCATCCTTCCAGATATGTCACCGCAGAGCAGCACGGATGTTTCGCCCCAAAGTTCCGTTGGCACTGGTCGCAGTACACCACTTACCGAGTGCGACTCTGAAGAACTTGCTGCAACCTGTCCAGTGGGAAAACGTGATATCAGCGACGTTTTGTCAGAACTCTTCGCCGAGAATGTGACAGCCAAAGCACTTCGTACCGCACACGCCGCACTGTCTGCGCTCCCACACGAGTTTCCAGAGATTGTTCCGATGAACCAAGAGTCAAATGGCAAATATAGTCTTCGACCGGCAGACTTTTGGACTTGTGGTTTCTTTCCGGGAACGTTATACGCAGTCTTAGAAAGGCTCATTAAGTAAGCTGAACAGTTCCATGGAGGTGCGAGCAGAGCTGCAAACAGTGGCTGACATACTCGGTTATTGCACAGGTATCCGCAAAGCGTTCAAGCCAGCGAATCAATAAGCAAAGAAAACCTTCGCCGCGAGTTCGCCTCTCTCTGTGAGACTTGGATCGAACCGATTCGGAAAATGGACAGCCGTACGGATACGCATGATCTAGGTTTCATCATCATGCCGGCACTTCGAGCTGACTGGGAACTCCTTGGAAATCAACATAGCCTAGCCTCGATCATTCGTGCGGCCCATAGTCTAGCAACCAGATACGTCCCATCGTCAAAGGCCATCAGGAGCTGGGATCTGCTTCGGAAGAAAGATATCGAGATTATAGACCAAGAGAGCAACATGATCGTCATCATTGATAGCTTGTGTAACCTCGACTTGCTGTACTATGCTGCTCATCATTCTGGAGATGTGAACTTGGCGCATATGGCGACAGAGCATGCAAAGACCGTGTTGAAAACACACCTTCGGCCGGAAAAATCACTTCAGCCTTGGGCAGTTGGCGAGTCGGAGGCATATCAAGGCCAGTGGTATTCAACTTGCCATGTCGCAAATCTCGATCCAAGGACAGGAGAGCTCAAAGCGCGTCTTACAGCGCAAGGCTACTCGAAAGACTCAACTTGGTCTCGCGGGCAAGCCTGGGCTATCATGGGGTATGTGGAGACGTACGGCTGGACCAAAGATCGAGTATTCCTTGAGACGGCGTGTGGCTTAGTTGAGTACTTTCTCCATCGCTTGTGGACTGCTCCAGCATCTGTACTCTGCGGAAGACATGTCCCTCTGTGGGACTTCGATGCGCCACTGGATGATGAGCGAATGCCACTACGAGATTCCTCTGCAGGTACCATTGCTGCAAATGGACTTCTTGGGCTTTCTCAAGCGCTGCTGGGAGTTCAGGAACCGGCACTTGCATCGAGATATCTTGAAGCAGCGGTTGCAATCATTGAAGGCACTCTCAACTTTGCGTTGGCATTTGAGAAGACGTGCCTGGTGCAGGATGCGAATAGTAAGATCAGCGCAGAAGAGACCATTGCTGGGAGTCGCTTCGACGGGATTTTGAAGTTTGCAACTGCCAATAATAACGCTACCGCCAAGAAACGATATGCAAATCATGCTCTGGTGTACGGAGATTACTACCTTGTGGAGTTTGGCAACAGGCTTTTGCGAATGGTTCTGGCATAGATAGATGTCATGGCAGCTGGAGGAGAACTTTTGCCAGTCTTAGCGAACGGGGTTGCGTTGATAGAATTCCACAATTTCTTGTTGCGCGCCACCAAGAGCCGGAACTGACGATATGTATTACCACATAGCGGAGGTTGTATCGAGCGTTGCAGCAAACATCATGCCGTCATCGAATGCAATTATACGATCCAGGTCGGCAAAGTCTTGATCCAGCATGAGTCCGCTAATTGCGTCGAAATCTGCCGCGTGTGGCTCTGCGGAAGGAATGTTGTCCGAGTCCGATCTTGTTGGTTGTGTGGCTAGTGCTAACGACAGGCTGAAATCTTGATTTGCTTCCGAAGCCCAATACATGACGTTGATACGATACGAGAGATTTGAGACACAAAGACTGTGAAGTTGTCTTAGCCTTGTAGCGTACCTGGCGAAAATGTCTTGCTTTAGACCGGCGGCCGCTACTCCAGTCCACCGTGCAGACATCTCGTCCAGGCTCCGCAGGATGGACCAAAATTCAGAGGGCAGGCCGTTGTTCCCGTTCGATTGCCACCAGATGAGTAGAACTCGCGCCGCGATGAACAAGCAGAAGGCACAGGCACTACTCATTGGCGACTCAGCAAGAGATCTGTGGATGTACTTTTCTGCAATGGAAGCAATCTCGACACTTGCCAAGTAACAAGCATCGACACTGCAATCCACAGGCAGCCGACTCCGAAAATGCCAGTGAGGTGGAGCGTATGCTATTATCTGGTGCAACAGAATCATGGTAGCATTGTGTGTGAGATGTGCTGTCGTCAAATTCGGATCCATGAGCGGAACATGCCTTGTCATGTTGGGATTAGCTCGCCACTTTTGCGGCAACAAAAGTTTCCAGTGCACCAGGCGTGAGTCGAGCTCCTTGAAGCGACCAAGCCAGGCGGTAATTTGAACGGCGTCTCGCACATCTACTCGGGACTGCAAGACGTAGGACATTACGCGGCTCATGGAGTCGGTCGCTTCGATGTTATAGGCGAGAGCACCTATCGTGGACAGCTCCAGTGTGCTTCTGCATTTGTCCCATGTGCCGAAGTAGGGCGTAACTACCAACTCTTCCTTCCGCCACAGATGTCCATCGCAAGGCAATCGACGATGAATGTCATCGGCATATGTTGATGTAGGCCAGCCTGTGGTGACAGCGCAACATCGCTCGAGGAGGAAAGCTATCCAAAAAATCCTGCGTCGCTCTTCCGTTGTCGTGAAGTCATCAGTAGGACGGAGTGGCCGGACAGGCTGACAAAATGGATGACGATTCTGGTCATCCGGCTCCTGAGAGATTTGCATGTAGATTGTGGTTTTTGTGAGAAAGCCAAGTGTCTGCCATGCCCGGTCGATGTTGCCACTTCCTAGATCATCGAAGGCCAGAATGATCAATGCCTGGAGAGCTGCCAGAGATGAGTGGGCTATGGCATTTTCAAATATCCGCTTTCGAAGGCTCGTCTTGCTCTCGGACGTCAATTTATTACCTGGCACAAATTTTGCAGCAGCGACTGTCATGGCGTCAAGCAGGGTGCAAGTCTCCTCTCGTGTTGTGGCACCAGAACTTCCCTGAGAGAAACGACCTTGGTGTATCATCGGGATCCAAGGGTGAATGTGACTGAAATAGGTGTCGATTACTGCATCTGATGACTGGATACAAGGGTTCGATGGTGTATTATGGGGGCCGGCGACTGCTGAGTTCTCCGTGCTGAGTTTTCGCTTCTTGCTGGGAGAGCCGATTGCTTGTGTGGCCGCAACGGAAGGTTCAGCTGCGGTGTTGACCAATTTGGGGAGCTCTTGTGCAAGTAGACTAAGGACATCGTACGCTCTCTTTGGAACGCCATCGTAGGCGTCAGGAAACGCTTCGCCTGTCAAGGGTGAATGAGCTGTGTTGGCCTGCTGTTTCGCTCGCTGCTCTAGCAGATATGTACATTGTCAGACTTGCGAATAAGAGCAAATGTTGGAAGAAATACCAAGTCGTCTGTGTATGGCTTCGATTGCTCCGGGCTTAACACCAGGCTTCGTTCGTTTTGTGGCGTACGTGCATTGTGACTCTGCGAAAGAGCGTCAACGCTCAGCTTACTGCCTCTTTGTTTGATTGAATTACGCGTTCTCCGGCAATGCGAGCAGCACGGACGCTCTTTCGAGCATCGTAGCTTCGCCTTCCTGCACTTCTCGCATGCTAATGCTTCGTGTCCGCAGTTCGACTGTTCAAGATCCAGGCCAGTGCCGTCTTCGGTATCGCCATTCGACGCCGACATGACTGAGTGACCGCATCGTGGTGTACAATTTGCGAAAGATCGAAGTATATGTATTCGTCCGAAGTCCGGGATAATTGCCCCGAGGTTGATTGGAGAAGGGAAGAGGAGTAATGTAGAGAAGTGGAGCTCAAACCGAAACCGAAGCTGACTCAGCGCGCACGGTTCACGCATGTAACACGGATAGACGCAAATGATCTCTGCGGAGTCACAATCTTGTCCATTGACGCACGTCTAGAATGGACTATAATTTGACATCTTGCATCAATACCGGGATGCCTGCTACATGGCTCGCCGCTGCTGAATATGAAGGCGAAAAGGGGCTGTTGGACTTGCAAGCGTAAGCAGCCGATGACTGCAGGGTTGCACAAATGCTCATCAGTTCACTAACGTACGGCCCTAGAACGGAAGATCGGCTGCGACAAAACGATTCCACGGTGCAATAATTGCAATCGATCCCAGAGATTATGTGAAGGCTATGGAATAAGGCTGAACTGGCCCGACCAACTCCAAAGCAGGCGAGACGATCATATCGTATGCTTCGTGCCAGAAGGTTTCAGCGCTGGAGAGTCTATTAGCACTCAACAACGCAGATTTTGCAACACTACTTACCGTGACTTCGCTCTAGCCAAGCAAGAGCGTCTCACCTGGCTTCAGATCATCAAGAGACTATGCGCAGAGCCAAGTCCGTCCCTTACTCTGCACCTGCCAGCAGTGGGCAACGACGCAATGCTGCTCACTTATTGTTCGTATCTGCTCTCCCATTCTGTGTGCACATAGCCTGACGCATGGCAGATGAGCAGATCATAGCACCAATGTGTTCAACAACGAGAGCATGGAACGGTTTTCAATTCCAAGTATTGCCCATGGCCTTGTCCAGTCGCGATAAAGTCAGCAGATCGCTATGCAACTCCATGCTGGCCATATCAGCACATCACCGCCAGTTACCAGGTGCAGCGCTTGCTTACAAAGTGGCTGCCATGAAAGGCTTGCACGAATCCGTCACAACCTTGGGCGGTGGTCTCTGTGTTGTGAGCCCCGAGACAACGCTTGCTACCGCAATGATGCTGTGCATGTATAGTGTGAGCTCTGTAATTTGCCATTTCGAAACTAACACTGCTGACCAGCCTCAGGTATTCGATGAAGAAGAAGCTCAATTCCATGCGCACTTGGAGGGTGCCAAGAAGATCTTGAGCTGCTTACCTGCGAGCCAAAGGCGGCAGCCTGCGATCGAATTCCTCGTAAATTGGATCCTCTACTACGACATTCTGAGCAACTTTGCTCAACCTTTTCGAGACAGTCAAGCCCACCGCGAGATCGCCTTCTCGAGGGACCCGCAAACTAGGCCGGACCTGGTTCGTAATACAGTCGCCCATTTCTATACACCTCTGACATTTAGGAAGATAGTAGGCTTGCTCGGCTGCTCCATTGAAGTGTTCGATATCATTTCCTCCGTCAACAAGGTGCGCGCTGAGGTCCTAGAGCATGCTAATCGGGACATCACAGGCACGAGGTGGCAAATGCGCGTGGCTCTGGAAGAGAAACTACGAAACTTGACGCAAAACTTCAGTCCTGATGAGGTGGCTCATTCCACATGCGATCAAATCATAGCGTCTACAGCGACGGCGGAACTGTACCGCTTGGCAACTCTTTTGTACCTCGTGCGAGTTGTGCCTGTGCATGGCGATGAGGCGCAGAGAAATGCTTATCTGGACCAAGCTTTTATGGCCCTAGGACAGGTCCGCGTGGCAACATGTCCCTGGCCAGTCTTCATAATCGCCTGCGAGTCGCGCACGGAGGAGCAGCGCATGAAGATTCTGAATGTCCTGGACTGTATGGACTCGGCAAGAAATGTCGGCAATGTTCGCATCACGCGGAACATCATTCAGACCATATGGAGACAGCAAGATCTGAGGGGATCCGCAGACATGACCGGGCCGGTGCCTTGGTGGCTTTGCATCGAGTCGAGTATTCCTGTGCCTTGGTTCACATAACAGCAGCATTTTCGTACGATTACAATGAGAACTGTCAATATTCAGCAACGCTCTCGCGTCTAGTAACACAATTTTCTCGGCCGGTGTCGCTCTGATCGCATCTGACTTCTTCGAGAACAAGCTGTGGAGCCAGTAATACCGAATTCTTGGGCGAACGCGGTGCATGCAGCAAGGATTTCTAGTTGGGTCCTCGAATAGGGCCTGTGATAGCGAGGCCGAGTGGCCCTTACGACGCTAGTTCCTGAGCAAGGGTCGAGGTCCGCTTCTTAGCTTCGCAAACAGCTGCCCTCCAGCTCAATGCCAAGGCACATGACGTTCGCTTACCAAAGATTGTTGAAGCTCCATCAACAGTCACACCAAGCTCGAAGCTTGAAGCTCGCAGATTGACAAAAGCCTCTGTATTTTCCCAAGCAACACTTCACCACAGACCAGAAGTTGTCCGACCTTTCGACAACATGGCAAGCCCAACACCCATCGATGCCCCAGAGCACATCCACAAACTCCTGTCCGAACTTCACCAGAGATCCCTGGACCAAGAAGCTGTCCTATCGAAGAGCGGCAAAGTCTTCTCCTCCAAGGTGATAGGCGACCTCGAAGATCAACATGCAGAAAAAGCCGCCAGCGAGTTTGACAGAATTATGCTGGACAAATTCATTGCTTTGGATCAAGACAAATGCCAATTCGTATACCAGCTCATCAATGCAACGGGCGCAACGAACGTTGTCGAAGCCGGAACCAGCTTTGGAGTGAGCACTATTTATCTTGCCCTGGCTGTTGCTCAGACCAAGGCTGCGACGGGCAAGTCTGGGACTGTGATTGCGACGGAGAAGGAACCTCAGAAGGCGGAGATTGCAAGAGGATATTGGACGCAGTGCGGGTCGACGGTTGAGCAGCAAATTGATCTGCGTGTTGGCGACTTGCTGGAGACATTGAAGGTTGATTTGCCAAAGATTGACCTTCTGCTGCTCGACAGTGAGTATCTGTCGCGCGTCGTGATGATTTACTGTAACTGACATGTGTGACAGTCTGGTCCGCTCTATCCTTACCAACGCTCAAGACTGTCCTTCCGAATCTGCGACACGGCGCGGTGGTCCTGACGGATAACACGATTTCCGGAGCAGATGGATACAAAGATCTACTGGCATACTTGCGGGACCCGCAGAACGGCTTTCAGAATATGATATTGCCATTTACCAATGGCTTCGAGATGAGCGTATATCTGCCGAAAGTCTCACAATAGAAATAGAAAGATTGAATAACATCGTCGAGTTGGCCGCAGCTCTCCGCGAAGGCCACTGGAAATACATGATCTCTCATGGCACACAACTTTCTTTCAAGGCTCACAGACCCTGATGGCAGATTTCAGCAGAGACAAAACAACGAGTGAATGTCTGACAAGACAGCTGAACTGTCAGCGGTTCGCCGAGAGTTAAGAGACTGAGAGTGGGGACAATCCAAGACAGTCGTCGGGTCTTGTGGAGCAGCAGCTGGATAAGCCGGTTTCTCTACAAAATGTACGACAGCTCCACTCAATCACCATTCACCGCCGTCTTCTCGACAAACAAATCTCCACTCAAATACTTCAACCCCGTGTCACACCCCACCGTAACCACAACCTTGCCCGGCCCCAGCTCTTCGGCAAGCTTCAGCGCAGCAAGCACATTGAGCCCAGTCGAAGTCCCCACCAAAAGCCCCTCTTCCCTCGCCAACCTCCTACACATCTCTCTCGCATCCTTCTCATCGTACGCTCTGGCTTCATCATACATCTTGGGATCCAGATGCGGCGGAATAGCGCCCGAGCCAATTCCATCGATATTATGGTGTCCAGTGTATCCCTTCGTGAGGATTGGAGAATAAGTGGGTTCTAAAGCGACGATTCTGGCGTTGCCGAAAGAGTGCTTCAAAACCCGGGCTACGCCCTTGAGCATGCCAGCACTCCCTACTGCGCCGCAGAATGCGTCAATTCCGCTTGGAAATTGCCGGAGAAGTTCTTCGCCCATCGTTTGGTAGCCGGATACTGCGTCTGAGTTTGTTGAATTGATCGGAGAACCAGCAATCACTCCTCTCATTCAGCTTTGCAGCCAGCTTTCTCATCTCCGGGAAAAGATTTGCATCATGCCCGCCAGAAGCACTTTCGACAAGATGGAGGTTGGCGCCGAATGCCCGCATGGTCTTCAATTTTTCCTCCGCGAAGATGGGAGATGATATTACTTCGAAGTTGTAACCCTTGATGGCGCAGACGAAGGCTAGAGCAGAACCTGTGCTTCCGCCGGTGACTTCTACGACTGACATGCCTGGTTTCAGCACACCTCTCTGCTCCACTTCCTCGATCATGGCTCGTGGCATTCGGTCTTTGTACGAGCCGGTAGGATTGTAACCTTCCAGTTTCAAGTAGACCTTCGCAGATGTAGGCGGTGTGATATGGCTCAATTGAACAACTGGTGTATTGCCAATCGTGTCAAGGACGGAACCCGTAGGAGGCATCGGCTTAGCCATGATAGTGCGATATGAGGTGCTCTGTTGTTGAGTTGTAGATGCCGCTGGACTGGGCGTAGATCTCCTGCTCGAATTCGATGAGTGAACGGCCTGACAAAGTGCAAGACTGCAGCGGTACATGCCGTCTCCTGCTGAACTGCAATCGCACCTGCGCAAATTCTCACCTCAGATTTATGTATTCAGGCCAGTAAGCACTGTTGTCAAATATAAGCAAACAGCGAGACCGCTGCCAGTTCAACGGCGAAGCTCAGGCTAAATAATTCTGACAACTAGCTTCAAAGCTCTCGCACCAACTTGCCGTAAGAAGAGCCGAACACTAGGTGAAGAAACTTTGGACCTAGGGATGTATCAACGTTGAGGCGCACAAGGGTCCTGAGCGAGGCTCATAAGGAGCATAATGGCGAGTTTTCAATCCGACATATCGTAAAGTTGTGGCCAGAGTACCCCGTGACTCACAGCCACGCCATTTCAGTGACAAGATGAAATGAGGGTCAGAGATATTTCGGCAGAGGGTATAGATAGTGCTCGCTGCAGCACTTCCTCCTGCGATCAGAGCATTCTTTCTCTTTCACCCAGACTCAGTCGTGGTTTCCAGGACTCCTGCCGAAGCACATATCATCCGCACTTCATGGCTCTAGATTCGAAGAAACACTTCGAAGCACAGTCCAGTCTCCAGACTTTCCCCATCTGCCCAAGTCGAAGCAATGAGCCTCAAGCCCACAACGTCGAGCCCGATCCCGATGGAAGTGTCGAAGGATGAAAGTGGCTCTCCTATCGCTGTCGCCAATGAAAGAGCCAGAGCGCATTCAGCAAGATCTCCGTGGTACTCTAAGATCAAAAGGTAGGTATCGCGTTTGGCATCCGTCTGTCTTGAACAGGTCGCTGATCATGCCGGATCCAGCCAAAGTACCCTCGTCCTGATCTCTGCATTCATGATCAACTTCACAGCATGCGGACTTCTCTTCGGCTTCGGCGTCTATCAGGCCCACTACGAGTCCCTCGCGTTGATCGAAGGCACTCCATTCTCCGGCGCCAGTTCAGCGACCATCGACCTCATCGGTACACTGTCCGCCGCATTGATGACCATGGGAGCCCCACTGGCAGTCGGATGGGCAAAGAACTTCCGCCCATGGGCCGTCGCATTCGTGGGCGGAGTGAGTTACGGTATTTCTTGTGTAGCTGCGAGCTTCGGAAAAGAACTTTGGCACTTCCAGCTCTCGCAAGGACTCCTTCTCGGCATCGGTACATGTCTTTCGTTCATTCCATCGATGACTGTGGCGCCAACGTGGTTCGACCAGCATCGAGGACTGGCCATGGGTGTTATATCCGCAGGGACTGGCGTCGGCGGACTAATCTGGGCTCCAGTCATCACGACTTGTATTCAACACATGGGATATCGAAGCACACTTCGATTGACAGGAGGCCTAGCAACGGGCTTGATCTGCGCTTCGAGTTGCTCTCTCCGGTGGGGACCTGCGTTGACTGTCAGCATACGCGCCGACAACGATGGACGTTCCCGTTTGCGAGCAGCATTCAGCGTTCCTCTTCCTTCGCGCAAAATGGCAACGCAGAGCAGCTTCATCGCTCAAGCACTGAGCTCGGTGTTCCAGAGTGCCGCCTACTACACCCCAGTCTTCTTCACAGTCGCATAGGCCAGGTCCATCGGATACGACGACGATCAAGGCGCAAACCTGACTGCTGTGAGCAATGCCTGCAACGCTATCGGGAAAATTGCTATTGGCTTCGTCGCAGATCGCATTGGACGTGTCAACGCATTCTTCCTGAGCACTTTTTTCACTGCCGCCGCGACTTTGGCATTCTGGGTATCGAGCACAGTTATTGGTTGCACGCACGAAGTGGCGGCCAGAGGCTTGTTCGTGACCTTTACTGTCCTTTACGGCCTTTTGGCCAGCGCCTACATCAGTTTGTTCTCGGCAGTCTTGATGGAGCTCTTCGGGGCAGATCAGCTCCCACGAATTGCCGGTGTCATGTACATGACTCAAGGCTTGTCGGCACTTTTGGGGACTCCTGTCGCTGGACTGTTGGTGCAAAGTCAAGCGTCGCGGGATCCTGGGGCATATGTGGGAATGGCATCGTTCGTTGGCGCGTTGCTCTGCTGCGCTTCTGCGGCCATTGCTTGGGTGAGAGTCGGTCTTGCACATAAGAACGATTCGGTCGCGGCGTGAGGGATCTGAAGTTGTCAAAGTAATGCGCACAAGAATTGGGCTGCAGTCATGAGCGCGGAAGAAAGAGGATAGGAACAGGGGTCGAGCCGCGCAGGTGCAACATATAGACAGCGTCCTGATCAGCTCTCCGACGCAGGTTTGGCATTGTGCAGGAGACGTCGCGTCCTACTGTTCGCAAAGCCATTGCTCAAGGAGCGCGAAGCAGGAGTGTCCCTGCAGACAGTCAAGATGCTGCGTAGCGCCGAGACAACTCGCGAACCCACCACATCCTCGCCGATTGCCCTCCTACCCTTTGTCATGCTGTCCTCCTCCTCTCATTCCTCTTATGCCAGAAACTCTTCGCTCAACTACAATTCGCCCTCCACCATTCGAGTCGCTCCTATGCTTCTTATCTTCCTCGTGGTATTCGATATTGAAGATGCAGCCATTGCCAGTCACTTTGCAGCCATGGGTTTGCGTACACATTTGATAGTTCCCGCTATTCTCGTCGCTCGTCCAAGGATAGCAAAGTCCGTCACCTCCGTAGCCGTCCGTGACGCAGTACTGTTGTGCAGAAGAATTAGAGAAGGACATTCAGTCTTTCGAAAGGGGAATTCTCATGTTGATTATAAATGACATTAGTTATGGCTGTGTGTGGACGGGACGACGTACTCCGGCTAACGCGAATGGATAGATAACGGAGAGCAGGGTCGCGGCTACGAGAGAGAATTTCATAATTGCGTGTCTGGTTAATATCGTGCTGGCGATAGACGCGTGTAGTGGTCAGGCGTGTAGTGTTGGCTCTCTCCCTAGATCAAACGAGAATGTAAATGTCGGCTTAGGCACAGGGCAGGGCAGCGCTAATATATGAGTGGGCAATGGGACATAGAGCGCTATTTTCTTCCATACCCACGACGGGTATGGCCCTCACCGAATTGAAGCCACAGTAGTGCGGACCGGAGAGCATTCTCGTACGGGTAATCTCCTCGCTCTCTCGGATTCCAGGATTAACGGGTGGGCATTAGTTCTAGACCACTAGTGTTGAGGTTCGCGCCGGGTTACCAAGTATCCGTCAACGACGAACCAGCAACCGGCGATTTTGGAAAGCTGACCAATAAGTATTAGACAGGCGCATGTCGAACGATGTTGCTTGACCAGTGTAGACAGAAAAGGACAAGGAGGCAACGCGAGCACGTGTTTGTATATAGGCATGGAGTCACTTGTCGTAGCCTTCCCGTGCAGGAAGCAATTCTCACGCTGTTCCCCTCTATGCCAAATACTCATCGGTCCAACTAACAATGCGCCTTCCACCCACTCGAGTCCCGTTCCATATTAAAGGAACATTGGCTGCCCATCGCTTTGCACGGATGATTGGGCGCACACGCCTGCAACCGTCCGCCGTTTTCGCCCACGCCAGGAGCACAAGAACCGACTCCATTAGGTGATGTCCGGCAGCGCTGTCATGCACAGGAGTTAGAAAACGGGCATCTTCATGAAGGAGGTCCGTCCGGGCAAAGAGCTGATGCGATTCCTTGTGGTGCATGGGATCGATCACGACGGTATGTGACAAGAGTAACGTACCCCAGCTGAGGCGAAAGGAAAGGCCATAGAGAGAAGAGCCGCAGCGGCGAGGAAGAACTTCATGATTGCGTGCTTGTTGACTGACAAATGGTTGATGAAGGAGGGAAATGAAAGCAGGTTTTCGGGCGTGTCTGGGATCGACAGGTGGTCAATTTTGTGAGTTATATACGGTCGCCATGCCGTATGTTGTCAGCAATAGCACTGTCATCTTGTGGCAAGTCAGCAATACCACTGTCATGCAACAGTTGAGTATCTGCGGACCGAAGTAAATGCGGAGGGTTCCGACAGACCAGAGCCGACGTCGTGAAAAAGCACGCGGCCGGGGGGTATTGGTGGTCGTGGTCCAAAGGCTAAGTACCATTTACTAAATCCGCGCCGAGGATGAGGAGGGCCAGATAAGACGGGCTTGAAGTAGACTTCATAATTAGAGCTATAACGAATACATGTTCCAAGACGGCTTTGAGGAGGCCCATGGCAGTCAAAGTTGGATGTTTCAGTTTTGAAACGTGTATTGAGAGACTGAAGCTGTTGTACATTTGGCGGTTCCCACTGGGCACTTCCAAGCAGAGGACAGGTTTCGTGGTCAGGGGAGAGGACGGACAAGGCTTCTTCGCGGAGCATCACAGAGTTCAAGCCAATGCTTCGAGGGATCTACTTGGCAGAGAACGATGCCGTTCATCTCTTCAGCATGTACCAGTAGCCTCTCCTGTGGTCGATCTCGGCGTCCCGATGCAGGTCGTGCGCAGAGACAGGTCCTTTGACGACCGTTCCTGGTCTTGCGCTTCTGGTCCAAGCGAAGAAGAGCGTCTCGCCTAAGCGGACAAATCCAAGGGATCTCCAAAATGCCATGGCAGTTCTTTTCGTATCTTCCTTCCAGCGCTGTCTTTCGCCTGCCGAGAAGCCTCTGGTCTTCGCATTCAGTTCACGTTCGGGATATGAAGGCAGCGTCAGTACAATGACTGATTTACCAGCAGGCCGTGCTTGCAAGAGGACTTGTTCGATGATTCGCGTCACCAATTACGTGCCCCAGCCTTGGCGGCGGGCTTCCGTGTTGACGGCGAAGCGCTCAAACACCAAGATCCAATGGTTGTCGTCAGCACCCCAGATGCCTTGGCCTCGCCACTGCTGCCCGAAGGAGCAAGCGGAGAGTTAGTCGCCGATGCGTTCACTTTCCGGCTTCAGGAAGTCGGCAGACACACTCGCAACCCACTCCGTCTTGGGCTCTGCTTCTTTGAGCTTGAGCTTGAGCTGGTCGCGTCGCACCCGCACGGGAGACATCCGCTAGCGCGACTCCAATCGGCGCCCATGTGCCAAGCCCGACGAACACACCCGATATTCTCACACAGCACCACCGCCCATTGCACTTTTCCCTTCTGCAGACGCCGCAGCATCGTCCATCGCCAACACCTCCACGACACTCACCCAGCGACCTCCGCCCCGACACCGACAACATGCGTTACATCTACTCCCAGGAGACGCTGGACATCCCCGAGGGTGGTACGTCGAGCTCGCCGTCCTCCGCTCCCACCGCCGACAACGTTTGGCGCATTGGGAGGAATACCAGCGAGAACAGTGAATACTAACTGCGCCTCCAGTCAAGGTCAACATCAAGACCCGCCAGGTCACCGTCGAGGGCCCACGCGGTAAGCTTGTCAAGGACCTCGGTCACTTGGCTGTCGCCTTCTCCCACCCACAGCCAGACCGCATCAACATCGAGCTCCACCACGGCTCGCGCAAGAATGTCGCTACTCTCCGCACCGTCCGCACTCTTATCAACAACATGATCATCGGTGTCACCAAGGGCTACAAGTACAAGCTGCGCTACGTGTACGCTCACTTTCCCATCAACGTCAACTTGGAGAAGAACAACGAGACTGGTCTGTGGAATGTGGAGATCCGGTATGTCTTTGGCACTGTTCTGCGAATTTGCGCACAATACTGATTGAGGAACAGCAACTTCTTGGGCGAGAAGCTTGTGCGCAACGTCACCATGCAGCCAGGTGTCGACTGCGAGGCCTCCAAGAACGTAAAGGATGAGCTCCAGCTGACCGGCAACTCCCTCGAGGCCGTCTCCCAATCCGCCGCCGACATTCAGCAAATTTGCCGTGTCCGCAACAAGGATATCCGAAAGTTCTTGGACGGTATCTACGTCTCTGAGCGCACCAACATCGTCGAGGAGGCTTAAGCGCATCACGACTGATGACGGCAAAAAGTTTTTTCGTTGCATGAACGTTCCAGATGATACCAGGCAATGGCGTCGAGGCGCAATCGGAAAGTCAAGAGATGGCTTTGGACGACTTCTGGGCCAGACAACTGCTGGGTCTTCTGTGCAAGAGCGCGATCATGGGCTTGATGAGGAGGATGATGATATAGGGCACATACTCCGAATACACTCCCGCGCTTCGCGCGCAACATGCTACCGACCTCTCCTATGTCCCCATTGGGTGTGACATCGGACGGGAGTTCTATCTCCTTGTTCGTTAGAGAGGCTGGAATGCAAGTGTGGCCTTGTGCTGCTCGTATTGGTGCTGCCGAGGTCGCACTTTGCTGCTACTGACTTTTCGTGCAGGTTGCTCTCTTCGAGGCTGTTCGCCCTCATAACTGTACGTCGTCGGCAACATGTGTAAAGGTGATGCTCCGACGCAAAGACTGACTTGGATTCGCCTCTGAAGGTAAGTCGCACCATTTGGACTGTCTACAGGTACACGCCTGGAAGATAGATCGGCATCGCATCCTCCCACAAGCTATCAGCGATCTGATACTTGTTGCTGCCATCCGCATCCATAATCCAGAGCTGGCCGTATGGTTGCTCGGCCTGATCGTAAGTAGCTGCTTCAGCTTTCCATCCTGATGCACCACTCGAGTACACGATCCTACTACCATCGTACGTCCATCTGTTTGTCGTCACTTGGTCAGCACGTGCATCTCCAATCCACAATTATCATGGGCATGCCGGCAGACTCACACTCCGTGGGCATCATTCGCAGCAGAATCTGTCAGGACCTGAAGATCCGTGCCATCAGGCTTGATCGTGCAAATATCGAAGTTGGTGACATTCATCCTCCGCGTGAAGACAATGCGCGAGCCGTCTGGGGAGAAGGATCTGTTCAAGCACTCGTCAGCCACCTTTCCACCTTTACACTTCGCGCCGGACTACCGATGGCGGACGGGAAGGCTTACGGAAAATTATCACTCATCGTTCCCTCCGTAAGCTGCGTAGTGACATTCTTCGCAATATCATAAACGTATAATCCATACCCTGCCGACCCAGGAGGACCCCACTGACGGTACACGATCGAATTACCATCGTGGGAATAACTCGGGAAACCTGTTCATAGCACATCACAAGTCAGTCGACAACTTCCACGCAAGTCTGAAAACACTCATAGTGGGTTCTCGCTTACCAGAATTATTCCTCAAAACCGTCAACCGTTCCGGCAAAGAACTATTATCCGCTTTCACGCGATAAATCGCAGCAGCGTATTGTCGTCTCTGCTGGAAATACCCTCCAGCTCCAAATGCAATCCACTCTCCATCGGGCGACCAAGCAGGTTGAATCACTTCCAGTGGTGCTTGGAGATTATTCGTCAGATTTCTGATTGGCCCTGCGGCGGGAATTGTGATGTTTTTCAGATCCTCATTGTCTGCATGATGGAGGTCGGAAACGTTAGCGATGACTACATTTTTGCGGAATGGATCTGGGAATGCGATCTTCTCGCCATCCGGAGATGTTGTTGGGAACTGTCGTCCGATCGCGTAGATCCATTCTGGATCTGGGCTGAAAGGTTTGTGAGAAGGGTTCGGAGGCTCGCGGTTGAGGACTTCGAATACGACTTGTTTTCCGTCCGGAGACCAGGAGGGATTGTTGAATGGCATCTGTAAAGTCCGGGATGTGACGGTGGCGTTGGCCTTGTTGGTGTAGTAAATCCCCGCAACATCGGCATGGCTTTTGACGAAGTACCCTATTCCGAGCTCATCACTGACATACTGCGGCGAAACTTTAAGAACATTCGTCTCCGTCTCCTGCCTCGTCTCGCCAGTCTCGAAATCTACTGACCAGATCTGATTCGCGGCGTCATTCCAGAGACCTGCGGAACGGGCGTTGTAGGTTTGAGTTCGTTCCATTTCGTAGTAGACTATACGTCTTCCATCGGAAGACCACTTGGGACTTCCGAGTGCATAACCAGGTTTCGTGGCGACAAGCCGAAAATCTGTTCCATCGGGTCGAATAGCATAGATCGAAAGTTCCTGCGTATTTTCCCATGCTGTTCCGTCGCTGTGACTGTACCAGCCCGTATTGCGGTCGGAGCTGAAAGCGATCCATTGACCGTCTGGAGACCAGGCGGGTTTGAAGTAGCCGTCTGGACTCCAGGAGACGCCTTTCACGGATGCCGTGTTGGTCAAGTTTCGGGTTTCGCCCGTTTCCAAATCTTTCACCCAAATGTTCGCTTTCCAGCCATTACCTGAACTGACATACGCCAACCAATTCCCATCAGGAGAAAGAACACCTTGATCATCCACTGCATCTGTCGCTACGAGTTCTTCGATTCCAGTTCCGTTCACCCGGACACGATACAGATCCGCTTGGCCTGCTCCTCTTTTCTCGGAAGTGTAGATGATATATTTCCCATCGGGCGAGAACGTCGCATGGTATTCGAAGACAGCAGAAGAGTTGGATAGGAGTCTTCGAGCATTTGTGCCGTCGCTGTTGGCGATGTAGAGGACGGAGGATCGTGGAGAAAGACGATTGAACATCAAGGTTCCCTTTTTCCCATCCGGACGGGGTGTTGATGTGTTGCCTGTCTTGGACGTAAGTGATACTGAGATATCCCGTTTGGCGTGAGGGGCGTTGTAGCCGTGATAAGACGCAGCATGGCCGCTATTTTGGTAAGGACATGCTGCAAGTGTGGTGCTGCTGAAGAGTGCTAGGCTTGCGGATGCTATGCTGAGAAGTCGCATTTTAAGATCTGTCCGAAGGAATGAGAAGTCGTCGCCTGCATCGATAGTAAGAATATCACCAATAGAAAATAAAACGAGTGTCTGCCAACTTCATTAGGTCGAATAGCGATCAAGTCTCTAGAATTACAATCCACCGGATTGCTATCCACATTTGTAGACCTGGTATCCATGCTTCACGCCGCTGACTAAGTGTCGAGAGTTTGGAATCGAGCATGGTAGTAGTAGCCTGAACTAGGATCAGCTGGCCAAAAAAAGAACCAAACAGCATTACCAAATTGCGAAGGACAAGGTATTTTGCCAAAAGGCATGCAAGTGAACAGCGATAGCCGGAGATTTTCCCGTACAAGATAGCTGGGAGCATAGCATGCCGAAGAGCGAACATTCGGATACTCCCTGAGTACTAAATCGAGCCCCAGTTCCAATATCGAGCTCCACGTTAGCCGGCAGTTACCGACAATTTGAACCGGCTTTAGACAAGCGAGGCGAGCTTGCGAGCGAAGTGAGTACTCGGAGCTGCGAGCCTGCGAGCAATAGCGACGATGTACGATACCCGAGCGCGTGAGGCATGGGCCCCTAAAAAAGATAGCATTATTTCTTTTAGGCAACGAACGAGACCGAGCCGATGGCGAGTGTCGAGAGAGGCGGCAGTGCACCTTGACAACTTCAGTCTAACACTGATGAGGGGTGTCAAATTTTGATTCACCAGCTGGGGCTCGATATTGGAACTGGGGCTCGATTTAGTAGCCAGGGGATACTCGGATGTAGGGCTTTCTGCACCCTTGTATAGGGCTGAGTAGTGCTGACCATGTTCACTCATCACTCATCAAATGAGATCGGGGTTGATTGTCAGCGACCAGGATCATGAACCCCGAAGATCATGAAGTTGAGCGCTCCGAACAAGGTTCGGAGTTCAAAAGGGGAATTCTGTCAAGTTCAAAGCTAAGAGTGTAGGGCTGCCATGCATATACATCTCCAGCGACCGCGTTCTTCTCCCTCTCACACCCAGTCTTGAATGCCTTCGCACGTCCAGAGTCGATTGGGGATTTTACGAGAATCTATGCTAGGATGGGTGTCGGACTTATCCAGCAGGCAGAACGAGTTCGAATGCGCATGCCTCCCTCAGCCCCTCAGCAACGAAGTCTGTACATGAGCAGTCTTCGTGTTCAGGTCGCTACCACCAGAATCATCAGACTGGTGTAACTTTCGAGAGAAAGTCTCAGGCTTCGACTTCTCGGCCAGCTCGTTCCAGTCCAGGTGCAGTTTAGCTTCCCCGATGTATGTTGGCAGCGGATCCTGACCAAGCCTGTCCTTATGCTGAATGTGAACGCCGATCGTCTGATCACGAGCGACTCGGATCACAGTGGAGAAGGTGTTGCTGTACGAAGTGCCTGTCACCGCAAGACTGTATAGACCGACCACGACAGCGAGAAAAGTTGCAGCGGCGGCCGCCCCATACGCCGCAAAGAGCCGTTCCTTGTTGTAGCGATAGGCGTTATGGGTGACAGATAAAGAGACATTGGACATGATTGGCTCTTCTGCTGCGATCTCCGGAATGGTGAGAAGAGATAATGTCATGTTCTGGAAAATCTCCTCAAGGGTCTCTATGATGGCCGCAATGGCCGCGGAGTTGTGGAGGACTTTGAGTAACTGGCATAAAGCGGGTACAATTCTTCAGTAAATGCAAGTTCGGTCTCCAGTATGTGAGTCTTGTCTATTCTTGGTAGGTCTCCCGAGAACAACATACCGAGAAGTAGCTCTCCGACGACTTCCATATAAGCCAGGTACGATTGGACCTCGGGAGTATTCAGCCCAAAAGCCCCCGGACAGGAGGCACGATCCCTTGAGCTCTCGATGAAGATGACATTCTGGAGCTCGATGGCATTGATGCTCACATCTTGATTCCCGTTATTGAAATTGAAGGATACCGTGTAAGTGGCGTTGTAAAGCATGCAATTCAAAAGAGCCACATCGTTAGAATGCAGACCTTTCTGAGCCATATTGTCACGGTAGGCCAAGTACAATGCCTGCGGTCTGGAGTCGTCTGTGCCGAGGCGAGCGTCGGAGGGCAGAACGTAGTCCTGGTAGGGAAAGGGAACATATTCTGCTATGCCAAGCGACGCGTCTTCCAAAGAACTAGTGATATTGAAGGGCACGATACTGCTTTCGGCGACCCATGACACGTGGAAAGTACTGAACGTAGTGCCACAGGCCGTGGAGCCATTCAGACATTGGATGCCCGCTACGTCAAGCTCACGGAGAATCTCGTTCGGGCTGCTGATAGGCATGCACTGTATGGAGGGAGCGTAGAACGTGATATCGTAAGAGGAGTTCGCTTGTGGGGCCGGAATGCTTGGGAGCTGTCCTTGGTATGCTGCTCCAAACAAAGTTCGTCTGATACGATTCGTTGGTCCAGCCCACTCGGCGTCAAAATCGTAGCCACCGCCTCTCATCACAGTTGGCTGGTCTTTGGCCAACATGTAAGTATTGACAAACATGTCTCTCTTGTTGTAGCCTGGAAGGTGTATTTCCTTTATTCCGTGCGAACGAAACTCCTTCGGCACAACTCTCAGCGCTGAGGGCGGGAAGACGACCGCCAGAGGTATCAACCAGGCGAGCAAGGCGAGAAGCCCCAACAGAGGGCTAGCTTTCAAGCTAATCCAGTTGAAGAGTTGATAGATAACCTTTAGCTGGTCTGCCAGATCATCAATAGTTGACAGCGAAAGAGGCTTTCGCAGTCGTTGCCAGAAGATCTGCCAATAGACAGTCGAGATGGTGATGACAAAGGCGGCGCGGACGAGGAACGCACGGCCGGTGCCGATGGCTACGTAAGTGCCTTGCGGCCAGCGTGCTTGGTCAACTCGACGGTCATGTAACCTTGAGTAGAAGTAGTGGTGTCCGACCGCGAGTGCAATGTCCGCGATGAAAGACACGAGCAGTGTTGTTGGCACAAGCCAGTGCGGCAGGGACTGACGTTTGGCCATGTGTGCTGCGCTGTACTTGTGCAGACAGGCGACAGGGTGCTCACGAAATCATCTGTTGACGCCGCAGGTGGAGATGAAGAAGAATGTCCTCCCTTGAACAGGATAACGATTTGGTGGCATGTTTCGAGGCGACGAATGTCTGTCTCGTCCACACCGGATGCTCGACAGCGGAGGTGGCAGCCATTGAACTCGGCAGTGGGCCACTGTGGTGGTTCATTGTGCTCCCGCTGACCAATATCGCGATGTCAGACGCCGCAGACCACAAGGCTGGATCAGCGCAAAGGCGTGGCTTGCAGTGGGGCGAAGTACATGAGTTGACAATCCGTCCAAGTGGTGGTCCGCTGGGCACTGCCAGCGCGGCGAGGCTGAGCCCTACATGTAGCAACTCTGGGGAAGGCCACGTTCTTGGAACCAAGGCTGTGGCTTTACGAACGGTGAATGCAGCAATTTTGAACGCTTGCTGTTGCCAAGCGGCTGGCTGTAGACGATGTGTCATTTCTTGGTCTGTCTTCGGCGCTGCTACAATAAAGAGATTGCTTTTCCAACTGGGTATCAATCTTTTCACTCTGCTTCTTCCCCGTAGCCATCCATATGGCGTTCTCTGCGTATCTTCTTGCCAAAGTCTTGCCTTTGGCATCCATTCTTCGCTTGACGGAGTGCCTTCGCTGCATCCGTTTTGCGCCGACGCGCGCTCATGCTTGACCACACGAGCTGTCGCAGCCCAGCGACATATCGCGGAAGCCATTGCAATTTTCTCATAATCTTTTTCTCGAAGATATGGCCAATCGCTTTGCTGTCTCCCCAATGTCACCTCACAGTCGATATGACCACGCCTCTTCACCCCTGTTCACTTACGCTCTCCCTCAGTCCTTCTTTCGATCTACGCCCATCACCCTCTTCCCACCCATACTCTTCAGCGTCTCCGCCAACTTCCCACTCTCATGCAGCTCCTCGATATCGTCTCCTCCACCGATCGACTTTCCATTGACCAGCACATTCGGCACGGTCCTTCGTCCAGTGCTCTTTGCCAAATGCCTTTGCAGCCCAGGTCCCAATTCATGAATATCCAGTTCGACCACGTATGGCTTCGGCGTAATCTCGTACAGATCCAGCAGAATATGTTTCGCCTTCTTGGAGTACGGGCAATACGACTTCGAGAACACGATTATAGGCCCTTTGCGCAGAATATCATTCAATTCCGTCTCAATTTCCTCTTCCTCTTTTCGCTTCTTGCGAGCTGCTTCTTCGTCTTCGTCCTCTGTCGCTGTCTTTGGCTTCTTCACATTCCCAACCTTCGCCACCCCATCGTCATCCGCAATGCCCTCGGGAACGCCTTCAACGACCTTCTCATTCCCAGGCCTCATCAATGGCTTCTGTCCCTTGACCCTCTTCTCTCCACCAGCCACGACTTCAGTATACGCGGGCTCAACTTTCGCTTTCGTCTTGCTCTCGCTGCTCGTCAGGTCCGCGGCTTCATCGTCTGCGACTGCTTTATCGTGTTCTTTTCGCAATCGCTCCACCCTTTCTGCGCGATCTCGCTCATCGGCTACAACGCGGTCGCGTTCCAGCGCTGATTTCTTGCGATCGATTGCGGCGCGTGTGCGTGTGTAGAATGCGGATTCGTGGGTATTCGACGCGCCGTAGGAGAGGTAGTAGATGATCGCGATGGTCAGGAAGGCGATGAGGCCGATTGTGCGGAATTGACGTGTTGAAGGCATTGTGGCCGGATTGATGGGGTCGCAAAGAAGGAGAAGGATATGAAGAAGGAGTGGATGTTGGATGTATCATGTGCAGCTATGCTTGCCTCGGCGGACCTGCAGTAGTTGGGGCAAGAGGCTAGACCCCGCATAAAGTTGACTCTTGGGCCCGGGCCGTTACCTGCGCTAGTACCACTTCGGACTAGCTTGTGAAGAAGTAATCGATAACAGCGGTCCAGCTTTAGGCAGCAACAAAGACTTCACCTTCACCTCCTCTTGCTCAACAACCACCCAATCCTATTACTATCAAGTCTAGCAGACCGAATTCCTCACCAATATCCAGCTGACTGGTGATACACGATCCAACTCGACGGCACCGCCGCCTGGACATGGATGGATACGCCCAAGGTTGCCCATACCTTCGCTTCGGCCAGTTCACAGGATGTGAACGACATTCCCGCGACAATCAAACGTTCAGGACGACGCCTCGACCTTCATCCGGTCAGCATGCTTCGTAGTTGGTTTTACAAAGTCCCCACTGGTTACAATAGCGGCAAGAGAGTGCAACACGATCGCTACCATCTATCCAGACGGCAGATCGCCGCGTGGTGATGCTCTCTCCCTTAGCAGTACATACGAACAAGCACTGCGAACTCTGTGCTCCGCCTCATTGTGCAAGGCAGCAGCGCCGGTCGGAACCTGCCAAGTCGGTTATGCGCCCGCATCGGTTCAGCCAGCATTGGCAGCGCGATGGCATTGTCGTGTGGGAAGATGAGCATGCATGTCTGCGGCGTGTGATGCTATGTAACTCGTGACTCATCGAGATGGCAATGCGGTACTCGATTCCAGGGTATAAAAGGTCGCATCCTCGCCCGTCAGGTAGGAACAACACGATCTTTCTCTTCCTCCACTTCAATCAGCCAGATCATCCAAGCCAGCAGAGTCTCACATTCAAGATGGCAACCACTACTCCTTTCTCCCTCAAAGTCGAAGGCAATGCAGAGATCCCGCTTCCAGCTGAGAGAGCTGTCATCAACGTCTTGGTCAAGAGCGAGGGCCACGATAAGGAAGCAGTCTCCGACGAGGCTCTGAATGCCGCCAAGCACGTGGAGAAGCTCCTCCGTGAGATATCACCTTCTGACAGCACTCCTGAGGCGAAAGCCGCTTCTCCTCTCGCGCAATGGTCGAAGACTTCTCTCACAGCCACAATCTTCAGCCCACGCAACGACGAGGGCCAACTTCAACCTCGCCAATTTCGAAGCAGCATCACATTCGACATCCGCTTCAAAGAATTCAAGTCCCTTGGCGCTTTCGGAGCCAAAGTTTCATCGGTGGCTCATGTTGAGGTCAAAGATATCGAATGGGTCTTGACCGAAGAGACCCAGGCTACCTACCGCTCGCAACTTCGTAAGATGGCTGCCAGCGATGCCATGAGGACTGCCAAGGACTTTTGTGATGCTCTTGGCTGTGGGAACCCGCGGCCTGTTGAACTCGAGGCAGATGGGTATCGTAGTGCTGGTCGCAAATATCACATGGCGAGCCAGGAAATTGGAGGAGGCGGTGCTGGGACTGGAGCCTCGATCCTGCTGGATTCTACGCCGCTGGAGCTTACGCCGCAGGAGGTTGTCATGAAGTTGGCAGTGGATGTGACGTTTCATGCTGAGTAAGTTCATTTCACAGTCCCTGGAAGGTCATTGTGATACTGACGGCAATCAGCTCGAAGAGCGGAAGTGCCTGAATCGAGGAAGATGTTGTTGAGCGAAAATGAGGCATCGTATCTTTGCTATCAAGTCTACATTAATCCAAATCCTGCCTTTCGCGTGGGTTTTCTTCTCATATTCCAGACACCTGCAGCGCGTGTCCTGCGCCCGAGACCGCTTCTTCTGCATCCAGCCTTCAGAGCATGCAGCATTTCGAACCCGCGCCATCCAGCTAGGACGACACAAAAGCATTTGGACTTGTCCGCGGCACCCACCAGGCATCTTCAAGCTCTTCATCGACTTCACCTGGACTTTCTTCGTCATGAACCAGCCCATTGGTGCGCCACTCTTGCGTGCCTTCGCATCAGTGGTTCAACTCCAATTGATGCCGATTTGTTGTCCAGCCGCACTAGGGCTTACTTCTGCAGTTCTGGAATCATGTTATTGGGGCCTACGCATCGTGCCAAAAACCAGCGAGAGCCACTATTTCCTGTCCTGGACTCAACAGATCTGGGAGGCATAGCTTTATGCCAGCCTACTCGTCCTACTTCGGGAGGAAGTCAGGACACCGGGCACCCATGACAAGCGTAGGTCATCAAAATCGGGACATAGAAGGCGTTAGTATGGCGGATGCTAACAATATGCACTTCGTTCTCCTGCTCGCTCACGTATGCAAAGAAGTTCTTTGGTCTGAGCTAGCGTCTCACTTACTGCCCGGGCCGGTCAGCGAGGCGGACCGTGCTCTTCGTCTTACAGAACACCACCATAAGGTGCAGGTCACGTCAACGTCGCCATTGGCGAGTGGCAAGCCGGACTTCATACTGGAGGGCGCGGCTTGCTCCGACTCCAAGTCGAGAAAGCCGTTCACAATTGCATATAATTGTGCACGTCCTGCTGCCAGATATTATGCTTCGTCAAGACTTCAGGTCTTTAGCATCGCGATCGAAGACATGACTCTATTCTCTTGGTTGATTTCTGCCTTGTGGTCACGCTCTGTCATCGCTCAAGCCTCAGTCCCTCTGTCATGGGCTCCGAAAGATTTCCCAATTACGGGCCAAAAGACCAATGCGGTACGGTCATCTGGGAAAGGGAGATTCTTGACGAAGAGGAACGTCTTCTAACATCTGTCGCAGCCTGCACTGAATCATTATAACGCTACGTCGACTCTCGCGTACCAGTCAGATGATGTGACAGCGGTGAATTGGTATGCACCATCGACTATAATGATCATCGTAGTCCCATTCCAATTGCTGGAGGTCTGACAAACTCACGCAGTCATTCCACCTGGTTCTTCATCACGACCATGGACAACAAGAAACACCATCTCTCCAACATCATCTGCCTCGAGGGCAGAGATCTGTTGCGTGTCTACAGCGTGTATTCTGATTTGTCCAATACTTCTGTCCCGTTTCAAGCCACCGTTCGCGCGGAACCAGTCACTGCTCGCGAGGACCGACTTTCAATTACTAGTCATACGCAGAATATATCTGTTGAGACAGCTGCAGAGCAACACACCTTCATGAATTGGGTCACTGAGTACGATGCAGTACGAGTAGACGCGCAACTCATGCCTGCAGGTTCAAACTTCTATCTTGCGGGCAGCGGAGGTGTTCAACTGCCCCCGTCTCCTACTCAGGTAGACCCGTTCGCAGGATTTCCAGGCTTCTCATGGTATTGGGTGAGCAAATTTCGACTTTTGCAATACTCATCCACACTGCGGATCTAACACTCTTCTTTCAACTAGACAAACCCGAACCTTCGCATCAACGGCACCTTCACAGTCAACGGTGTCACCTCCCCAATCGACAGCACGCAGTCATTCGCCCACTACGGACGTCAGTACGGCTACTTCGCCTTACCCAGCGTCTACTGGGCCGTTTGGCTCCGGTTTCCCACCGGAGAAATGCTCATGTCTTGGAACATTTTCCCAGACAGCAACGGTCACCACTCATCAGCTTGGGCATCGATCTGGCATCCCAATGGATTAGTTGAGTATCTTCCTGTCGGAGGAAAGACTTCCGCTTCCGATGTTTCGACGAGTGCGAGTGGGAGGCAATATTGGAATTCGTTCGTGTTGGATTTGCCGGCGATTAACTCGAGTCTTGAAATTCAACAATGGACGCGAAATGCGGAGTTTGTAGCAGATGGGTCGCCATTGAATTTGACTGAGAGTTATGCAGAAGGCAGTGGAGTTTGGAGGGGCAAGTGGACGACTTTTGTTGCACATGTGGAGCAGGCTGGTGCGAAGACAGAACGATGATTGGGAAATTCGGTCGCTATCTGGTCTACGGAACCACTATGCCGGAGAACCAGGAATGCTGATGATGTATCATCCGCTCCCTGAGAGCATTTACATGGTAATGCTATCAAGCTTCGAAAGGACCTGGATGTGCATTAGCCTACTCACGGATGTTATACCGGGCAGGAATTCGGACATACCTTCTCTATATACCGCATTCCAACAGCTACGCCATCAGCATCATCATCCAATTCGCCTTCTTCTCCCAAGTCCATGTTGTCTTCATCAAGACATGTCAAGCAATCAATTACGACATCTCGGTACGACTCTCTCATCTTTCCGGGCAGCCTACATTTGGGGAGCTCAGTGAGCGGCTTTCGTTCCATTCGGACTCGTCTTTCCGAAATCGCGCTGGGGTAGGTCAATGAACTGTCGTTTCGGCATGGGGACTCAAGACTGATGATGACCAGAGTTCGATCTTGAGGCGACAAGCGCCGCGGCTGTGGCTTGGGTACAGCCTTACAGGATTGCCGTGCCAAGACCTCGAGCACATTTCATGTCAACATCGGAGATTATGGTTGCTTGATTTGACAGTAATGCAATGGGAAGCTTCGATCCATGTTCATCTCGTCTGTAGCAATGCGTGGACACTTTGGCAAGAGTAAGGTAATGATAAAGCGAGAGAACACAGATGAATGAATGCAAGGCACGGGAAAGCCGCTGCGAATGTGCTTCACAACCAATCGATCGCGCCACATGATCCCACCAGGCTTGCATAACATTGACTGGGCTCGGCTGGCTCTCAGGCGTTGTGAGGGGTCGCTCCGTTATCGCCTGGACTCACAAAGAGAGAGCTCCTCGCACGCTGAGCAGAGTGCGACAGCCGTAATGTCAACTACTAGCACTGACTTGCTACACCTCACCCGCATCGATGCAACCTTGTGGAAAGACTCCAGGTACGCTTACACGAAGCACACATACTACGGCTGGCGTAGCGAACCGATCGAAGAGCACGTCTGGCGGCGGGAATACAAGCCCATCGGCGCCGGCGCATTCGGTGCTGTTTTTCGCGAAGTATGCATTGAAGGGCGCAACAAGGCCGCCGTGAGAGCCGTCAAGCATATCGAGAAGCCGACCGCATCCCAACGAGCTACAAGGGTTGATTTTAGCAGGGAGTTGGAAGCCATCGCCCGATTCTCGAAGCCCGAGTACGAGCCTTTCTTTGTCCGTTCGGAAGGATGGTACGACGGCGGAGCCAATATCTGCATCGTGATGGAACTGGTTCAGCATGGAAGTCTCCAGGACTACGTGCGTCAGAGTCAAGGTCTGCCCGAGCCCGAAGCGAGGTTGATAGTGAGCCAGACCCTGCGAGGCATTGCGCATATGCACCGTGCAGGCTACACACATCGAGATCTGAAGCCTCAGGTACGTGATCGTGTGATGACGTATCACGAGTCCAGACTTATCTCCAACACAGAACCTTCTTGTCGTCCAGGGAGGCCCAGCTTGGCATGTTAAAATTGCTGATTTCGGTCTGAGCAAACGCCTTGTGGAGGATTTGTCGTCATTACGCACTGTCGCTGGCACTGCCGGATATATGGCACCCGAAATACTAGGCATTCGCGCACAAGGAGGCGACAGCTCTCACGATAGCAGTGGATCCTCGTATACTAGTGCTGTGGAAATCTGGGCAATAGGGATCATCTACTTCTTGCTACTGACAGGCGGCTTCCCTTTCCCTGCCCAGGATTTTCACCTGCTTTCCAAATATGTCCAGGGACGAGCTCATTTTCCCGTGGAGCGGATGCAACTTGTAAGCCTCCCTGCTCGTGATCTCGTGGAAACTCTTTGAAGACCACATCCGGATGGTCGGCCGAGTGCTGATTCATGCCTTGATCATACCTGGTTCAATTTCCAAGAGAGACTGCCGATGTGTCCGTCTAGCCATGATTCTGCCTCGGACAGCTCCGTAAATCGGGAAATCAGCCCGCAGACTAGGCCCTTTAGCACGCGTGCCTCTGCAAGCTGGAATGGCACTGAAGACACGGATCGCACCATGATAGCTGTGAAACAGCCCATGCAGTGTTTGTCGGGTGAAGATAATGTGAAGGCGTTGGGACAATCCAATACCCCATTCTTGCGGACTAGGGATCAGCAAATCCCTGCAGCATCGATGTTAGTAGCAGGTGCGCCTATTAAAGTCAGTCAAAGAGTCGATGCGAACTCGTTTCGCCGCGTGATGGATGATCCGCGAGCGCCTCTCTCTCTAGACCCCCGGCATATTCGTCTAGAACACCGATCGACAACGAAGACAAGATTATGGTTCGACCAAGTGTCGTCCTCTCCATCAGGCGAGCGTCTCATCATCTCGAGCGCTCACGGTCTTAACCTCTGCGATCCGGCTACTAGGAAGAGCATACGTGCATTGAGCAAGAGTCCTGCACGCCCGTTTTCGTTTTCTCCTGACGGCACGCTGCTAGCATTCGATGGAAATGACGAGGCATTTCCGCGGTCGGCAGTCGTGATTTGCGACGGGATTACTGGGAAGGTGTTACGCACGATAGATCTCGTACCCTTCACGTCAGGCTCGCTCCGTGAAGTAGCATTCATATCCAATGGTCAGGTGGTCTGTATCTGTGAAGCGCACCGTGCAACCGGACCACTCACATCAAAATTTGAAGCAATTATCTTGGATCCAGGGAGGGGGACGACAACAAGAAAGATTCGCTTACTGGGCTCATATCCTGATTTTTTGTTTTCTTATCCACACGGCGCACTGCTTGCTGCTATCCTGAAAAATCAGGACCCCCTCCTCAAGTCTGTCGACATCTGGGACATGACAACATCGAAAATCGCCTGTCGTATTGATGGTTTGACGCCCCTTGCCTTTTCTCCGGACAACAGAATGATTGGTGGATTCTGCAATGAATCACACGATCATTTTCTAAGAATTGTGGACGCAGTGAAGGGCACGGATGTTTGGCGAGTCTCAGTGAATGCAAAAATCCAGGATCTGGCGTTCGCACCAAACGACGCGCAACTTTTGTGGGTACTTTATGGTGGTGCCGATTGCTCACTTGGATGCTTCAGCGTGGAGCTTGGCGCAGAAGTTTCTACAGGAGCCTTGAAGCTGGATACTACGTCACCCTACGCTCATAGATCAGGGCGCCGTCGCAGATTGCTAGATCTGTCGCCAGACGGCAGAGCTCTGTCAGTAACCTGTGGAAGTGAAATAGTATGGTATAGTGTGTTTTAGTGCTTAGCATCCTGGAGTAAACTGTATCGAATCTTCGCAACATCTTTATCGCGACAATAATATGTCCTACTGGCGATCAATTCGACAATCTTCGATTATTCCACCATCTGAAACGCCATTTGAGCACGTCTTCATCGTCGCGATGGGCACCGTGTCAACGACTGATTTGGTATCAATGATGTAAACAAGGGCCTCCGCAGCTAAAGGTTGCCATTCGCTTGTTCGTTGTTGTCAATGGAAGATCGCGCTCTTGCGAATGTTACAGCTCCTGCAATTTGATGTGTAACGATGCTGCATTGCGATCCCTTCTTGTGACCTGGTCAACGATCTTCAGTCAAGCATGAACTGGGCTTGGTAGAAGTAGTGTCTTTTTCCAGAATGTTGCAGCAAGCGTTGTTGAGTTGCGCAAGCGTTGAACTTCACTTCACTTTTCACGCGGGCCGCCAAGACTTCCTTGCAGCTGGCCCCTGCCACCGCACAAATCCAAACTCTTTTCTTCTCATTCATCCTTCTCTTCACTCTCTTCAAGATCAACATCCGACAGAAAGCTACCAGGAGGTTCGGGATTCCCGTGCGCCTTTACTGACCTCTGTGAACAGACCTTTTGCGCAGCGGCCAACTGCCGCTTCTTCCACCAAACTCACTGGAACCTCGAGATGTTCCTCGATAACGTGCAACTTGCAACTCAGTTCTTTAAGAGCTTGCCTGGCCCAGCACATGGCCGAGTCACCAACCGCCGCATATCCTTTGCCGCGACTGATCGACTGACAAGAGTCCTACGGGCGCTCTTTTTGTACGTCAAGCCCCTAGACCCATTGCGAATCATGACTGACCTGTCCTCAGTTCTTCAACGACTGCCATACCTCGTTCCGCAAATGTACCTCATCTGCTTTTGCAGTACACATGACGTCCAACAAAAAGACAACAGTCCGATCGCCAACTGGCAAGCCCCATCAAGCACCCGTGTCGAGTTTTTTTCAAGACGACTTCACCAGATCGGCACCCTTTCCAACCACCTGGGTCTGCGGTGATCAAACCAGCAACCCTCTTACAACCCCATACATACTGCAAACCCTGTGCCATGCCGAAGAGCCGACCGTCCTACGAGCGTAGCAACACGTGCGGCGGTCTTGCTGGCATCTGGTCAGACAAAATCACTCATACCGACCCTTGCGACCAAACAGTGCGCGGTCCATTCACAACAACTACCATCGCCCGCTCTGCGATCCCACGAACTTCAACGTCAGCGGCATATGAAGTGCAGCACTGCAACTGGTCGCTCCGCAAAGACCATGACGCACCTCGTTTGCGCATTGAGCTCTTGTCAGCCAGACCAGCTGAATCTCGACAGCATGCCACTCGACACCAGTAAAGGTATACAGCTGCCGCAGACCATGCAAACGCAATGTTCCTGGCCACAATTCACACCACAAGAGACAAGTCCAGGCGTAGGACTTTCGTTTGTGCATCGAAAGTCCGCCAATTCTTTGTGCTATGGCAGCCCTGCTAGCCTAGCTATTCTCTTACCACTACTTACATGCACTGGAAGAGACGTCCCTCGTCAGTGCATTGCCGTCTCACCACGTCGGCTTTGACTCACATCATCTGGTGCATCACACCACGTTTTCTCGCATCATCAACATCCCAATGCGGTTCATGTCAATACTTCTAAAACCAGTAGTCTCTTCGGACGCGACTGCGAGCCTCACTAGAGGCATCGTATGTCTCCACAGGCCAGTTCGAAAAGGTCAATCCAACCGCAGGAGCATGCCATCCCGCATTCTGTCCGACAAGGCCGTATAGCCTTCGCCATAATCACAACTATGGTCACTCGAGTACAATCCGCCTGCTCCTTGCAAGCTTCTAAGACGGCAAAGCTTCCATCAAATTGGCATCTCGTCGTCCCACTACGAAAGCCTCGAGCCGGACCACGACAACTGCTGTCTTTCCAACAGCTCACCGCTCTAGCTGCGCCTTGTCCATTGCAATGGGTACAAGCAGCTTCGGCAACACCAAGCTATCCAGCCGTCCCATGGAGTCGTGCATACACACCACATCTGATCTCGCATCACAACTTCCCAACAACCAAGCCAATAGTTAACCGTCGTGGTGCACTTCTCGGACCTGGCACCACAGTTCGAGCTTGCACGCTTCACGATGCCTTCATTAACAAGTAAGTCCTTCCTCCGCCCCCATCATCCCTCTCTCGATGTCCTGGCAGCTTCCAATGGCCTCTCTTTGCTCGTATATTTTGCAAGAAAATCTCCGAGAAATGAATCAAGGTACGCGCTCCCTCCCTCGACTAACGTGGAAAATGATGAAGTGCAAACTTGGTTGGTGGGAGACAGGATTCTCCCTATGGTCTACCCTGATGCCTGCACAATATCTCGGTACCAGGTCTTTGCCTTTGCAAGGGTCATGGTCACCATGCTACATTTGGGAGAATGGCAGGACATTCTGCGACAAGGCCCTCCTGTGTTTATGACGAAGTCTCGTGATTTCCTGCTGGGCCTTGCCACAATCAAGGTGCCCCGCTCTGCCTGATATTAGTGGCATATACTCGGGATAGCTGAGCAGAGCTGGTGAAATCCAGTAGAGGCATAGGAGTGTATCTGTTACAAGGAGGCGACTGGGCGGCCTGGGGAGACACCACAATATCACAATACCACAGGTACTTCCAACGAGAAACAGCTGCTCATACTGCTCGTCATTTATCTTGACGAGAGTTCAAACCGATCGCGCGGACTTTCAATCGACATCATATCGATCTACGAGGACCTTTGAACCAGTGTCTACCTCCCCAACCCCAAGGAAGTATCCACCCGACAAGCGATGCTACAGTAACGATTGCTAGGCACAAGGGCGAATAGTTCCATGTCTGCAAGGTCACAGGGTACACCTGCGGGAGAAGAAGGATGCAGCACAAGAATAAAAGCCAGAGCATTGACAAGTAGCCTGTTGGTACCGAGAAGCGACCAAGATTCCACGATGCCGGGGCGAATGTCGATCGTCCGAGGCTGTATCGCGTTCCGAGCACGAAAAGATAACTCATGCTCTGGCAGATCACCGTTGTTGCAGTGATGGCGCTAAATGCGACTGTTGATCCCAAGATAGCAAAGCTGACCACTGTGGCGATAGTTACAACCAGCAGAGCGGCGTTTATGGGAATCAATGTACGAGGATTGACCTTTCTGAAGATGGCGGACCCTGGCAGAATACCGTCCCTTGATAGCGCAAACGTTACGCGTTGCGCGGATAACATTGATGCTGTCGTTGCGCATGTACAATCTATCCAGTTCAGGATGAGGATCGCGGTAGCTCCTCGCCGGCCAATAACCTGCACCAAGAACTCTGCCCAATTGTTTGCGTAGGGAGAAGAGATCAGAGCGTCGAAGTCTTGAATGCAGAACAGGATCAAGACAAGCGTAGGTATCGAAAGAATCGTGGTGCTGACGGTGGACAGAACCATTCCCCTGGCAACGGTCTTACTGGCATCTTTGGTTTCTTCAGCCAGATGTGCAGATGCATCATAGCCTCCAAACTCCCAGGCGCCGAAGAGGAAACTGATAACCCAGCAGTACGCATCCGAAGCCTGATGTGAGTCGCCTTGATTAACTCCGTTCCGGAACTTTCCAAACACAAAATCTGCAGATTGGAATCTGCCGCGCGCTTCGATCGGAAACCAGGTCCAGAAGAGGAACAAAAGCACGAAGAAGATGAATATCGTGATGCGGAAGTAAATCTGTAACCAGCGCTGGCTGACAGTGACCGGCACAACAGCAAAGCAGAGGCCTGCCAGAACCAGCACAAAGGATAGCCAGCGTTCATGGAGGACAGTAGCATCCGGATAGTTGATCTGCAATGCCGACAGCAAGAAATTCGTAGCACCTTGCTGCGTTCCAGGCACAGCTAAGACCCAAGCGGACCAGTTCCACCACTGCGAGTATCAGAATCAAAGCCGAGAGCAAGAATTCCCACAAGCCGTTAGGGGACACTCACGGCAGTATTCCAACTCAGAAAAGGACCCCATTTCGGACCCGCCATCCAGTACGTCCAGAAGTAAATTCCTCCCGATGTTGGCAAAGAAGCGGCAATCTCTGCGAGGTTCGCAGCCAAGATGCAGGAAATGCAGCTAACGACTGTCCAAGATGTGAAAGCTGCTTGAGGGCCACTGGTTACCATAACCCAGCCAAAAAGGATTGGAAGGCCGGAGACGAAGTTCATGCACTCCAATCAATGTCAGGACGTGGCTTTTCATCGTAGTGAGGCTCATACCGCGAATGTCGCTGCCCAGTTTTCGAATAGCCCGAGACCACGCTTCAGCTCTGCCACTGCGTCAGATACGCGTTCACATTTCACAATAAAGACCAGTTTCATCGCTACCTTGTTTATACCCTAGGCTTGCCAATACCTCTTCGTCAGCATTTCGGATCGGATGCTCCTCTGTCTCCATTTCCTGCTGAACGGACAGACAGGCATCCTTGGTGGAGTCGCTCATCGTGGAAAAGCTGCCGCCGCTAGATCTGGCTTCGAGATCACCTAACAGAGGGCGGTCCATATAGAACGACAGCAGAGACGGTGTTGAGTGAAATGACAGAATCGACCGCGCGGCGGTGAGTTATGAGGTATCTGCTATCTTGCTCACGTGCACCTTATCAGCAATGGGTGGTAGAGGTGGGATGGTACCACACAACCTACAGGCACGAATCTTGGCGTTCCATGCTCGCGGGATGCTCCGACCGATGGAAGAAGACGGTTGAATGAGCAGATCTTGGATGGTTGTATCTGTTCTATCGAGACAATTGAAGATCTGACTGCGCCGCACCGTCTGTCTTATTGAGGGACTACGTACTAGAGAAGGCAGCCAGTCCCCGTCTGATTTCGTTGAAACAGTCGAAGACACTGCCCAGCAAGAAGATCAAAAGTAGTGTCTCGGGAATATTTGGAGCTCGAGGGGCCTAGAGCTGGACGACTGTGTCCCTCTTCTCAGCTATCATGGTCCATCAACGCCTTACTCGGACAGCCCCAATGAATCACGCAGTACGAATACTGTCGTAACGTACATTCTCGTATCGTATAGCAAATGCATCATTTTCAGTTGCAGCACTGAATCTCAAGAGGCATCGACTTTTGCCACACTTGCTCATGCTTTCATTACACGAGGCCCGATGCAAGGATCAACGACGACTTGCAGATGCTGAAGCATATGCACAAGCTCGTACTTATGCAACTAAGCCGCCACCAGCCGCGCGAGCGCGACCTTGCCAAGCCTTTGATATTAAATGCTGGTTGCCGTCGATGGCTCCCCGCTCATTCAGTGGGGTTCGGTTGCACTTGGACCACGTGTTCGCCGTCCTTCGCTTTCAACGATGATCCTCACGGGAACGGGACGGATGCCCGCTGCGGCCCCTTGTGAGTTTGCATAAATGACATGCATGCTGCAAAGATGTTGCCATAGCTCCTTCGCACGTGAACGGGAACGAGCTCGGCCTGCATCAACGACAACGCCTGGCATGATACGAGAAGAGAAGTATCACATGAAAATTTGCGATGGCAGCAAGATGTGCCTTAGAGCAATGGCGGGCAGTGCTGCTATATCACAGTACAGTGATTATCGTAAAGACGTAGCAATCGTTGGAAGGGAATTTGCCTCTGTTGTACCTAGCTAGCACACTTTCCAGCCATGTCACCAATCACTCCAGCCACTCCAACTTCTGTCGACCTCTTGACATATCTTCGTGAACGATCTTCTATCGACTATGACTGCCTCGATCCGACAGGTATAAGCGGCTTCTCTCAGATACATGACCGTTTCTGACTATGAGCAGCTGCAGAGAAATTGGGACCATTCGAGGATTGTACATCGAATCAGGCAAGATACGGTTGGTGATCTTGCTTCGGCATTGTGAACTAATCGCTTGAAGTGGGAAGCCTTTGCTCAGCTGAGCAATCCGAAACACGCTGCGCTGCTCAAGGAAGCTATTGCTCACGCCAGCCGAGCCGAGGCCGATTTCAGAGATGTCTCTCCCGAAGAGCTGGCGGTGGAGTACGGGGTATGGTTCATTGTCTAGGAGGACCTAGTTTCCTGTCAGGCTGACCATCCGCAGATGATATTGCTGTCCCTTCGGATGATTCCTCTAATTCGCGGCTCAATACATGTCATGTGCAATCCACTCTATTCTTGGAATACAGAGAAGGTGTACAAAACGGGCCATCGTGAGTATGATCACACATCTGTACACTCTCGTACGCTAAGCATTTTGTGCAGGTTTTCACAAGATAGCACACGATTTGGATCCGTCCTTCGATCTGTCAAGACTAATAATGAAGGTCCCGGCGACTTGGGAAGGGCTTCAGGCCTGCAGAAAGCTGAAAGACGACAATATCAAGACTCTCGCAACCACTTTGTTCACGATGGAGCAAGTTGTGCTAGCCGGTGAAGCAGGGTGCATATCCATCTCACCATTTGCTCATGAACTGCGAGCTCATCTGGACACTTCGTAAGTCTGCGCTAGCAGATCCCGAGATGGCATGCTGAACGCCGCAGGTACCATGATACACAGCCCATCATGGATCTGTTCCTACAAGCCCAGATGTACTACCAGCAACACGGAGTCCCCACTAAGGTCAAATCCTGCGCATTTATGACGATCGACGAAATCATCACCATGGCTGGGGTCGATGCAATGACCCTCCCAGCAGAAGTCCTGGAAGAGCTTTCAAATACAAAAGATACAGTTGACCGGCTTGAAGAGAAATCCGTCTTCCATGCAGCGGCCCAGAGTCTCCAGGCACATTCTGCTCGTTTGACGAAGCAAAGCTACATCGACGACGAGGCTGGCTTTCTGCGAGCTTACTGCACACAAGGTAGGGGAAGGGCGAAAACCGAGGATGTAAGTTGCACCTTGGAAAGACTTGCCTCACGTGAATCTAATCTTGGAGTAGTCTATTGCTGTCTTCTGCAAGTTTCAGGTGGATGCTGAGAGTCTCATGGCGCAGCATAAACTACGTGCGAAACTTTGATACCGCAACTGGCGTCGATACCTGTGCGCTTCGCGGAGTGTGGAGAGCATCACAGGTGTCACACTCAGTCGTCTTATCAGTGTGTCGTCGCAGCTATTGCGTTTGGGAATAGTATTGTGCGGCCACGCAGTTCAAGCCTCAATAACAATCATGATGCCAGCTGATTGAATGGCAAAGTGAACTATACTAAATAACGGAGACTGCAGTAGGCCGTCGATGTTGTGGCCTGTTTCTTCCAGCCTGATGTCCGAATAGAATATGTCACTCAGTCAATTGAGCATTCTCTGTATACACAATTCAAGCACGAAATGCAGAGAAACTCCACTTGATGACACAACAAAGCTCGTCGGGAATCAAATCTAGAAATGCAAATGATGAGAAGCCTTGCAAAGATCGGAGCTAATATGCCGCTGAGCTTTCATGATCATGACATCTTGCCCGTACCTGCAGCTCCACTAGGCACAGCTTCGTAGCGAGAAGTGTTTCTTGATCTAGTGCGATTTACCTCCAAATGCAAAACCTCAACCTTTTCAAACTTTCACGATCTCGACTCACAACAAACCTGAGCAGTCTCATCTTGCAGCAATGGGTCATACTCGCCAAGTGATCGCATTATGCTCAGTGGGCAACCTTGGGAAGTACGTATGTGATGAGCTGATAGCTGATGGTCGTTACGACTTCGTCGTCATCACAAGACAGGCAAGTTGACTTGAGAAATACTTCTGAAGGTTGTCGCAATACTGAAACTCCAGAAACTTCAGCTTAAACCCGACGATTTCTTTGAGTCCCGCAAGATTGATAGACGCGCCTGTGATTACAGCACGGAGGCAGTCAGAAGGACTCTGAACGAAACGAATGCTAGTGTCTTTATATCGTTCAACAACGCCGATGGACAACAGTTCGTAGACCTTCATTGCGCTTGGCTCGAAGCATGTCGTCAATCCAAGAACTGCAAGCGGTTTATACCCTCGGAGTTCGCTGGAAACATTGAGGACTTCCCAATGCTTCCAAGACACTATGCTACCTCACGAGCGCCGTTTCGGACCATACTTGAATCGGAGAGAAAAATTGAGTGGACAATCGTGAACAATGCATGGTTCATGGACTATTTGTTGAGGGATGAAAAGACTTTCCTGCCGACAAACTCGCATGAGTTCCCGATCAATCCTAATGACTGGACGGCTCTGATCAGAGGCTCCGGGGATGAAATCCAATCTTTCACGAGTGCTCGCGACGTAGCGAAAGCACTCGTCGCGCTGCTCAGCGCTCCGACTTGGGTCAGTCCGGCCTTGAGAATAACACCCATCCCGTCACAGACTAATGCATGATAGCCTTCGAAAACATTCATCGCTGGACAGTGGGCGTCGTTCAACGAGCTCTGTCATATTATGGAAGACTTCTACGGTCAGTGACACTAATTGTATCTGTTGTAGCTTCCACTAATATCATGTCTCAGGCCGAAAATTGACCAAATTCTATCGTTCCGAAAGCGACATCGAGCGAGACAACGCACTCCCCGCAACTCCAGAGAACATGGAGAAGCTGTACATGGCAAGCGTGGAGGAGATGATGATTACGAAGGCCGGTGCGATGCCACGTGATATCGTGGCGCGACAACGCAAAGAGCTCTTTGGGAATGTTCATTTCGATAGTGTTACAGAGTTTCTGGTCGCCGTGGGCGAGGAGCGGGCTCGTCCAGCTAGCTTGCTGTGAATCGGATCGTCCAGAGTGCTGTGAAACATGGTGGCTCTTCGACAAGTCGGAGAGACTGCTGAATCTCGAAGCTATGTGTCGTTAGGTTGCTGAGCACTTTTTGAGAGATGAAGTCGTGTTGAGCAAGTGCAGTCCATTCATCTTTCTCACTAGTGTACGGTTGAGGCTACAGGACTCTCAAGCTAGGGATGTTCATCTGACTACAGCTTCGCTGTGATCCCCGGCTTGATCGATTCTAGTCGCGCACATAACTCAGCCCAAAATTTTCTCTGAAGTATGGTCCCCTCTCTACTCCTTACCATCTCGCCTGGCTCCGTGATCATACTTTCACTCATGTACTTCCCATGAGACTCTGGCCCTGCTGCCGCTGCAGCCACTATGGTTCGACTTCCAACTTCCGTTGATCTTGCCAAAAGAACGGCCATGATGTATAAGTACCATCCTGCTTCTCTGGCAAGCTCAGAGTGACAAAACCCAGGATTCAAACAATTGATGACCACCGGATAGGAGTCTCCTACGCGGGCTGCCATCTCTCGAGTAGTAAATACCTGCAGCAATTTGCTCACAAAGTAACGCTCACCCATATTGGCCTTTACTGGATCCGAGAGCGCAGTGAGTATGTCTTCCTCTTCTGGGGCCCTAAAGTCGGTAAATTCATGCTAGGGTAGCACAATCAGTGAGAAAACCATATACCTCCATGGGCAAATGAACTTACAACTTCGCTCGAGGTGAATGTGAGAGTGGTCAATACATTGTATCGCTCCGCAGTCGTCTTCAACTTCGGCAGGAGGAGAAAAGCAAGCAAGAAAGTGCTCACAACATTAGTCGTAATGGTACTCTCGTCTTGTTCTGCGATACGAAAAGTTCCGGTTGCGATGCCAGCGTTGGCGCAGAGGACGTCCAGACGATCAAGCTCCTCATCGATGCGTGCTGCAAACTCTTGTACGCTGTCGTAGCTGGTGAGATCTAGCCTCATGACAGTGACACATGATGGAGAAACATCGCGATCGATGGACTTCTTCGCTGCTTCGCCCTTTGCTAGATCACGGACTGCTAGGACGACTCGTGATGCACCCAGACGAGCAAAGTGACGGGCTGCCTCGAGTCCCAGGCCGACATTAGATCCCGTGACGATGATGTTCTGTCCGTCAAACCGGGCCTTGGGCAGCGAGGGCGTGATGAAGAGCTGGCGATACAGAAAGCCGCCAAGAAATGGTAGCGGTACTGGCATGATGCGACCTGCCGGGTTGTAACGATCGAATGTGCTAGGTGATTCACTTTGGTGGCCTTCCTCCCATGTGCTGATTCCAGGTCCACACGAACGCCCCTCTCCAAGGCAGCTGATCACACGACCGTTGGATGACGCGCGGCATTAACCACTCTGCAACACATTGTGGATCTCCAAGCTGGCCTAGGATGTTGCAGAAATCTATGCAATAGAGTTCTCTTCCCGCGTAGTTGCGTGAATTATCGGATTGGAGCTCCTCACAGCTCACCAACATGACACTAAATTAGTTGTATGCACGGATCTCAACGATGCAAGGCGTCCCGCTAAGATGGAATGGAAGCAGTATTTGAGGTAATAGTGCAGGATCAAAGTCGAAGGGACAAGGCAACCCGGACACGATCTGTAAATCACGATCACGACTTCTACAATATGGCCGCCTCCAACTCTCTAGAAGCAAAGTACGTGGCCTACATCAATGCCATCAACGCGCGGCCTTTTCCAGGTTTGAAAGAACACATGCATTCAACAGTAACATTGAACGACAAGTCCATGCCTCTGGCCGAATTTGAGAAGTTGCTCAGCACAGACATCGACGCAGCTCCGGATATGCGCTTTCAGCTAGCTATGCTACTTGTCGACGAGAGCAAGCAGCAAGTCGGGTGCAGGATTGAATTTCGGTGCACTCCCCTGCAGAAGGAATTCATGGGACATCGGGTGCACGGCAAGATCAAATGCATGGAACACATGTTTTACCAATATCGAGATGGCAAGATTGCGGAGGTGTGGTGGATGCCAGGCGAATTCGTCGGCATTAGTCCCAATGCAAGTGCGACAAAGCTCTGATGGGGTCGATCCTTCACTTGGGCAAGGTGTGTGGGGAGGACAGGGATGGATGCACGGATGGACATTTGCCTATTTGGGCAGGTATATGAGCTAGGGTATGCAGTATGCAAGTCGACTTCTGCATAGTTTGCGACCACATTGAAGGATCACCACGATTCGGTATCTCGATCATGATCTGCATTCTACGAAGCTGTCTCAACGTTTCGAAGCGTGCATCGGGTTCGTCACTCCGCATACTGTCTTGTGGTCAAGTCGTTAGAGCTGAAGCGACCATGCTCGTCAAGTCGCGTTGCCAGCGAAGACGATTGGAGCTCTGTCTGAGGGGAAGCAAATGCACCGCACGAGCAAGATTCGCGGTCTTGCCTGTATCCTCAGATTGTGCGTCGAGAGTGCTCCCGACATCGACCGCTCAGCTCGTCAACATACTGTAACACACGATCATGAACAATACAGAGGCATCAGACAGCTTTGCTTCGGTCTGTGGACCACCAAGGCCGATTGTTCCTCTCTTGGATGGCATCTCAGACTACCATCTCTCGTTGGTAGTGCCGATCATAGTCCATTGGCTCACTGCCGGTATCTACGAGGCATTCCGGCAATTTGGAATCTTCAAAAGATATGAGATCCATACTTTTGATGAAGAACAAGTGTGGAACAAAGTCAACCGTGCGGAATGTCTTCGAGGCGTGATTGGCATCCAGGCATGTAACGCTTGACATGTTCGTGAGCGCGATATTAATGAAGTCGCAGGCCATGCAGACGCTTGTCGGCCTTCTACTCGGGGCAATCACTTCGGAAGAAAATCTGGATCATAGCTGCGTAGAACTTTCACTTTGGGAACGGAGAATCCAAAGCGTTCTGCTGCTTTCGATGTCAGCCATCGCAACAAAGAGCCTGAGTCCCACCTATGCCGTAGTCGCCTGGCCAAGTGCAGATCTCACACTGTCACTTGAATATTATACCTACATAGGGCAGGCCGCTCGAATATTCTATCACTGGATCATGCCGCTATTGCGATTTTACATTGCGCTGTGGCTCGCCGACACCTGGGTGTTCTTCGTTCATCGAGCAGAACACAGCAATCGCTGGCTGTACAGTGAGTACTGCTCCCACTATGAGCAGAGCACGGTTGATCACTGTACGCAGAAACGTTTCACGCCCGTCACCACGAACTGTTCATACCGTACAGCTGGGGTGGTATCTACGATCATCCCATCGAAAGTCTCTTCCTCAGCGTCGGGGCTTTCGCGATCGCCATTGGAGGCACTGGAATGTCGCTCAGAGAGAGCATGATATTCTCCGCCTTTTCTTCTGCAAAGGCTTGTACCGATCATAGCGGTTATGCCATCCCTTGGAACCCCATCGACTTCTTCACAACCATAGGGGCTCAGTATCATGACAAGCATCACCAGCGGTGGGGCATCAAGGTAAGCATTCGTGTCGCGAATTTCGCCTACCGAGTGTTGACGATGGCCAGAATAACTTTGCACTGCATTTCCAATTCTGGGATCGGCTTATGGGAACTGACATGCGAGACGATGAGGCCGTTGAGATATTGTACATTCGCAACAAAGAGTCAGCAAAGGCTGCCATGTTAAAGCGACAGACTTAGACTCGACTGTTGAATTGCTCTACCATCTTACATTTGTATATGCACTCAATCGACTTGATTCTGATTGATCATGCTGCTTTCCAAGATCAATTCTGTTTCGATTGGTTGTGCAAGCGAGCAGCCTTCTCCGAAGCAGAGAGTATCAAGCTCATCATCATGTGATGTATTCGCCAGCACGAGCTGGGCCGTTTCCCTGCTAGAGTACTTATATGCATCGAGCTTCGACTCCCAACGCCTTCCGACTTCCTTACGTATTTTCCGAAGACCCTGAATTTCATTCAGGACGGCTTCTGCGCCACGACAATGCCAGCCATACCGATGCAATCCCTCATTCTGGTAACTGGTGCCAATGGTTACGTTGGCACTCATGTCACAGAGCAGCTTCTTGAGCATGGCTATCGTGTACGTGGCACAGTTCGCGATGCGTACAAAGGAAGATATCTGCACGAAGTCTTCGACGGGAAGTGGGGATCCGAGGCATTGGACATTCATGTCGTTACCGACATGGCCACCGAAGGAGCCTTTGACCATTTGTTGAGTGGTATCGTTATCCCGAAGCTGGGTCTTCGACATGTTAGTGCTAAAGCAATGTAGGTTGCGCGGGAGTGATACATGTTGCATCAGACCTGAGCCTTGATCCGAATCCATACAAAGTCATTCCTATGGTGGTCAATGGTGTGAAGAATCTGCTGAGCGCTGCGGCCCGTAATCCCAGCGTCAAGCGGTTTGTCTTCACATCGTCTTCAGCAGCGACAACTGCTCCTATCGTCGACAAGGAATTTCGCGTGGACAGTAGCACTTGGAATTGGGCAGACGTTGAGCTCGCCTGGCAGCCTCCACCTTACACCGAAGATCGAAGACTTGCTGTGTATGCTGCGAGCAAGACTCTAGCAGAATTAGAGTGCTGGAGATTCGTGAAAGAGGAGAAGCCTCCCTTTGTCCTGAACACCGTCTTACCGAACTGCGTCATTGGCAGGATACTCTCGAGTAAATTATCTGCATCGACAGGAGGGTGGTACAAAGGTCTTTGGGATGGCAAGGCGGATGATCTACATCTCCTACGACACGTATTCCCTCCACAGCATTATGTGAACGCCACGGACACAGCACTCTTGCATATTGCTGCTCTTCTAGAAGAAGACGTTGTGGGTGAGAGACTCTTGGCTTTCGCAGGTCCGTTCAACTTCAACGACACTGTCGAAGTACTGGAACGACTTGATGCCGCTGGATGTGGCGGGGGGACAAAGCATTGGGAGAGGATCGAGAATGCATCGAAAGATCTGAAAACTGTAGACACAGCGAGGTCTCAAGAGATTCTTGAGCGGTATGGAAGATCAGGTTTCAGTGACCTGGAGACATGTCTTAGGGAAGCAGTGACCTCTTGAGAAGGTCATGCAATTGCCTGTGGGCAAAGAATTGCTTGAGATATCTGATTCGGCTGCTATGAGCGGCAACGTCAATCGACGCAGGCTCATTCAACATAAGCCACCAACTAGATCGCTGCAGGGACTATCAATGTCTCGCCGCCATCAGGGAATAAGATCTGGTGATTGTAGAAGGATCCTGCAACACTGGCCAGAAGTAGTATCGTGCCGGCGATATCTGACTCTTTTCCTGCCCGACCTGCGAAAGTTGTTGTTGTTAGAAGTTGTAGCCAGGAAGTAATGGCGGAACTCACCAGATGCATTAACAACGGGACGGTTCATGACAGATTTCTGATCTGCTCCCGAGCATCCTGTAGTCATCTGAAGCCGTCAGGGACAAGATCAATGAGCAGAACCTCATGCCTTCTGCCATGTTGGTGCATACCTCAGAAGGAAATGTGCCTGGCGCTATCTGGTTCACTCGAACACTCGTCTCTGTGAGCAGAGAGGCCAGCATTCTACTGAGATGCACCGTTCCTGCCTTGCTGGCTGCGTAAGAAATGTAGCCTCGACACGTGTCTTTCAGAAAAGCTGAGTTGCTCGACATGTTGATTATGCTCGATGTGTGCCCGTTGAAAATTCCAGAACCCTTTTCCAGAAGAGGCAGAAACGCCATTGACATCAGAAACCCGCCCATAACGTTGGTTTCGAAGGACTTACTCCAATCGCTCGGAGTTGATCGTAGAAAGTGTTCTGATATGGCATGAGCGTCTTTCAAGCACGGTTGGCCATTCTCCGCAAATCGTGTTTGGTGGTCCAATGCGATGCCAGCATTATTGATGAGGAGCTGAATGCCATTCCCCTCGATAGAGCCAATGTGCTGCGCAAGCTCCATAACCTCTTCCTTTACGCTGATGTCGGCGACCAATCTAGGTCAAAGGTCAGCGGATCGTGGCAAAAGCCCAACGATATACTTGCGGGATCATAACTCCTGGGCCGGTGTTGTAGATCGCAGTGACAACTTCCAAAGCATCTTTCCTTCGATCTACAACGTATACCTTTGCTCCGTTTGCCACCAGTGCTTGTGCAATCATGAGCCCAATTCCAGATCCAGCACCTGTTAGCACCGCCGTCACGTATGATATGTCGAACACATTGCGGGATTCGATTTCTTCTGGTGCTTTACTGCGCATGGCTGATTTGTCTCCGGATGATTTTTTGTTGCAGTCGAGAATCTGTGGCCGAAGTCACATGCAATAGCACAACGAATTACAACCACTGGGCCATTCGATGGGTTTCTCTACCATTGGTACGTTGCAAGCCCGCCGGCTTCGAGATGGCATGACGCAGATGGGCTCCGGTGATCGATCCATTTCAAGCTGTGCGATGTACAAAGAGTTGTTCTCGTCTGCGACTGCATTGCATCTCAACATACGCTAAGCTATTCACTCAAGGATGCATGCGCCTGCAGAAAGCCACCAAATGCTTATGCATGTACAGGCCCCGTGAATTTAGCACACGGCTGAGAGGAGGTCTCCACATGGTCTGCAGCTTGTGGGAATAGCTCCACCCGCGTTATATGCATCACAAGACGCGAGGTGCATACACTACCATAGCGATCATGCATCTCATCCATCACTGCACTCGGTACGATCATCCAGCGCCATGCTCAGTCCAGCTTCGCTGCATCGATGGACCTGCCCCTGTCCGCCTCTCGTTGAGCAGTACTCCTCAGCAGCATCTTCTCCGCGTTCAAACGGCTTCTAGCCCGATGGCGTGCAATCTCCGCAACATCGTCAAAGTGCGTTCCCATCAGCCAGTCCCAGACAGCCAAATGAGCGCCGAAATTTGTCTATCACCCTTGTCAGTCGTAATCGTTCTTGCAGACAGAAAGCAGGACGCATGCTCACCTTGAGACCCCAACTTTGATGATGGACATCATGAAAACTGGCATCGGTGCCAGTGATTGCTCGTATCGGGTCCCATGGAAATACATAGCCGCAGTGGTCTGATACATTCTTCAGCGTAGAGTACCCAAACAGCAATAGCGTTGAACGGGTGGGCAATGCCGTCACCCAGCAACCGATGCTATAGGCAAGTCCATCTACGACGATGCTATCGAATATGTGATTGTACGATCCGCCCCAGGCATATGGAACATATAGCCGGTGGTGTTGATAGTGGAAGTGTTCTTCTATCGTGTTAGCTTGATTGTATTCGATTACTGTGAATCACTCACTGTACATCCACCTATTTGTGTGCTCCATGCGATGTATGGTGTACATCCACGCGTCTGCTACCAGCAGTGCAACAATGATCTTGACTAGTGGCACCAGATACCAGTACAAGGCCTTGCCCGCTGACAGATCGAGTGCGCTTGGCGTATCGCGGGCGATATCAATCGCAGATCGGGGCCATGATAGAGCAGAATCACTTACTCCGAGGAGGGGTCTAATGGATGCCATGACCTGCTTCAAGGCCATCAAGACAACGCGTGCGCGTCTGGTCCACATCGCGATTCCCGCTTCGACGTCTTCCATCAGTTCGGGGTCGGTATTCCAGGTAAGAGCAATTCCAAGACAAGTCTGCATGGCCTGCTGTCTCGTGAATGACTATCACTGTGTTGAAACTCAAGGACTCAGACTTACCTGGCATTTTATTGTTGAGACAAAGCAGTCCCACCGAGTGACTTTGTTCTTCGTGAGCTCCTCCGCCGATGTATGTATCCGATATTTGCTCAGCCAGTCAAATCGATCGAAGACTTCAAAGACCGCAGACGCTGCCCAGTGGATGACGATTGGAAGTAGAATAATCAAGTACTGGTCCGGGATGCCATTCAGCAAAGTCGGTGCCGGAGATTCGACGGGATATACGGGATGGGTCTCGTTTGCGATCATCGTAGGCGGCAGATAACGAGCTCTCACTCCGCGAGGACGAGGGAGTTGCGATCAAGAGTAAGTGTATAACAAGAAGACGAATGAATAGTTTGGGAGGTCCTGGCCACTGTTGCCTTAAGACTCACCAATGTCATGCGGAGCGGGAAGACGCGCCAATTGGAACAAATGAGCCGCACCTGAGCTATCACCGGTCACCATCATCCCGTGACGAGTAGAGCTCAAGCTGTAGCTTCGATTGGAAGGAGATGACCGCCACTGCTTTGCCTGCTTGATCGCTTGCATGGCTGGAGTATGAGACGTGCCAGACGCGAAGATAAGCCCGAGCAGTACATAAGAGGACAGCTTCCTGATATCTTGCTATAGAGATTCAAACACCACGATGATTTCATCTTCGAGAGATCCTGGTTCTTGTACATTCTGCTTCTTCGCGACAATCTTCGAAGAAAATCGTGAGTATATGGCGGCAAGAGTGTGTTTCATCACTACAACGAGGGCCGCATTAGCAATTGCTTCAATGACGGATTCATCAACTCTATGAATACGTACAATACTGCGAGAGCGACGCGCCGACACACATTCGGCTGCCACTTCCGAACGCCCAGAGAGGTTGATCAGAGCCAACTTTCAGTGTTCCGCTGTCGCTGATCCAGCGCTCAGGGTGCCACTCGTCGACGCAGTCGAACGTCTCTGGGTTCCGATGAATGAACCACTGGAAGACGTTGACTCGCGTACTGGGAGGAATCTCGAATCCAGCGAGAGACACAGAACGATCTTGTGGTGTGACCCGTGGCAAGGGTGTGCTGTTCGGCCGCATGCGAAAGGACTCTTTCAAGACAGCTGATAGGTACGGGAGTCGGTCCAACGATGCTGGAGCTGGCGACTGTGCTTCTTTCAACTCTGCATCGCCGCCTCTGTCATCATGATAGGTCGCATCTTCAGACTTGGCACGAGGCATGCAGGCTAAAACCTCGTTCCTCAGCTTCTCTTGTGCATCGGGATTTTGAGAGATGTAGAGAATCGTGTACGCCAATACAAGCCCTGCCAGCAGTTAGTACTCTGGATCGACGCTCTTGGATGGAGAAGAAGTACCTAGAACTTCTCGAGCGCCAGCTACGATAGAGAGAGGTCAGAAAGTGTTTGTAGGATGGTTTTGAGGGTTGCTCACAGATTTGATCGAAGAGCTCACTTGCAATTTCCAGTCTCTGCTCTTCGCGGCTCATCTGTGGCGAGTCTATCTCAACTGCTGCTTTCAAGACTTGATACAACGAAGCTGGCTCTTTTGACAGACCTGTTGGGTTCATGACTGTAATGTCGAGCTCAGCCCGATCGCAGATCTCAAGAAGCCACTCCTCAAGCGCTTCTCGTGATGTGTAGTACGACCTCGGTAGCATGTCTACTCCGATTTTTCTCAAGGCTCTTGTCCATCCCGGAAGCTCTTGTGGCCAGAACGCCTGCTTACAGTACATCAGTTCATAGTTTTCGAGCCAAAGACCAACACTGGGCAAATCAAGCAAATACTTCGTCCCAGCTGGAGCACCCAACAAAGTGCTTGTCAACGCATCCAGACTGAGGGCGTAGCATAAAGGTAGAATGTCGAGTGAAAGTCCTTGGTGTCCTTCGATGAGGGGCAAGAGTCTCTGGTAGAGAATCTGGTCCACTGTTGTACGAAGGGGTTCCGAAGTGAACAACGCCGTCTTGGCCAGCGCAGCGGATACTCTTTTCCTTCGCATGGAATGATCGTGTCTTTTCATACTCGAGAAAGAGGTTTTGCGTCCGTAGTAGCGGTAGAACCTGAAATATTCTGGCTTCTCAAAGCTTCCATTGTATATCGGTCTGACTCCATGCTCGTAAGAGTTGATAGACAAATCCGCCGGCCCGACTCTCAGGATGGGGCCGAGTTTTCGATGCTTTGCTTCCAGAATTTTTAGTTCTTTTCCTCTATATCGCTGCCATAAGACCCAAGCGGAAGATACGCCGCAACTCCAATGGGCGTGGGGAACCTGGTTCAAGCTTGATCGATTGATGTGTCTGAAGATGGCCGCCGAGGTCAGAATGGCAAGAAAGGCAAAAAGTGGTACTAACGACCGTTCTGGTTCAAGGACAAACGACGACATGTTTATGGCCTGGGCTGAGGTCGCCATTGAACTTTTGCAACTATATAGCGGCAGTATTATGAGCTCAGGCTGGCGAGGGAATTTCCAAGCAGCACGTAACCCATAAAGCTCACCCAACGCTAATGCCGCTCGACATAGCTCATGCATGGGTCGCTTCTGCTCAACGCGTGATTCTCAGAACTCGCACGGGCTGTGCAGCAACCACTTTGGCAGCTGAGATGCATACGAGAAGTGGAACATGCAGAGTATTAGACTTCCGAAGTGGCTGACATGTGAAAATCGATTTCAATCCTCCATGCTATACAAGATCCTCAACGAGACTCTGTGTGCAGTCATTCGCAAAGCCGCTCATGCGTCATGGCAGCACACTCGAAGATCAACGATTGTAGATTCAGCATCGCAAGCAGCAATGAGAGCCATTCATCCTCGGAGGATCAGATCTTCCGTGGAGGACCGAAATCTTCCGGTGGATTGATAACTTGCTACGCAAGGGATGGTATCTCTTCCACAGAGCTCATATTGACGGCATGGGCCTTGTTTCTGAGATCATATCTTGCCACCGACCTTATCGCTTTCGCATCAGTGAAGGACACCAGATCGGACAGGACAACGATCAAACAAGCTGGCCATGGGACGAACGGACAACCAGAAATCACCACCTATAGTCTCGAGATTCCAAGCCAAGGCTCCCTTCGACATGTGTTTGAGCTTATATCCAACAAATCCACAGGGACGCCGTTCGACGCGGAGCATTTGGTGCACTACAACACCATGATTTTGTTCCAGAGCCGAGACGTCGTCAGCAGAGTTCCGGTGAACTCAGAAATGTGGCTTGGTGTGCACGGCAGAGAACAGGTGAGCAACAAGGGAACCAATTTTCGCAATGCAATACTGCCGTGGAAATCTGACTTCTGTGCAGATTGAGTTTTGTCTGATTGTCACCCCAAGCTCCCAATTTTCGAGTCCAACGATCGAGCTCCAAGGACCGCACCATTCGGTGAAGATACTTCAAAATCTGCTGCAGTCCTATCAACACATTCTCTACGCTATTTCCTCCCAAGCTATTGCGCGGTCAGTTGGGAGCCTTGAGCCGTTGACAGCATATGATCTAAGTCAGATTTATCACTGGAACAAGGAAGCTCCAAAGGAGATGTTTACAACGATTCCAGGGATCTTCGCTATGCATGCGCAGAGAAGACCAAAGGAGCCTGCAATCTGTGCCTGGGATGGAAATATGACATATGCGATGCTCGATCATTTGTCCACGAAACTTGCTCAATTACTTGTTCAACTCGGAGTCACACGAGAAGTCATTGTCCCATATGGATTTGAAAAGTCAAAGTTTGCAGTCATTGCCACGCTTGCTATTCTCAAGGCTGGTGGTGCTTTCATTCCGCTCGACTTCAATCATCCTGAGCAACGGCTCCGCTCTATCATCGATCGCACAGAGTCCCGCATCATACTCGCGTCGAAACTCACAGCGCCGTCATTTCGATTCTTGGGACCAAGAGTCCTGCAGATTGATGACACATTTCTGGACAGCCTGCCAGAAGAAAGTATTGCATCGAACCCACTGCCAGTAATATACCCCAACACAAGTGCATTCATCCTCCTGACATCCGGAACCACTGGCCAACCGAAATGCATCGTCGTAGAGCACTCTGCCGTCTGTACCCTGAATGAAGCATATGGAGAAGCGCTTCACCTCAGCAGCAGATCGAGGGTGCTGAGCTTCGCCGCATACACGTTCGATGTCAGCACTGTGGATATGTTTGCTACACTCCATCACGGCGGATGCATCTGCATCCCGTCGGAGCAAGACCGCAAGAATGATCTCACTAAAGTCATCCAAGACTTCCGAGTCAATTGGGTTGATCTGACGCCCTCTTTTGCGCTGGCTAGTATTCCCGATCCCAAAGAAGTGCCATCATTGGAGACGCTGGTCTTGGCTGGAGAAGCAGTCGAGCGTGTACATGTCGCACATTTCGTTGGAAGAGTGCATCGGGTGATCAACTGCTACGGGCCCGCAGAGGCCGGAGGCTGTCTGGCAAAGATGTACTGCAATATGCAAGACGAGCCCCAGATCGTTGGCCGTCCGCTGGCTAGTGCACGATGTTGGATCGCCGCTTCTGAGAGTTCAAGCCGACTTGCACCTATCGGAGCCATAGGTGAGCTAGTTGTTGAGGGCCCAGCGCTAGCACGAGGGTATCTCAAAGATCCACAAAAGACGGCTGCGGCATTCTTCCACCATAACGACTGGAAGTCTCATGCAGAGCTACCAGGGCCTCAGAGGCGATTCTACCGAACTGGCGATCTTGTTCGATATACCCCGCATGGTGAAATTGAGTTCATTGGTCGCCGAGACACACGGTAAGTGATCATCAAGAAATGAATAGTAGCAGTTGGTGCTGATTTGGTCCATTAGAGTCAAAGTCCGAGGTCAGAGCATCGAGCTCACAGAGATTGAGCACCGCCTTTCACAGCATGCTCTCGTAGAGAAATGCTTGATTGTGTTCCCGCAATCGGGCGTGCATGCTAAAAAACTTGTGGCAGTCGTACAACTCCGAGTTGCTCTCGACTCAGCTACTCCTCTGCTTCCTGTGTCTCCTCGAGATCTTTCACAGCGCGGATTCTCGTCAGCTTCGTTGGAGCAACTTCTCTTGCAACAATTACCACCATACATGGTACCATCGGAATGGCTTGTAGTCAATCGCCTTCCTCTAACTGACTCCAAAAAGATAGACCGCAAAAAGATCAATGACTGGGTGCTTGGTCTCTCGATCACGGACTCTGGCCAAGACATCTCTTCTCCGCTCCTGCCAGACAGCTGCACTACGCCTTTGGAGTTGAACTCTATCGTCAGCAAGATATTGAGCAATGGTGACAAACAAAAGTATGATGCTCTTATCGGTCGAGACTTTTGTTTGGCTAATGCAGGCATCGACTCCGTGCAAGCGGTCACTATTTCGAAAGCGGTCAAGCAGAATTATGGCGTGCAAGTGTTGGTGGACGAACTCATTCAACCAGATCTAACCATCGTCGGACTCGATCGAAGGATAGCTGCACTCCAGGCTAAGGACGTAAAGGCAGCAGCCAGCAGCAGCTCAACCTGCTTCCAAGACGAGATCTCAACATTGGCACGAGGATTCGAGCTGAAGGAGCCTCTCAACGGAAGAAGACCAGTGACCAAATCACCAATGTCACACGTGCTCTTGACCGGAGCAACAGGCTTCCTAGGCATCGAAATACTGCGGCAGCTACTTTGTATGAGCAAAGTTCGCAAGGTCTTCATCCACGTTCGTGCACCGGATGTCAAGGCTGGCCTCGAACGAGTCATGACAGCAGCGAAGAAGGCAAATTGGTGGTCAAGCACCTACTCCAATCGTTTAGAAGTATGGCCAGGAGATCTCGCTCGGCCAAACCTGGGTCTAAGTGACCTCCATTGGAAGCATATCACTGACAGCTCCAACATGGGAGAGAACCTGGATACTATCATGCACAATGGTGCAAAGGTAGACTGGAATCTTGCCTACGAAAGCCTAAGATCTGTGAACACAATGTCGACACTACAGCTGCTTGAAGCCATCGCAAGGCGTCCTGGTGGACTACGATTCGTCTACGTTTCAGGTGGCCAGGCTCTCCAACTCGAGGATGAAGATGAGCAAGACATGATTAAGAGTTGTGCTCATGCAACGGGCTATTCGCAGAGCAAGGTTGTTTCTGAGATTCTGGTCCGGCGTTTCGCACGCGCTAGCAGCAGCAGAGGCCACTCGATTCATGTGGTGAAGCCCAGCTTTGTCATTGGAGATGTACAACGGGGCATAGCGAACCCTGACGATTATCTATGGAGGCTCACCAAGGCAGCAATACAGCTGGGAACGTATAGTCGTGGAGAACTGAAGAATTGGCTCTTCGTTGCAGATGTCCGCACAGTGGCACACACAGTTTGTCAGGCTAGCCTGATGGACGCGACAGAGCTTGTGGTGATAAAAGTCTTGGATGGACTTTGGATGCGAGACTTCTGGAGTTCTGTGATACAGGAGACTGGACACATTATGGTGGCAGTGAACGATGACAGATGGTGGAAGCTGCTGGCGAGCGACGTCGAAAAGCGTGGCACAGAGCATTGCCTGTGGGCATTGCAAGACATACTGAGGCCAGGGACAGGATGTATTTCTGCTACCATGTTGAAAGCACCAACAAAGCTCATGACGGCAAGGAAACCACATATCACGCAAGCCATCAAGAGCAATCTGCGCTACCTCCGAGACGAGCTTGCATTCTTGCCATCGACGCCATCCCACCGGGCGAAGTTATGAGCGTAGCATAGACATAGGGAGTGGACTGATGGACAACTCATTCAGCCAAGCTAGTCTCGAGAACCATACTAAATGTTGTATCGACCTAGGTGCGCACAACTGGGTGTCCCAGATCATTCCATGTGTCACGGCGGTGTCCGTTATGGCATCACAGGCTTCCCAGTAAGCTGCCGCTGGCGTCAGTCCATTGTCTGTGGGTCTCGTATTCTTGCAGTGCCACTACGGAGTGCATTCACCGCATGCAGCAAGAGCTGTTCAATCCATGGACCCACAGACAGACACGACCAAGCCGGAAAGACCGACGACGCGCATCATGTTCATGTGATGCATGCGTATACGTGAGGTTCCATCCTCGCCTCGCAGTCCTGTTGACGCTGCACTATATGCCCGATGTTGATCAGAGGTTCGCAGATCTTCGGCACACGAGCGGAGTTCCGGAGCTCGTGCACGAATGCTGCAGGCGTTCTCGTCCTGCATGCTGCAGCAAGGGGAGCTCAAGCTGTTGTGATCCGATGTGCTGGGAAGGATTGTTACAATCCGGGAAGCTTGCATAGATCTACATGATCTGCGTGCTATGATGAACGAGCCCGCTGCTTGCCAAATACAGTGGGTCAATCCTGCATTGGAGTCATGAATCTCTCCAGGCTCAAAAGAATTGTGGATACGATGGTGCAAGGCAGCGAAGAATAATCCCAAGTCACATGCTTTCTACGAGGCATGCGCGCGGAACAACGTTTCCGTCCACCTCTGTCGCAGCTCAACATTTCTGTGCTTGCCGGCAGGCAGGAAAATGTAGTGAGTGGGCCAGCATCTGCAAACCCGTACAGTCGGGCATGTTCCCGTGAACGGAAAGGACACGCAAACGGTGGCTGCAATCATGCCCAACGCAATAGACAGCTTCGATGGTGGATCGCTTCCAGAACGTCTGGGTCGCAAGGACTTTTGCCAATGGAGAGGAGCAAGAGCGCTAGGTATAACGTATGACCTGGTGGTAAGAAGAATACATGTGCAAAACTTCTTCAGAGTAATCGTGAACGAGATTGCAAAAAGGTTTTGTGAACGTGGAACGTTGTGGCTCAAAGCATTCCCTCACAAGCACCGCTGGAGCCCCAACCCCTCTCCCCATCATGTCGACAAACAATCATGAGTTCGATCTGCATAGAATCTTCAATGTAGAAGGAAGAGTAGGTGTACATTCCGGAAAACCGCCACCCTGCATTGCGTTGATGACTTGCAATAGGTTGCTGTGATCACAGGCGGCGGCTCTGGCCTCGGGCTGATGGCAGCACAAGCGCTGTCAGTGCCACGAACGCCTTACTTTCTACCATGCACGACATTGACTTACAGAAACTTGCAGTGCTGTCAACGGCTGCAGGGTGTACATTGTAGGTCGCACTGCTGCGAAGTTGGAACGTGTCGTGCAAGTACACGGCCAAGGCATCAAAGGCTCAATCATACCGTTGGTCGCCGACATTTCGCGCAAAGACGAGATTGCGTATGGAATGCTCTCCAGGTGAAATCGGTGGCATGAGCATGACTGACTTTCCAAAGGCGCCTCGTCCAAGAACTGGAGAAACGAGAGAGTCACGTCGATATCGTCATCAACAATGCGGGAATATACAGCAATCGACAGTGTCCCGAGGGTTCCAGCGCAGTAGAAGTGAGACAAAACTTGTTCGACGTGGAGAATGCCACCTTTGAAAACTGGAATGATGTGTATCGAACAAATGTGGCTGCGGTCTATTTCGTAACGACAGCTTTCCTCCCGCTGCTACAGCGTGCCAGCGCCCGCCGGCCCGGCTGGACAAGCACTGTCATAAATATATCCTCGATCAACGGCCTCATCAAGGAGTCGCTCAGCCGATTTGCTTCGAACTCGGCCAAGGCTGCAACGATTCACTTGACCAAGATGCTGGCGGTGGAGATTGCTAATTGCCGCCTTTCCATCAGAGTCAACTCCATTGCGCCTGGACTTTTTCCGAGTGAGATCACCACGGGCAGCAGCGATCAAAGTCAGAAGTCTGTTCTGCCGCCAGGAACATGCAGCGAGATTTCGGCTGGAAGACCAGGCAACGATGTGGACTTCGCAGGGGCAATCCTCTTCGCGGTAACAAATGAGTATATAAACGGACAAATCGTCGCCGTGGACGGAGGCTATCTGGTTAAATATGGAAAACTATGATGCACGCGCTGTGCTTATCGACTCCGATACTCATTCAGTATCTTCGTCCTGTTGGTCACGCCCGCCAGTAAATGAAAACACAACAATGCCAGCGACAGCGCAGATGGCTGTCAAGACGGTGACCGTCACCGCCCATGTGCTAACATGGTACAGAGAACCCAACAATGCAGGACCAAGGGCAGTGGCCAGACTGATGCCGATATTGAAGGTGGAGTAAGTTCGAGCAAAAGCTCCGCGGTCGAAGAGATCGGGATGCGTACCACGCAACTCATCTGCTACATCCGAAACGTCCGTGGCCAATGGAGCAAGCACCAAGGTCAGGCCTAGTCCGGTTGTGGCAAGCAAGATATACAAAAGAATGTGATCGACAGTTTGGTTGTGGCGTATCAAGGCCATTGGCCATATTCCACATATGGTAAGGAAGAATCCACAAGCGGCAGTATTTCGAGCTCCAAACTTGCTCGATAGGAGTCCGGCAAACGTGCTGAGTAAGCTCGGCAAGGCCAGTACGAGGAATGCAGTCCCAGCCAGTGTCGACCCCCAAGAAAAAGTACGCTGCACCATGAGTGGAAGAACAGCGTCAAATCCAGTGATGGCCGTGGTATGGATGAACCCGCCAAGAAGCGCAGCCCGGAGGCGTCGAGATGCTAGAACAAGCCGCATCCGGCGCAACTCCAACCCTATTCCACTGCCTGCGCCGCTGCTTTGGACAGTTGTAGCCGGCAGAAGCGGCGACTCCTCGGATATGTCTGAGGACGGTGCAGTATTCCTCAGCGGAGCATCGGCTATGCTCAGCCGTAGTCCAATTGCAACGCCGATCAAACCTGATATGGCATAGAAGACGACATTGTATCCTCCATGGTCGTAGAGGAGACCGCCAAGAAATGGCGAGCCAACCAGACTAGCACTCAGTCCACTAAGAGCAAAGCCGATCCAGGCTCCTCGAAGGCCAGATGGCACCATCTCATGTATCATGCCTATGCTGCTGACATAGATCGCACAAGCTGTCACTCCCTGCAGACATCTTGCGACTATGAGGATCCATATGCTGCCGCCAAAGCACATGAGCAGCGTGGCCAGCAGAGCTGTGCTCTGAGCTATCAGGTACATGGTTCTCATCGTGCATATGCTTGCGCATGTCCAACCAATGAATGGTGAACTGATGGCGTTGGCAAGCCCGAAGGCGACCAGCATACTGGACAGCCAGAATTGAACTGTCTCATCTTCGTCAGCGTCATGCACGATCTCTTCGGGAGTGAGAGAAGTCGGAAGATCCTGCCTACCATCTTCGGGTGCGACATCCAGTCTCTCAACGAGAGAATATGGAAGAATTGGCACCAGCTGCGAGCGCACGACGGTCAGCATGTGTTGCTGACGGGCTGTCGTGGCAGCAGTCACTCACCACTCCATACAAAGAGCCGTCGATGAAGGTCGCAACAAAGGCGGTGAGCCCGACCAGCTTCGTTGAAGAGCTGAGGCCGCTCTTCCTGCTCATCGCCTTGGATTCGCGCCCCGAGTCCATGGCCTTTGCAAGATGCTCGAAGGTCAATTGAGATATCGACAGACGTTAAATGCTGATGTTGCGAGTTCAATTGCTGCTCTTCACTGTCACTATATGGACGATGCAGTTCTCATGAATCGCGGCGATCCTCATCCCGCAAGTGACGGTGGGGCGAGCTCAGTTCCACACTTGCAACAGCCACAGACAGTGCTACGAGACTTGTGTGCTACGACACATCAAGAATTGGACGCGGTATGCCAAATCCGACACCTCGTCGACTGCATGTACCCAATGGAGGCGCTCTCTATACAGTTCCTAAGTCCTCATCTCATCCTTTTTGTCCTATCAAAAACGTGGTGGGCGATGGCCAAGATAGTTCGAGATGGTCCACCAGCCGCGCTTGCCGCCAAGTGCTACAGCAGACGCACCTTGGTACGCCCATCGAGTAAAATTACCCCATAGCCGCGGGAATTGGTACCGGCATCCGTGCCGTACCACGGAGTGAGACTCTCAATGTCTGCTCTCCTGTGTAACGTCAAGACTGATCTTGTAGAGGCTGGGAGCCTTCTCAGATACCTGTCGCAGTGCATTATACAAGAGTCGTCGAAGATCCTGTTGCCAGATATCAAGAAATCGAACGATTGGCCTGGCCGGACATGCTCGGGCGAGAGGTGACGCCACCGATCGTGGTCTTCACACCCTCCTCAGATGAACCTCCATTCCTTGCTCTCAAGAGTCATCGAATGCACCTT